GGTGTTGATATATACTGGGAGTGAGGTCAAGCGCATTTTGTTCTATTTATATCCCGTAAATATAGCACTTCTTAAGATTCCGCAAGACTTAAATCTTGTATGTGCCGTTAGGCTTGCTTAGAGAATAATAAACTCTAATTGCGTTTTCGTATTCAAACTGCTTGTGACCTTTGCGTATATTTTATTTAGATTAGGCACTTTACTTTACGATCATTCCTTTTATAATATTTTCCAGGCGTGATCCTATAAATGAGATAATGTTTGATATCTTTATAAATACAGAAATATATAAATTTATCTTTCCTATATAATAAGAATGTTATTACATATAATTTACTAAATCTATTTCGATGATGATACAGATGAACATGAAGTCAGTTGCAATAAATTTGTAAAGTGAATTGGACTGTACGTAAAAGAAATCACAAAGAAATACGTTGGCAATATCTATATTTCCATTCGGTGTCGAGACCCTTGGTCCGTGGGGTCCTAGCGCTATAAGGCTTTTTAAAGAAATTTCAAAAAGGTTAGTCGACATCATTGGAGAGCGAAGATCTGGCAGCTACCTCGGACAAACAATTACTCTAGCAATTTAAAGGGGGAACGCTGCCAGTATCTTCGGAACCGTGCCTAAAGGGACTCCTTTTAATGATACATTTTAGTTTATGTTAAGTTTAGTTATTTATTTCAATGTATATTATTATATTATTATATAAGTGATATTTTAAAGTTGTATTTAAATATATTTCACTAAAAGCTTTTACATAAAAACATAGCAGTATGTTAATCAAATTAATGCAATATGTAGATATAATTAATTAGCTTTTATATACATCAATGCATTTTCTAACATTATATGTATTATAATTCAAAAAATGTAAATACGTCATTTTTATCAAGTCATTGACTCTTGACCTTATTCAACGTGGGAAAGGAACCCGGAACCTTACATCCTCGGTACAGATCAACTGTAGCTCAACTAGATTATTTATATACCCGCATATTTCTACTTGTACGTCAGGTTTTTTGTTAATACCTACATGTTTTAAGAACCAACGAATGAAACCAAATAGGTAATATTAAATTCCTATTATAAATCTGAATGGATTTTAAACTAATTATTATAATAATTGTTTTCAGTCTTTCTGTGTGGTCATAAGCATGGCAAAGTATTATATGTTGTCACATTGATTTTTGACTCAAAAAATTCTAGGCTCTCACGTTTTTCTCGTAACAGAATGTGTCGATTATACTATAAATTACATTTAAGAATTATTGAATAAGTTAATTTTGTAAATAATAATAAAAATTTGACTAATTAAACTGATATTCTTGTACCAGTAATACGTGAATATCCATATCTCCAAAACAACCGATTTCAATGAAACCAAACAATTCCGTAAGTAGGAAGATATCTGAATTAAATCAAAATGTCTTGAAATGACTGGTTTCTGAGAAATTTGTGGACAAACCAACATACATTTACGAAATATCGCACATGTACTTGGAAACCTAAATAGAACTTCACTCGCCATAAGTCGATGAATTAAATACTATACCGATTGTAAGTAAATAATTAGGCTTTAAAATGAAGATTTAAGTACTCGGACATGTTATGTAAAAGAACATCTCCGTGTACTTAAATCTTCAATTAATGTTGCGTGTAAAATTCAATTACAAGGGATCTGATCTGAGGACAGCGTAGTTTTCAACAATTAATATTGACCAGATGTCGTGTCTTTCGTAATTTATCAGTGTAAATTGTTATTGAAGATTTTCATGAAAATCTATGAATTTAACCTTACGTTTTAATCGTTGTGTTATGTTGTTCAAATGACATTATGAAAACATATTAGTAATCATAGCAATAATATATCCAGTATTTACACTTTTCTTAACCTACTTAGTAATCATTAAAAATTAATTCAAATTCAAAGATCATTTAATCATATAGCTAACACATTGTACACTTATGATCGTCAAAAAAAAGAAATGTATATGAAATGCTTCTAACTTTACATTATGTGCCAGTTCTCAAATCAAGGGCGTAGAACGGAAGAGAAGAACTGACAATAAACTCTCCGCCACTCTTTTTAATCGGCATTTGTTTTTAAATTAAAATTTTTAATAAAAAGAAAATTAAAACAAATTTAACAAAATTTGGTCCCTGCAGAAGTCTACCTTTAAGGCTGGCAGTATTTCCTCGCTGTATTGCGATACATATTCGTAGAGCGAGGAAAGCATCAGTTTAGGTCACCGGTACTAACTACTTTAAACTACTAAACTACGTGTGCACTTGAACCCCACCCCAAGATCGAAGTTGGAGGAAAGACTCTTATGAAAACTATATATTATATAATGCATTGTACGTAGATTGTATTTGTGAACCCAAAGTTAAGCCAGAATTTTAGCCTCCTTTGAATGGTTTCCACGGCGAATAAAACTCATAATCTATCTCTGTATGACCTCGTCAGAATTTTTAAAATACACCATTGAGTTTCATGTCTTAAATACTCCGTTAATAAGGACATAAATACAGACTTAAAGTAATAATTAATCAATCTTAATAGCGGTAAGAGTTTTTTATGAGTGCGAACCTATGAATAAATTTAAGTGCATTTTACTATAGTTAATGACAAGTTATGAAAAATCGTCCTAACATAATGTCCCAATTGTACGAGTGAAATTTTATTATGAAAAACCGTATTTGATCTACAAACAAACGTAGACTTTTTTTGTTATTTTTCTTTATCAATGGATCTTATTTATATTAGTAAATTTATTTTATGCCGTTATTGTTTTGCGGTGACCCTCGAATATAAAATATTGTTGCGAACGTCAATACTGCTCACAATACTCAGGATATAAAACTCAATAAATTTGATTTAAAACATTGTTATTCTAGTATATTCCCTTTAGAAGCAATTAAGTTTATAAGTGAAAAAATTAACTTGAGTAACCCTGTTATAATGCATTGCAAATTTGTCAGTGCGTCCTTGAGTGGCTCATTACCCAATAATGATGGGGTAGATCACGCAGGAAGTGATGATAGCTATGACACCGTGGGAGAATCATTCAATAGCTATATTAATTTTGTTTGTTTAGTCACGCCAACCGCCCAAAATACGCTGATTTCCTGCGTGATGTTAGGTTTCTAACAAAGTTTTCAGTAAATCTACAAAAAACCCTTTGCTTAAAAAGATTTAACATTTTTTAAATTCTCTTGACTTGAATTTACTTCAATACTTAACACTGAATAAGCCCGAATATATGATTGACTATTGTATAACAATACTAAACACCGTATTTATTACGATTCTTCAAAACACCGCGAAAGCTTCATCCGTATACAATTTAGTATATTCTAGAAATAATACACGAACTCTACTCTTCATTACGTGATTAGCATCAACGTGTGTCATATATTTACCCGCTGAATACTTGATTCAGGCTTCAGACAGATTGTGATTATATTTACTGAAATGTTACATAAAGGATTTGTGTAATATCTCGTATATGAAGAATAAAACACGAGAACAATGGAAATAACAGGCTTGCACTAAGCGTTTGTGGTTATTACTCTGATTAAAAAGGACAATAGAGCGATGTCCATACAAATCTATGTTTGCTATACTAAAGATTACGTTGTACTCTGCGACCATTATTCTCTGATTTTATTACAGAGCTGTCTTTATTTATAGTTATTAAAATAAAACAGCGTTAGAATAAACGTTTTATTGTATAAACTATAATCATGTGGATATATCATATAATTATTTAATTTATGTTGAAATGGTATAACTAAATGAATCTTATTTAAGTGTGTTTTCAGTATAAGTGTTCATTGTTTAAACATAAACAACGGATAAATGTCAACACAGTACATCGATCTCACCAAACCTTAACGTACATACCTATTAAGTTTCACAATAGAACATTCAATGGGTGCAAACTGTTTTCGGACTCTACTTGTGCAGAACATGTACTAGCGTTACAACATGATATCGCAGGACTCTTTTTAATTGCGTCTTCGCCATTTTTGGCTTTGCCTAATCGCGCTGTGGAAATTTTTGCTTATATCACAGTGCGAATTTAGAATTATGTTAATTGTATGTCGTGTTGTGAGAACAGTAGAATGAATAAACCCTGTGTTTATGTTGTCTTACGTAATGAAGAACTCCTTTGATATTTGAGTAATTACACAATTATATCGTGAAATTAGTCGCGGCGGAAACTCATCAGGGCGCACTACTATGTAGTTTGTTACGAAACGTGTTATATTCGGACAGTCACTGCTAAAGCAACAATTTAAACACCTGTAACAGCATAATAGCGCGTTTCAATGGAATAACAAGCTGAATGATTATAATAGCAAACTGTTCTTTGATCAGTTGTTATTTCCCTCAAAATTTTATGTCGATTATGAATAGAACGTTTTAGCATTCATAACACTGAACGTAATTGTTATAGTACAACATCAAATTTACAATTCTGTAATTTCTGTTGTGGTAGACCACGAAACATGTTATATATTTAATTAACCGTATCCTTTAGTACCCTCTTGCATTGTCTGTGGAATGACTGTGATTTGAAAAATGCTGCATTTCAATCAGCTCACAATTTTCCATGTGTCCAATGATTATGTCATGACGAAATAGTTTGTGAAACACTATACAATGGTGCTGTATGTACTCAGCCGATGTCGTTCATTGTAATGTAGAATGCGAATCGAATCGGAATTGTTACACAAACCACAACACCCCGATCACAACAAGTCGTCTTATTGTCTGCGCCAATCTTCAAGTTCTACCACAACGTACTTACGAATTAGAGAAGCACCTTAACAGTAAACAATAAAACCTATTAGATTTGTATTCATTCATGTATAAATAAATGAAAATGAACAATACGCTTTTAGATGTATGAGCTCATGCCATGTGCTATTTTCGATCATACCTAATTGTTATTTCATTCTTAACAGGTCAAAAAGAGAACACGGCATGACTGCGACGCACGGCGGAGGCTGTGAAGATGACCGCCCCATTAAGGACAATGTGTACACAATCAAGCCAGGATTTAAAAATGAGGGGTTCCAGCACGACAAGGACACGAACACTGATATTGTCAAACCTCCGCCAATTGAGGAAGACTCCTACGCTTCTGGAAAGGTGGAACTCTCCAGAGGAGAAAAGTGGAGAATATTGAAAAATGTTGCAGCGGTTAGCGCGGCCTTCATGGTTCAGTTTACTGCTTTCCAAGGAACTGCGAATCTTCAGTCTTCTATAAACGCTCGGGATGGGCTTGGAACTGTATCGTTAAGTTCTATTTATGCCGCGCAAGTGGTTTCTTGCATTTTTGTACCAACGTTCCTAATAAAGAGGCTAACAGTGAAATGGTCCCTATGCCTTTCGATGATGTGTTACGCTCCTTACATTGCTGCGCAGTTTTACCCAGCTTTCTATACGTTGGTACCCGCTGGAGTATTAGTAGGTCTCGGAGCAGCTCCAATGTGGACATCCAAGGCAACATACTTAACCCAAGTAGGAAGTGTTTACGCGAAGTTGACAGACCAAGCTGTGGATGGAATAATTGTGCGGTTCTTTGGATTCTTCTTCCTTGCGTGGCAGACAGCTGAACTTTGGGGCAACCTCATTTCAAGTTTGGGTAAGTTAACAGTTTAACTTCTTTGCCGTTATTTAAATCATTTTATGGGGCAATCTTAAAAAGCAATAATAACAAAACCTTGTAGCTATATAAATGTTTCCATCTACTGATTATTTTTATGATACGATCCCCAAAATGGTGAATACGTAACAATATCACTTTTTTTTTAAATATATAATGTACTTTGCATTTCTTATACACATCACCTACTTACGTCTTCATTTCAAAGACTGTTGAATGTTTAGTTTTCGTTATTTATGAATATTTGAATTTCCACCGTTTGTCTCAAAACCAAAAATAATGGGATAAATTTTCTCTACAGTATTCTCATCGGGAGTGCACAGTGGTAACGTGTCGACGGACAACAGCAGCAGTACTCTTCTGACATGTGGAGCTAACTTCTGCATGATCGGCGGTGGAGCTCATGACAACCAAAACCTTCACCGACCCCCAGACAACGAGATACAAGAAATCAGTGCCATTTACCTTGCATGCGTTGTAGTAGCTGTTATTATGGTTGCCTTTTTAGTGGATCCTCTATCCAGGTAACTTTTCAAAAGTTTAAAATAAGTAATAAGTCGATTGTCATAAGCCCTGCACCTTCCTAATGTTTTAGATCTTCATTGGAACATTTTCTTATTGGAGATAGGATATTGAAAAAAAATCTATAGTATTCTATCAGCATAGACTATATCAATTTTACCTTGATCTTCAATTGTTTTTGAATTACTATTGTATAACAACTTACAAATATAATCTCCACTTGGCTTTCAAAGCCGAGATATGCAAAGTTATAACGTTAGTCGATTCTTTAAGTTTGAACCATAAAACCACACGACGAATACGGACATAAAAAAAACGTATCCACCATATATTACCTAAAATAAAACATAACTGCAAACGTACAAAGGCAACCGCATTCGCAGAATTGTGTTGTGGTACTCACTCATCAGTCATCATGCTTTTTTATACGCCCCACAATTATTTTGTATGCAAAATATTACTATATATAAAACCGTAACATTTAAATCTTAACTGTAATCCTACCAAACAATGTTGTACATCGTTTGATACGTTATTTTATTATTTATTTGTTTGATACGTACTCTTTAATAAAGCCTTAAATGAGTTATATGAAGTGTAAAACGCAATCATTGATTAAAGGTATGGTGAAAAGCAAAGAAAAGCAGACCCCTCAAAAGAGCTGACTGGTATTCAACTGTTATCTGCTACCGCCTACCAATTAAAGAAGCCAAACCAACAACTCCTCATTCCAATAACTTTATGGATCGGTATGGAACAAGCATTTATCGGCGCTGATTATACGCAGGTAATACACTACAGTAATGACTAGTACTAAGTTAAAGTTTACAACGAAAACTCCGAAGAGAAAAATATATATATTTAAACTGCATGCAGATGCACAACAATCAAACAAATACGTGCAGAACAAAGCTGTATGTGATGAGTTTGTTAATAATTTGCTCTTGTTCAACAAATCTCTTAGAATGTTTATCAATTGACGATGTGTAATTTTTTTATTAATTTAAGTTTTCATTAAACAAATATATAACAGCATGTATCCAAAACTTCAATTTTTGCAATATTAAATTATTTTTATGTTTTTATCTGTGTGTTTCTTTTCTAGGCATATGTATCGTGCGCTTTGGGTATTCGTTCCATTGGATACGTGATGATTTGCTTCGGAGTAGTGAATGCCATTTGCTCCCTGCTCTTTGGCTCAGTCATGAAGTACATTGGTCGCTTCCCCATACTAGTAATGGGCGCCGCCCTTCATTTTGGCCTGATTGTGTGGTTACTGATATGGAGACCGAACCCTGAGACTCCGACGACTTTCTTTGTGATATCAGGATTATGGGGAGTTGGCGATGCTGTGTGGCAGACACAAGTTAATGGTATGTGATATGCATTAACCCTCTTTTACATATTGGAAAATTCAAAGCTTCCATATATCCAGTTTAATATGAAACATATATCACATAATACTCATGACTCTACGGTCTTTAAAAGTAGTATTAAATAATTTAATAGTAATAAGTATTCAAATATATGTTAAAACTATTAAATAATATATGTATATAATAAAAATAATAATATAAAATGTAATATGAAATACATGCTACATCACTAATGACAACATTTTCTTGTGTTTGAATATACAATATATATATATTTTTAATATATCGTTTTGGTAAAGGTCGATGACTCAACATGAAACGACTTCAGATCGTTACAAAAAACTGCAAAATTAACGCGTAGTTTTGACTGGCGTTTGAACAATAATTGAATATTTCTTATTATAAACATACTTATATTCTATAAGGGCTTTTGTTAAAAATGAAATATGGCTATCACACAGCCGTACAGATTTTAAATGCAATTTTTAACCATCTTTAAAAAAATAGGCTTATTATTTATCCAAATTTTTGTAGAAGTGATTTTCTAAGGAGGTATATAAAATTGTATAATTATGTGACTCGTGCATTTCGTTATCGAAAACGTGTTTATCGAAGGATATAAGCAAATCGAATGGATTTTTAAAATCACATTAAAACGCACACACACACACATACCCTCACAGATTACATATTCCCATATAACCAATAAGTTATTAGTAAATTGTCTTGTTCACAATGTTTTAATTATATTTTTGAAAAAGCTGTGGATTATTAATAAACTGTTTAATAAATATACCAAAAAATAAATAAACAGTACATATGACTCAAAACAACAATTCTCTTGGCATTTGAAAACACACGCAATATTTGCACGAGTAAACATTTGGTTATTACAACTCATCTAAAAGCCTATACGTTCAAAAGCTAATATAATATTTATCACGTCATACATTTCCTTGTTTGAGCAAAAAACTCACTACATTTAGTTTTTTGTTTACGAATCAACTTCTGACAATAAATATATATACAGCGTGTAGAGTCCTCAATCTCTTTGAGAAATAATTTATTCTTAATTAGCATAGCAGATTATTGTCACGTCGTTTGTTCGAATACGGTAGCACGAATAGATTGTTCTATGTTCACTGTGTCATTATCGGTGATAAACTGGGAATACTTTTGCTATTTGACCACAGATTTAAAGTATTTATTAACTTTGGCATGAAGGAAATGTTTAAAATTCTGCTTAAAATAAATTTCCTATTTCAAGCTCTAAAATAGTTAAGAGTTTCTAGTAATTACATAGTTAATTAAATATAAAACTCGCCACGGCGTATTAGCACTTAAATGTTGCCCCATCGTAAAATCTCCGGAGACGGCATCTTGTCAAATAAATACATGCCTATGTATAATCTTTTTTTAGATTCATAACGTCGAGTCATGTCTGGTGTTTATAAATAAAATAAAAATATTTTGTAATCCTTAACTAGCTTATATATAAAACAAATCATGTATCATCGTTATTAGACTTTCGTTCAGTTCACCTGGGACTCCTGGAATTGACCCGATATAAAGATGTGCAAATTGATAAAAATAAGATTAAGATTATTTAATCTATTTTAATTATACGACTTCTAGACACGTTATTACCGTGTAACGATGATAATTATGCTTATAATTAATTATAAAGACAATAACGTGAACGTAACAGGAAAGAAGCAAAAACAATTCTTATAAAATAATGCGTGCTGACATACTAAATTAACTTTATAAAATAACATTTTATATACCAGCACGCAATCTCACACTTGTTTGCTTATGAAAACATTAAAAAGATAAATGAAAAAATCAGTGCATCCCAGGGTAAAATTTAAAGTCGAGACGAAGCGCTAACTATTACTTCCATATGTCAAAAACCCGCTGGATTTTACAAACCATTTCTTAGTAGTATAAGATCCCGATATATAACGACCTTCACCGAGATGCTTATTTAATAATCGTATTTTATATTTAATTTAATATGTCAATAAATATAATCCATATGGGTTGCCTGAGACCATAGCGAGTCTCTATTTTTGTTGATTTGGGTGGAAAAATCTTTTAACTAGTAAGGCAAAGCTTATACATATTTAACATGAAAAGGAAGTAAAACTAATTCCACAATATCTATATCTTGCGATATTCTAACCACAAAATTGTCACGCGCAACGAACAAGGCACGTTTTTATCAAAACTTGATAAATAATTGCTTTTCGAATAGTCGAACTGCATAGATAGGTATTTTCGTTTAATTTTTTATTCTTATAACAGTTCATATAGACGACAGGTGTTTTCTAGTGGTCTGAGCGTGCGAATCTCAACCCTATGGTTGAGCGTTCAGACCCCGGTTGACTGTATTTCTATGTGTGCACACACACAAATACAATAACACTTTCTCGACCGTAGATTTCTTAGACCCAAAAATATGTCAAGCGCAGAAGGCTTATCTATAAAGGTCGATTTACATCAAACGAACATAGAGCTAGAGCTAGAACAAGAGCATTCTTTCGTAATCTTTTAGTGTAAACGAAAGCTAGAGGTATCGATTTACATCAAACGAACATAGAGCTAGAGCTAGAACACAAGAACGCTTTGAAAAGACCGCTCAGTGGCGCGAGCACGTCCGAACACGCTAGAACGCTCTAAGCAACTGTTCGCGCGCTCTTGCGCCGTTTACATCAAGCGAACGAGCATTCTTAGAATATTCTATAGAATCTTTGCGAACGCACTAAGAACAACGAAAGAATGCTCTACGCCTGTTTACACTAGAAGAATTTGATGTAGTGGGGATAGAATGAGCATTCGCTCGTTTGATGTAAATCGACCTTTAGACAAAAATATTTTCTCGGAGACTGAATAGGGTTGTAGTGACGAAGCTACTACGCTTACGCGGCTCTACACAAAAATAATAAACATTCTAATTTTATAGATATAGATAGTATGGAAACAAGTTAAACTGAATCTTCTTCGAATTTTATTAAAACTTTTTCAAAGCTATTGACTAATGTATGTTCAGGTAATGTAACAATTGCGAATATTCGTTTTATGCACTCACGTTTTACGTCACTGTGGTTAATGTCATGACACAGTTTGTATTTAACAAAATGATTTATGTCTTTCCTGTCCCAGCTTCACAAGGCCATGGCACGGCAAATACATATAGCCTATGTTACTCAGGGATATAGCATACTAACATTAAAAGAATTTGAAATCGATCCAGTAGGTTTTAACTTTGCGTTACAAACATACTCATCCAGACTGACTGTCAGGGCTACTTTGTGCCGCTTTAATCATAAACTGCTGGCTAAATTCAACCCCGCTAATTCCAATAATCCAATGATGCAGGTCTTTTGTTGTCACATTCCGGTAACTCCAAATTGAAATCATAATTACCATTATAGTTACAGAGTGCTGCTGTCCATACATTTTAATATATCTTTATGGAATACATAGGCTTATCCATTTGAATAAATTTTGACTTACTAGGTCACTAACAGGTGTTAGATTATCGGGTATTGTGTTACATAGACATACTAATGAATGTCATGAAATTAAATGATTTATTGTTTTTCGCAGGGCTGTATGGAGTGCTGTTCAGACGTAACAAAGAAGCCGCATTCTCCAACTACAGGCTATGGGAAGCTGCTGGATTCGTCGTCGCATACGCTTACTCCACACATCTTTGCGCTAGAATGAAGCTATATGTGATGATGGTCGTACTCATTATCGGTGTTATTGGATATCTTATTGTCGAAATCCTTCATAAACGAAAGGTATGCTCACACGTGTACATGGTAATTAAATATATCTTAATTATACCCCGTGTATAAAGAGTTTCAATCGATGAGAATTTAAGTCGAATTATAGACCAAGGAGTGTGTTAGGTCCAGATAGAGATCAAAATATACATTAAAATAGTGGACGCAAAAGTAAAAGTCGTGTCAGGTTGGTTTAAACAGGTATTTTCTAACGGACAGTCTAAGTTCATATGGGTCCATGGATATCTGTAATATCCCATACATTTGTAATATAGGTATGATTAAGATTTAATAAATATTAAAATTGCAGACTCGTCGTTTAAAGGCGATTGCTGAGAACCCCATTGCAGCAGCTGAAGCAGCTAAACAGCCACCAGAAGAAGATGATGAAAAGGATGAAATCGATGATGATATTATTGTAACTCACCTCTAAAGAGAATATCGAAATGAACATAGATCATTCAACAACCATGAGTGCTTGCGCGCTGTTGCCATATACGAAACATTTAGGTACAAAATCTGCTGATGTTCTGATTTCTTCATCTTGATCTAAATACATTATTTTGTGTGAATGCCTGAAATTTAAAGTACAAAGAGTATTTTTATGTATATTCAATTTTTAAAAGCAGTGTTACGTATTTCTGTATTGGCGAAAAAGACAACCCAAAATTTATTTTTATATGGTCGAAATTTTATAGTAGATTTTAAAATATCAGAGGCAAGCTGTAGAAGTAACATTGTGTTAAAAATATAAAATTCACGATAAAATTTATACTCATTGTAGTTGGCAGATATGTTTCCATATGACTACAATAAGTATGAATTTTTAATTTAAAAATCAGCTGTGTTTACATACCTTATTTACTTGATTGAGCTCTTTGTTTCTTATATTAATTATATATCTATTGAAGGATGTTTGCACAAACAAAACTGCTAGAACACAGTAATCTTTTAACTTTAAAAAATTCTACTTATTTCGTGTAACTTACAAAAATAAGTCTCAAGTATGAGACAAGGTTTGTAGACATAATATTTAATTCCATAGATTGATATTAAAAATTACAGTTATAATATATATAATATTTTGTTGTAAACACAGTATCTAATAATTAAAAATAATTCCGAATTATGTTACTATTAAACATTTTCTAGATCAAATATAGTAATTAGTATCCATAAGTTTATACCTAATTAGTTTAAGCGAATGTTCACCCATTCCTATGTTTGAAATAGCGATGTAGGTGATTCATTATCTAGATAATAGTATTTATTGTAAGGATTTTATTTTATTAGACTTAATTCTAATAATAATAATAATTTTATAAATATTTTCAATATAGCATGTTTAGCGTTACATGCATCGATATAAGTTAAATTAAAATTATTTATAAATTATCTACAAATACGTAAAACACATACACAGCGTCTCTTTTAAGGGTGTTTGAGGCTGGCCCTTAATTGTAATTTTAATTTCCAAATTTATAGAGAAATAAGACTCTTTATTCGATTTACAAAAACAATTTTAGGCTTTTCACGTGTTTTGCAAAGTATTGATTCGGTCAGAAAGTAACTTAGAACTTTTAGGCCTCGGCATTAAATGTTGAAAGGCATATAATATATAAATTAAGGTACTATGTAAAGATATACGCGGTGAGTACCAACTTAGGATAACGAAACCACGTGATATTTAACATAAATTGTAAAGATATTATGTTATTTTATAAAATAATATAAGTGATTTGAAAGTAATAACACATGGTTTGTTTATTTAGTTATTTTATTTCATAGTATTGTCATACGAATTTGTGTTGAAAATAAAAAAAATATAAATTGTTGTACTTTTGTTTTTGTTATTTATTACTAACAATATTTTATTTACTTAGTAACCTTAATAATGGATGTATTATTATAGCTGTAAATCTTAGCTTCGATACGCCAATCATTTTAAACTTCATAGAACGTAAGGAACTACCTAAATAACACCCGACCTTATAAGTTATACAGATATATAATAAAGAGCACTAGATGCCAAGTGGCTTTCGCGTGCTACGTCGTTCGATTCCCGGCTGTGCACCAATGGAATTTCGGTCTATACGACATTTAACCCTCACTCATCACAAGGAAAGCCTTACACCATCACGTCCTTAGACGATCACTTACTTGTAGATTAAAAAAAACCAATGGTCACGAAACAGATACAATAATCCGAGGCACAGAGTACATAAACAAAACTAATTTTAAAGAAGTTCCTATTGCTTTCAGTTAACACAAATGGTAATTTGACTTAACTGTATCAACAGGCCCCTGTAACAAATTTCAAAGCAAAAACGCTCATCCAAGTGTAAATAGTAAATAGGAACTAGAATAAAGTTAGAAAAGTCATCATCAAAATCAACTATCCTATTTTTCATAAAATTACATTAAAGTAAAACAAAAAGAGCTTTTTCACTATATTCACACACCACCAAAAAACAGGTGAAAAGAACGTTCTTTTTAAATGAGTTGAAAATGCGCTTACGCGGCGCGCGCCATGGATGGCGAGCATGGCGCGGGGATTTTTGGGCTGGATCTACACACAAATCCCTCTGCTATTAGAGGGGTAGCGAGCCCCACCTACTAAAAACTCCTCAGTACTTCACACTTAAGATGGGCCCTCGGAGTTTGCCAGACATTCTACCTAAGGAGTGAAAAGAACTACTCAGCTGCGCCTAACTGCAAGTATCACGTTCACCTGAAATACCAATAAAGTGGGAGGAGTAAACTAAAATATTTAAGTAGTAGTGTCTAAATATCTGTTTTTGCATGGGCCCTTTTAATTATTAAACTTAGGGTCAATTAATTTAAAACTTTAATAAATTCCTTTGATAATTCGATGATTATTTTAACAATTGATTAGGAAGTTATTTATTCGCATTTTTTGTTTTTTATTCTATAGATCAATCAAGTTAATTGGTATCACTTTTATCATCCATTCATCCATCAACTGCAATAAGCCGATAATTATCATAACTTATAACGGTAAAGGAATAAAACATTATACTCGATTATGGACAGACTTTCTGGAAAGATCGATTTTCGACATCAGTACAATCAGCGCAGGGATTTGTCGATAACGTTATCAGCATGTCAAAGGGCTGAGTGTAGTTAAATTCACTTTAGTTCGCTTAGAAGTTACAGAATTACTATGCAGTTACCCGAATTTAGTAAACTCTTATTATTGCAAATCTAAAAATACACACAATCGTAATATTTTTTTTTTGTTATATAACAAGGAAATTATTTTTACCAAAATTTGGTTTTAAAAACCGTTTCTTCTTCGATATGCGTGTGCCCTTTGGAAGCGTAGTGTCGGCCGTTGGAAGACCCGAATTAGCTCTTGCTCATACGATAAAGACAAACATTGTGAGGAAACCAGTATGTCTCAAACCAACAAATCTATGAGATGTCAAACATAGCAGTCTGTAACATAAAAATGCTATCTGAAGTCAATATAGTATTGTAACGTCACGGAATTGTTATTATACGTGAGCTCATTATAAAAGGCTCGCCATTTCTCTCTGTACTGGTCAGTGGTCTCTGACATGACGTGTCTCCCGATGTCATTTAGTCTATCCACTTTCTCAATCTGCCTCTTTTGCACCACCTTGGACATCAGGTTAACACCTTGATGTTCATTTTTATTGTGTCATATGCTAGTTTATTTTCCTTACTGTTATGTTCCTTGTTTCATATAATTGTTTTTGTGTCTAGCATGCATAATTCCATCGCACATACGAAAGTCTATATATTTAATGCAATTTCCATTTAATGGTTACATAAAGGTGCATTGTGTTCCATATATTTTGTATTTATAGTAATAGAATTAATTGTGGTTATAGATAAAGTAGAGTTATCTTAAGGAGTTCTCGTTGACTATACAGATAACTAATAAGGGATGTCCCCGCGATGTTACTATCTTTGCCATTGGAGGTTTTCATGTTTCATAATTCCACCAGCCTTCGAACAAACCATTCACGTATTGAAGATATTTAAAACTGGGGCTTTTAACAACGAGGTCATTTGCAAGGTCAGTATCCTTATAGAAGAACTAATAGTGTGTAAGAAATATGTGATAAAAAATACTTTATAACCGATTTAAAGTATATTATTTAAGTGTAAATCATTTACATTGTTCGTGTTTATTCTTGATTAATGAACTTAACAATGCGTATTAAGTCTTATTATTATAAACAGTATTTCTTTACACGTGGACTTTACCTAAATCCAAAAATAATTTCGCGGAATCGGAGCAAGAATACTGATGTCTCTTTCCTTATCAGAGTTGCAAAACTCAAAACCGCAATGATTACAAGCGTCGCGGTCGCCGCGCTGTGGGGCGTAGGTATGTTGTATCCATTAGTCACAGCTCCGAGCAACAAGTGATACGTCGTCTTCGTACGTCTTGTTTATTCCGCCATTTTCCCTTGTGTTATGTGGACTGAAAACGACGATAAAATAGAGGAACGTGTGCGCAATGGATTGGGCGCTGTCAACTCGGTGGCCGTTAATGATGACCGGATCGCTCCGGTGCCAAGCACAGCCGCTGCGACACCATCCATATCCAATTTGAACGTGAATAATTCAAAAAAAGTGCACATTGGTCCAAAATTTGTATCCGTCACGCAGAATGTACAAAATCAAGAGGTGGTCAAAGGTAAGGGGCGGTTATCTCGTTATCTACACCCTGCTGCGAATTAGCTTTTGTTTGTGTAAACATTATATTACATACATATAATATGAATTTGTCAATGTAGAAAACCAGCTTAAATGGTTGCTCGGCAAGGTGTTGAGGATTTTCTTTGTCTTTGTTTTTGTTTGTATTTCTTGTAGCTTAGTAGATAACTAATAATGGCTTGCGCACTGCATGGCGACATAAGTATTTATTTTTTATTGTTAATGTTTATTGTAGATATCTACGTTTTCAAATACATGTTAATACACTCCCATATTGGGAAATCGCAGACAATATGCCCTTATTAATAAGTTAATAATTCTGCTTGTACCTACATCACCATATATTTAAATACAAAAGTCAATTTGTATAAATTTTGTATTTGTAAGATTAGCTAATACATATATATATAATAACAATGCCGAGCAAAGTAAACTACGGATTGGCAACCACTATCATACATCTTACGGCATATTTTTCCATAAAGTAAATAAATATACTTATTTACTATTAAAATCGAAAGATTCCTTATTACTTGCTTATAATAATCTTACTAATAAACTAATGACGTTAGAACTGATAACTACTATGGAAGTAATTAATAGGAGCACAACATAATCTTCCATAGAATTCATTTTAAAAACATAATTTATATATTCTATGAGAAGAATATACTGTGGGGTTTATTTAATACATTATCGCTTTGTTTAAATGTTTGGCTCAATTATAAGGTTTATCATTTTGTATTGTTTTTAAATTCTGGAAAAATAAATCTAATTGCACAATGCACCGTTTTAACTTAAGCAGACATCCGTCTCATTTCGTCACACACGATTTGACAGAAACAGACGACATAGAACTTTAGTTAATTATTTAATACAAAGCGACATTAGTGTTTTGTGATAATATCTGTATCTCAATTTGATCGTAGCGATTATATATAGCCTACAGCCTTTCTTGATAAATTAAAGATAACTATCACGGCCAGAGAGAACGTTTTTTCAAAAATACTCTCTTATTTCGATGATTGAACATATCTTAGTCTCCTATCTAAATACCTGTTTTTTAAAATATTTGTCTGATTTCTTTTATATAAAACTTGTCCTAAGACTAACGAACAGTCAGTGCAGTCGTTCAGAAATTTAGCAAATATTATTATTTTAATTTAAATTAATCTTTGCTTATCATTTACAACATTACTTGGTTGTATTGTACATTAATATTGACGACGATGACAACATCATATCACTACTCTGTAATTACAAATTTACCGACCCATACCAAAATCTCACCATTTTATGTACAAGCATTTAATATGCGGGCCAGATGGTTCAGTGACTGGCTATTTAAGCAATGTTATAAGGCGACATTAAAAACGTAAATGGAAAATGCTGTATATACCTTTTGAATATTGGAGTATTCCAATATTCAAAGGTGCAACAAATATGACGATTACAATAGTGACTAAAAAGACAATACAAAATTAATATAATTTAGAATATTACTGTCTTTTCTTTAGTCGCCTTCATTTATTAAGGTCGCGTAGTTACATAGTTTCCTCCATTCCCCCCTTCGACCCTTAGCGGCTTTGCAATATTAAAGCGGGCCATAGACGGACCGCATGTTGCAGTCAAGACCGACTGCAATATGCGGTTTGCTCAGGAACTGCTCGAGCGGTCCGTGTATTGCGAATATGAATTTAGTATGGAAACTGCAGACCGCCGTGCGGCGACCGCATGTTGCAGTCGGTCTTGACTGCAACATGCAGTCCGTCTATGGCCCGCTTAAGGCAAACAACTGTCAGCAACTTAACTTGATCGGGCAAGCGGGGATCGGTCCGGGATCTTCAACTCACTCTCGGAGCCTGCCACTCTACAAGTCACAACAAGTCTATTCAGATCGGGACACACGCAGAAGTGTGTGACATCATCAAAGGAACCTTCCTTTGATAACAAGACGAAACCTTCTTGAAGTAAGACGGGTCGTCACTTGCAGTTGTTTTAATATTAATAAATTTGTCTTTTTTTCTGCCCGCGCGTCTGCCTGCGACACCGCATTCAAGGTCCTCCTCTCAGAGTCCGAATTTCGGCAAACGGGATGATCAACCAATATTTTCTTGGATATTACACTAACATTGGTATGATATTGCGATCATGCCAATGTTAAGCTTAGGTTTCCTAGAAAAGCGGTGCTGTTATGTAACGGCCGTAATGTTACGTTGGGTGACGTCGCCCATACGTTGTCTATAAATAACATCGGAGTGGGTTTTCTAGAGAACGTTGAGTGTCACCGTAACGTCAAATTGCGGAGCTGTCATTTGCATGACGGCCATCATAGCGGTGATAAACATTAGTTCAACGTTTTTCGCGTGTAGCGGCCATATTTAATTAATACAATGAGTGGAAACGTGACTTAGACGAGCGAAAATGATTGTTTTTTGCATTATGTTAAAAAGTAAAGACGGCTGTTACAACCGTAAAATGACGGCCGTTAGTTAACGGCACCGTTTTTCTAGGAAACCTAAGCTTAGTGTCAAGGAACTACAAATCCAGTCTAAGCCGGTTCAACCCGCTTCTGAAAGCATCAAGGTCTGCAAATATCTAAAATAAACATATGATACATTATTTACAACTTTAGTTTAATGTGTATCACGGATTTTCAATACGTACAAATATTACATACTATTCTAACCGCTATAAATTTTCAACTTAATTACATTTGTCGTTGACAGTTTACATTTATCAGTAACGGCTTTTCTTACTTCTATCACGAGATTTAAAGCGAATTTAATTTATTCTTATTGCCTTAGATTCAATAATGTATACTGTACTAGACTAGCGATGCGACTTTCCACTTTGCGGTTGTATGCCCTGACTGTGCAGTAATAAATTGTAATATCTAAAATATTTCATACATTAGAACATATATAGTTATTAGATGTAGGTGCTTAAGTCATGATCTTAAAGTCTCAGTAATTTATAACAGCGTTATATTAATGTAAAAACTTCCAACGGTCGTTTTTTGAATCGAGAATTTTATTTTTAAAACTTCGCTCTTCCTTCTTAAACAAATCTAAAAAATTATATAATGCTATACAGACCAAATCTAATAAAAATATTTATTAAATAGAAACTCACTAATTGATAATAATTCCAGTTCATATTATTTAAATTATTATTATTCAGAATTATTCTCTAATAACAATAGTTTAATTAAAATCATCTTATGACATAGTTTTGAAGCATCCCTTTAATGTTCAAATACAAAGTAACTTAATAGTTTAAAACTATCCTATCTGTCATTAGTTGATCGTCGTCAACAAATCGGGCAATTCTTAGCGTTGTTGCAGCATTCTTTGGATGTGTTATACAATATATATATATATATATATATAATACATATTAATATAACACACGACTGAAGACGGCTATTAATTATTGTAAAATAAGCGTTCAAACAAAATCTCCATACGCCATCGAAGACAACTTATGCCTTGATCACACGTACCGAGCAAACCGGCGAGACAGTAAAATGTTTCTCGGCCGAGACAGTGTAGTAAGCGAGTAGCTGTTCACACACATTTTGAAATCATTCAGTTCTATTGAGACTACAATTCGGACAAGATGGATCGTAAAAAGATAATTAGAAAATATACAAAGTTACTCATTCCTTAGAAAATTACTTATTAGAAATTTTCATTAATTTTCATTAGAAAACAAAAAATTATCCCTAGGGGACATATTTTAAGAATGTTATAGATATTTTAATCCTTAACAACAGTAGAAATCTCCCAAATGTATGGTGAACTGGTATTTTTTCATGATATTTGGGCCGAAAACTACTCTCCCTGATATTATATCAGGAAGAGTTGATTATTTATTAATTTATGACCGGAAATATATTAATAAATTGGCCTCTTTCGAATGTTTGATAAAATATATTGAATTTCTAAACTGAGAAGTATAATACATTCAACGACGGCAAAAATTAACAGTGGCGAGCGGCGAGACAGTGTACGTTCAAACCTGCCGAGTGAGTGAGCGAGACAGTGCGGGGAAGCGGGAGGGTAGTCACTCGGTCTAGTAAGTAGAACGGTAGCCGAGCTATTGTCTCGCCACTTCTTTCGGCCGAGCGCTCGGCCGAGCACTCGGCGCTATGTTTATACGTACCGAGTACTCGACCGAGAGTACTGTCTCGCCGGTTTGCTCGGTACGTGTGATCAAGGCATTATTGCCAGTTAAGAAAAATTATATGGAATGATAATTATATGGACTAAATGAAGTTTGCTTGATATATTAAAAAAACAAACATGCAATTCATATGTTTCAACGAAGCCGGGATGGCAACAGTTAGGTACAATTTATGAAGTACAATAAACCTATAGATCCTATTCAAATCATTAACACAGATTATCAAAGCTATAAATATAAATTTAGATTTCAATAAGTGTGTTGATAAACGACTTTATCAATACGTACCTTATATTAGCAATTAGCTATATCTCTTCGAATGCAGGTCAACAATTTTTTATCGTATTTTTATAAAGATAGTAAATATCTATTAAAAATTTATAACACTTAGAGTTTAAAAACAAAGAGCAATGCGTGAATATTGTTTGAAAACTGCTTCCTGTTTAGACCTTATTATATACACGTTATTTATACATCAAACAATAATAGAAAATCTTGCCCTTACATTCTTGAACAAATTTAGCTAGGCTAATTAAATTCATGTATGGCCATGAATTTAATTAGCCTAGCCAAAAATATTGAGGCGCGGAAATCCCCGGAATCACGAGATTAGAGGTCAAGTCGTGTCGTGTTTTAGTAGCAGCTAAAAATTTAATCAGAAAATAATATTTTAATCTTGAAAAGTATTATGTATATTTTTACTTCAGATCTGAACAAACTAACTTGTATCAACCGTTGTGTCATTGGAAATACCGCTGTTCATTGTATAGCGTCATAAGGGAATGTCGGATTTGTTATTATATCACCATTATGTGTTTTTCTACTAATTTTCTTCTTACAATTCATGATACAGTTCATACACTATGCATTCATTTAATTAAAAACCGTAGTTAAAGTAAATAAAACATACATAATGTTAGGGATCTATTCTTCCCACATAATAAGTGTATTTTATCTTGTTTGCAGGCCGCTTTCTAGGCCTTGAGTTGGTCTCGCCAAATAATGCACGTACACTACGCTGCAGTGTGGCTGTCTTCGTTTGCTGGGCATTTCTCGTAGCATCTGGCCTGGCAATCTACCTCTTATACATGACCCTACTCAAACACCAAACACGACTAGACATAGGTAACATTTAGTTCTTCTCTTTTAGTAACTTAAAGCTCCTATTTCTCAACTGAAACTGTTTCGATTAGGTCTGACGGAGTCCTGGTTTCTTCGGCGAGAAGACTGGCAAGCCTTGCCTTCTTACAGTGAAGAATTTCTTGTACTCCCAGTATCCTCTGTGATAATAGGACATTCAGCCTCAAAGTACTGTAATCAGAAGTTCGCTTGTGTAGAAGAGATGTTATCCATACAACAAGATCATTTGAGAAGGGGTTGGTTGGATATTGGCCCTAATTTTCTCGTGGGGGGTAACGGATTGGTTTTTGAAGGGAGAGGGGCGAACATTTTGGGCGTCATGGTATCATTTTGGAATAGAAGAAGCATCACAATAATGTTTATCGGAAACTACGTAAATGACGTACCTGATGACGCACAGTTTCTACATGTAAATATTTTACTAAAAAGATTAGCCGAACTGGGAGTGTTGACGCCGAACTTTATAGTTTACGCACAGTGCCAAGTACAGCCGTTGACTGTCCCACCGGGTCGACATTTATTGCGATCAATGGACAAAATAATTCACTGGAAACCTTTAAACATTACGGGTTGTTTATCCAGATGAAATATATGACGATATCAATTTGTAGTCCAAAATAAATCGTGACCTGCGTAGACAGCACCACGGACGCTCGACAGTGAGGCTGTTGACTTATTCAAATACAGATATGTTACTCGTATGTGGGTCCCACTCTCTTAAAGAAAGTGAGTGCATTGTTTTTGAATTAAAAAAACTTTTTATAGATCAAATGAAAAGCAAGTAGAAAAACAAAGCTTATAATTATTATAATTATAATTTGAAAAGGTTTCTTTCTATAACTAATTAACTTGTAACTTAAACATAATGTAATTGAACATTAAATAAGAGATCTCAGTATTTGTATAAATAACATATATTTGTATTAAAATCGTTATGTTTTAAACTGTACATAACTAATATAATTTTTTTATTAAAAATATATTGCCTGTATACTGCGCAATCCTCAACATATACGTCATTGTGCATTCTAAGGTGTAAAGTATGAAATTATAAAGAAATTAAATAAATAAAATATGAAGTTATTTGTGATTTTCCTTATATTATATAATGAGTTAATGTGCAAGTTTTAAGCAAAGTTAGTTTTGTAAATTAAATCGTTTCTAGGTTAAATAACACTTAATTGCGATACCAAAATTCAAAACGCTTAGCAAATCAAAAGCGTTTATTGAATCACAATATAAATAACGTACATTGACGCATCTGTTGGTACGTAATTTATAAAAATTGGATTAGGCAAATCGTGGACCAAATCATTTAAGTGACCCATCAAAAGAGATGGGAAAGTTTATATGTGGAATATTCTCTACATAATATGTACGAACTCGTTTACTCCGCTTCAACGCGCCTGAGTCTTTAAATTATTAATCACGCAAACAAAGCGACGCGGACAATAAGCTAAGTTTCGACACCTATCATGATTGTATATTCTATCCGTGAGCTGAATAGCCCAGTGAGTATTGTGAACCGAGCCATTTTACGCTTGTCAGTACCCCGGCTGTAATGTGTACGTACTATTCTGATATATCTAAGAAAAATTGTTTGCAATTGTCGTGGTTTTAGTGTATTATCTGCGATGTATGCTGTATAAATAGAATTGTGCGTCACCCAAGATAACAATACGTATCCGAGTCAGAGTGCGCTGTTTTACAGCTGTACTAACAACCGCTTCGTAGTAAAGAACTGCAGTCTAAAGGCCTCCATGACTTAGTGGTTAACACACTGGCTTATAGCCCACTTTTGTGTATACCAACCACACAGAGATACTGGCTTCGAATCCTGGAGAAATAGTATTTAGGGACGGTAACTACAAAAGACTGATATGCGGATACTGACTCGGATATGCGTGGTGTTAGAATGAGTTCGAATTTCGAAATTACAGAGCAAATAACTTATTGCCAGTATAGTTTTGAGCAATTGCAATCAACTCTGACAGGCGCTTTTAGTGCTGCATTCTAGGCTTGATGTATGCAAAGCAATCAGGCTTATTTTTAATTATCATTCCATTACATATCTTCTGATAAATCATACAGGCCAGATAAAACGACACTACTCATATAGTAAACATACATTATATCTTTCTCGATGATTTCTATGAAATACTGCTAAAAATATCTTGATCTAGTGTAAGTTGTAACCGCGGGTCTCTCAACCTCGTGCTTTCGAAAACTTACTTAGCAGCATTTTTTCTACGTACACACTACTTACGAATACGTACGATAGAGATATAAACACTGAGCATTTTCTCATTCAAGTCTTTGATCCAAAAATCGAAGACATTTCGAGGTCGCGTACCTACAAAGAAAGCTGTTTATCTACATATTAAGGAAACGGACAAAAAATCAGTAGCCCCATTAGTTAATCTTGTTTTAAATGTTTATTTCTACTTATTTAACAGATTGAAACACTCAAAAGTAAATAATAAATTTCAGAGCTCTCCTTTCCTAAATATCTTTGGGACATCGTGAAGAACAGTTCTCGTACAGAACGACTGTCTTGCGCAGTAGCAATCATGGTTCTTATCGTGTGTATAGCTCTCATTGTCTACTTCGCAGGCCTGTCAGCGAATACATCCGAATCGCCTATAGACAAAGGTACGTTACATGTACTCTTACACATATTGTTACCATAACTGTCGCTTTGGTTCTAATAAATAAACACCGATAAGTATGAATCGTAGTCCTTTTAGTTATGTGATAGGAGGCAAACGGGCAGGAGGCTCAAATGATATTAAGTGAGTTCGCCGCCCATGGACACTCACATTCCCAGAAGGCTCAAAAGAGCGTTGCCGGCCTTTCGAGAATTGGTACGATCTCTTCTTGAAGGACCCTAATTCGAATTGGTTCGGAAATACTTTAGTAAGCAGCTGGTTCAAAATAGCGGTGATGCGCGGCAAAACCTTCCTTAAAACGCTCAGTTGTGGAACGAGGGACGTCGAGGTGATACGGATGGTACAATGTATTCTGCCTTGACGTCCGATGATGAAATTCAGCTGCAGGTACCGACCGAACAACTCCTCTGAACCCTCTTCATGGTAAATGCGGTGGAAGATGCAGAAAGGCCTGAAGTTATGGTGAGATCATGCTGGTACTACTACTGGAATAGCTATTTTTTGCAACTTTGCATTCTTGACATTAATACAATCCATTTTATGCAGCCCAATTTATAAAAATGCCACTGTGTCGATTAAAACATTATCTTTCAGTTTCGCATTATCTTATACATTTACTGGTCACGTGGTCTTTCATGTGCCATATTTTGTTTACAAATATTGTAATTTTCTATAGTTTCTCTTCTGAACATTTTTGCTTCAGAATTATCAAATATGTCACTAGATAAGAGCACAAGACACGGGTCCCGCCTATAAAAATCATGAGGATATTACCGGAGTAATCACAGTCCGGGCCCGGCGGGAGACACCCAGACTTAACTTAATAAAGTCCGTTACTAGAAAAGGGAAGAATAGACACTACCCTGGCGTTTAGTTCACAGCCACGGATCTGTCCGACCGCGTAGTTAGTAGGTATCTCCTATAAACAGTCTCATCTGTGGCCGTTTCACTTTTTTAGAAGCACGTAGATGATTAGTTTTCTCTTAATCGTTCCGCCGGGAAAAGAATTCAGATCGGGTTAGTAAACCTCGTATTATATAGACCAAACTACCATTAATAGCAATGAGCAAAGTGGTTTTACAAGATATGTGATGCCTTTCCTGTTCTTCTTGGTGTCATTGGATTCTTCCCAAGATTGGTACGCGAAGCCATTGAAATCAAAAACCACCCCAATTTCAATAGAGAAGACGGCCTAAAATTCTCAAACACCTGGGATCCAATAATATCCAAACTAAAATCTCTCTTCTGCCAAAACCCTCCATCTTTTAGTCGATACCAACTCCGGGGTAACGGCAACAAATACAGATAATACAACTTTTTCTACAGCTGTGATAGTTTTTGACATTCAACACCTTTTGTCTTCAGTCACCGTGACCACCTACGCTGTATGTCGGTTAAATTTAAAATTATGAAAAATAATTGTAAATACATAACTTCAATCCGGTAAAAAATTGTTTTATTATCATATCTGATGCTTTACAATTTCAATAATATGTAAGGATAAATGTATGATAAAATAATTAAAAGAGCGAGATCGTACTGTAAAGGAAATACGTAAGACCCAAAAAGCGATGCCCAGTGTCAGGCTGATCTACTGTACAATTTAAAAAATAATGTCTTGAAACAAATAAGAGAAACCTGAGGTCAAGGTTGTAACGCCATTGAGATTTTTGGGTCTTTATATTTTCAATGATTTTTTAATGCATAACGCAAACGTGCGTAGAATAAGTTTTTAATAAACCTACTGGCAGGGTCTAATGAAGTTCATATTTTAGCACCTCATGAATGGCGCATTACTCGAGAGATGTGGCTGGCCCGGCCTTACAACTACACCCACACGTTAGACGCCTTTGAGCCATTGATGTTGGTCATCTTTCAGCATACAGTCAGCCCCCAATGCAGTCTCTTTAAGAACTGCGCCGCTGAATTACGCAATTTGCAAGGCTATTTTATAAGTCATTATGACTATGATATACCGTAAGTTGATATAGTTATGTATCTGTGATCACCTATTTGATGAATCTTAAATATATATTCGGCCTTCGATTCTCTGCGACAGGTTTTTACTGACACAAACCAGTATACGGAAAACATAATACTATTACTTTGAGCGCCTTAATTGTAAATATTTAATAACGTGTGTATATTTAGATACAACTTTCTGGTCGGAAATGATGGTCGCGTTTATGAAGGTCGAGGATGGAACATCGAAGGAGCCCATACGTTTGGCTATAACCGATGCTCCATTGGAATCGGATTCATAGGTATTTTTATTGTTTTTATTATTTTTATTGCAAGCAACGTCTTTTTTAATTAAACACCTAAAAATACCTTAATTTTCTCTCTGTTATGAAATCACTTAGCGAATGATGTTATGTAATCGTTATTAGTAGTATCCGCCATATTCTGTACCAAAATATCAGTCTTACTATTTTTTCTCGCATCTGAGGGTGGTCCATGGAAAAATCTGCGACTCGCAGCAGTTATGACTAGTATTTATATACAGTATGTATTGATAAACAGAATACGAAACGCCTCTGTTTCTCCTTTCTCAGAACACTTAATTGTTAAACCTTTAAAACCAATCTTACAATTTTAAACATCTGTAGGTGATTATCGTGGGGAAATTGAGAGTCACGCCTCGGTGACTAAAGCTCAGTTAAATAGAACGAGAATGCTTCTAGAAGAGGGTGTAAGACTTGGCCATTTGCGAAAAGACTTCTTGGTCATTGGTGCCAATTACTTGGGACCCACGGCGAGTCCAGGATCCATTTTAAATAATGCGCTAAAACAGTGGCCGAATTATGACCACAAAAATCGCTTTTATAAACTAAATTGTGAAAAAATGGAAGAAAAATTTGGTAATACCACATTATACTAGTTTTAGGAATTTGTAATTATATAGATGCCTGTTAGCATTATTTCTGTTGAATCTTATAAAATATATTTTTGGAATTATATTAAGATGTAAATAATTGAATGTAATTTTGTACTTTTTTAATAAATAAAAAAATGTGTCGAAAAATAGAGTAAAAATAAAAAGATTTGTAAATGTTTTAATCACATTGTTTATTAGTTTATATATATTATATTTAGTGTACTTTGTTGCAAGTTTGAGAGCTAATATTCGACAACATCATACTGCGTTCTGTAGGAGTTTATATTACACAGTACGATACAAACAAAAATTTAAAGAAAATACCTATTTAGAAGATTTCCGTACGTATATAAGGTAATGAACACGCCATGACCTCAATCATTCTAGGTCGTGATCGTTTTCATTTTGTTCATTTAAATCACATCTTTATTGTACACACTTTATACACTTTTGGCATAACTATTTTGTCATATCATAGAGGATAAACTAAAAAATATAATCTTCAGTATCCAAAATTTGCAATTCTGAATATCAATTTTAACATTCGATACTTAAGATAGAGGTTCTTTTAGGCATGTAAAATATGGTGTCCGCCAAACCTACGTAATTTTAGAAAGGAACTAACAAATGCAATGAAATAGTTATTGTTGATTAACATTTATTATATTTCAATTTGTAAATTCGGAAAAAAGATACGGCACACTTCGACAGGTATATAAGGTATGAACTTCAATTGGCGGTGTAGCGTTAACTTAATCAGATCTCCGATACAAGACACTCGTCTGCTCTGATAATTTATCCGAAGTAATGGTTAAAGTTAAGACTAGTACATAATAATACCTAAACCCGAATCGATCCGGGGATCAATTCACTACAACATCGAATATTAATTATCCACTTTCATAATATAACGTGGTTACACAGGCATGTATAGGTTTATATTAAGAAGTGAAATTAAGAAGTGAAACTGTACTTTGGTTAAATAAAATGATATATTTCAGATTTATGTATATGTATAGTGAAATAAAGTGTGAAACTGGCTGTCACTTGATAATATATACCTGTACAAAATAGAAAAGAGTATAATATAGCAAAATAAAAAAACACGAAGCATCGGCGAAGATTGTTCAAAATTCCTTAAAAACTTTATATAAACATTGAGACATTTTAAACATTAGCAATGTTATGACTTATACCAGAAATTCTTAACCAACTTTAATAAGTCAAAATTAGCCTCTAAATTTATAGTTTTGAAACAACGTAAAGGCACTACATAGTACATATTATAATTGGTGTTTAGTTTACACCTACAAAACAGGGTTATACACTATAAATAAATTTCATATTAAATGTCCAAAAAGCTGGTAAAAATAATTTATATAAAAAATAAATCGTGACGAAAGCACCGCAATCACAATTTATTCCGAAAAAACACATATTATTGCTCACATATCACAATAAACATTTAAATTAAGCGGTCGTGTCAATAAGAGCACAAGAAAAATTATGGCCGTCAGTCGGACCTCAATAAAAATGCCATAAATAATTTCTCACCTCAAAACGAATCCTACACGCGACACATAACACATGAGGAATAACTAGACTAGATTATGTGCCCTGAGGACATGTATATCCTTTAATTATTGCACATAAAGTTTTCAATTAATCACAGGAAAATTTCCAATAGAGATCTAAATATTATAACAAAAAGACATTAGCCAATACAGGTTACACGTAACTAAGATCCCCTAAAAACTAGTTTATCGCCTTACGAATATTTTTCTCAAGATTTGTATTTACTATATTTCGACTTGTGTGATGATTTTTTAACCAATATTAAAAGGTGTGAGAAAAAAATATTTTTATATACACATTACATTAAATACATGTCATCGTCGCGCGGTCAAAATTTAACTTAGCCACGCCTTGCTTCAAACCATGGGCGATGATTGCACCGTCTATTACTACTAGTTGGTGGGTACTGTATTCTAACCTTATCTGGATAAAATTTTCTAAAAGAGAAAGGTAGGCCTCCATAAAAAATTTGTCTGTTTTTTACCAATGAAATTACTGTATCAATATTATAGTAGGAATAAGAAAAATAGGAATAGATTACTTCACTACTGAGGAGGGCGAAATACAATTAGCCGAAAGACGGAAACCGTTGTTGAGTGTTGGTGATGATTTACGAACACATACGTTAAACTAAAATAAGACTTATTAATTTACATATAAGAAATATAAAAATTTTAACTTTTGAACGCATCATTAATAATTGAGATAAGCTAATACAAATTAAATACTCTTTAAATATTTTTTCTACGAGTTTACTGAATAACTATTCCAATATACTTTATATTTCTGTAAATTAATATTTTCGTTCCCTAGTGATTGTTCATAAGAATGATGAATTAAAAACGAGCTGCGCGCCACGTTCACATAACACACTAATAATAACAGGAATTTGTACATTGCTTAAACTGTAGTAAATAAAAAAAAACCCTACACTTGTTATGTGTCGCCTACAATTATTTAATTAAAGTGAAACTGGAATTTTGAACAACGTGTCCTCGCGAAAAAGAACCTCTTACAAACACATGACTAAAGAAGCAAAAAAATTCGATAATTTGATATGTTTTACGCTCATATCTAAGCAATTTGCTCGCAACTATGATACGACAAGTGAATAACCTAAATAAATTAAAATTTTCTAAATGCTGCTAAACCGAGAATCAGTCAGTCTCTCTTGAATACATAAACTGTACAACGATTGGCACTCTCGAAAATCACAAATTTAATTTTATAACAAAATAATGCGATAATTAATCAATTTCGAACAAACTACAAATTCATACATTGTTCAGTACATATTAGTCATACATTGAGGGAATCGTTTCAAAAGGCTACTCTCTGAATAAATTCAAATTGGAATGTAGGTATAACAAATAAAAAGGTCAGTATTATTACACAAACTCTTTGAATATTTTATACTAAAGAATATGAAATACATATAAAGGGATGGAGAGTGCCATGGTTGCTTGAGTTTACCTTGAATTTAAACAAATCTAGAATGCATACCTACAATGCATAGCAGTATAAATAGCTGTAGTTGAGGCCTTTATTCGGTAAGTTGTTCTGAAAAGAAAGAAAAATTGTATTAGCCATAAGAAAAATACTTAACAATATTAATTATTATTTTACAATTTATACATTTACTAGCAGACCAGCCAAGCGTTGCTGTGGCTAAGTTTTAGTTATATTACATACTAGAAACCTATTCAAGGGAAACGGTAGGAGAACACCAGTCATGGGGACCACCATGCTTTTTTGGTGGTAATGCCATTAAATTGTAGCTTATTTCAAACGTTGGTACTTTCAACACAGTGCCATCTGTTAGAATTGTGACTATCAAATAATAAACAAATATTTTGAAATAAAATAATATTGCGGGTATAAATTGAGATGTAAGCTATCCTATCTTTTAAGTTGGATCAAACTACACACGGTGTCCATAGCGGACAAACAACGTGACACGTAATTTATATATATTAAGCTTTGATTTTCGAATAACTATTGTGTTAATGGTTGGGATGTTCTACTAAAAGAAATATCAAAACAGATGCAATCCTTGCCCAAGGTCTATATAAGGTTGTACCATCACTGAATAGCTTATATTAAAACATAATACAACAATCTACCGGTGTCTAATTGAGCTATGAGCCGCTTAACGGTTTATTATATTTCGTTAGTCCTCTTTCTAAAAAGTAAGTGGACAAACTAGTTGTTAGCCACGAAAACCCTCCTCCGCTGAAGAGTATTCAATTAAAGTCAAATTTTAGTTGCAGCTATAAGATTCATCTACTGACTCAACAAAAATTCCACGAAATCTAACTTTTTTTAATCCGCCCAAAAAAAAATTATTTGTCTACTTCTAAATAATTGTTAATATTCAAATTTTTAAATTTCAGTTTTATTTTATTGACTATACACCTTTACACAAGACTTCATTACTTACACACCATGGTAACTTTTACTACTTTTTTCTACTAAGTATTATTACATTCCTTTTCTTTCTTTTTTTGCGCCTAAGGGATTGTTCAAGCATTACATAACGAATTTTAACCTTTTGTAAAACATTACTATGCAGGGCGGGCATTGAATTACGCGTTATTGTTAGTATTATTTTCGCCTTTCCAGTACTTTTTTACACGGCGCAAACTAGCTGCTGTGGTCCTGGCAGATTGACCAGCGCTGTGGAACATTCTGCTCCTCAGCATAATGCTGAGCCAGGGCCAATAACAACCACAGCACACCCGCATTACACAATTGAAACTAACCGAATGGGAAAAGGAAAAATTTTTTTTTTGATATCTCTCATATTTTTTTTCTATGATTATTGTTATTTTGCGTGTGTTTTTGTTAGTAATAAAGTAATGTCTATAAAAAAAACATATGGCACTCGGGGACTGCCGCGGTAAAGCTATTGCATTTTTTTTTCAACTTATGCAATTATAATTATTTATTTATGCAGTACTTTTTTTCCTTTAATATTAATTCAAGTTTTCTCTTTGATTCATCCAATCTACCACTCTACCAGACTCAGATTAACTCGCCTATACAGTCTGTCTCACTCTAACGCGCACCGGCTGCATCGATCTCGTCAGAGAGATGTGAATATGCAGTATGCGTTCTGTCCCGCTCTAACGCGTAAGGTTCTTTTCGTTACGGAATTTCTGGATTCGGTCTCCACGCTCGAGGTCCGCGATAGAAGCTATGCAATAGCTTAAAAATATAACTTCGCTTGCATATGCTGCTGTTCCTTGTCCAAAAATATACTTACCGTTGATAGGACGCCTTGTGCGAAAGCCCCGGGAGCCGTCGGGTCCTCGAGGCATCCGTGTTACAATCACGCGAGGGGTGGATGCGTCCTCTTGCGAAATTGTACGAAGGCGCGCTAACAATCGCTCCGGACGGGCCTTGGAAACTGCTCCCTTGCTCCTGTAACGTAATAAATTGCTGTTAGTAAAGTTCCTCATGAGGGACACCCGTTCGAAAACGATTCTTATGCCTCCAAAGCAAATAAAAGGTAAGCGAATTCAATATTTTGTTTTAATTAAAACGTAAAAATACGGGAAATTGTCGGAAAATATTACATTTCTGTAATAATACATTTTTATTAATGGCTTTGGCGTAATACTCGAAAAGAAAAATATATTAATATATTATAGACTAATCTTATATATAAAATTCTCGTGTCACAATGTTAGTTACCATACTCCTCCGAAACGGCTTGACCGATTTTTATCAATACGCAAATAGTAGATTTTTCCTACTTACTTTATATTTTGGACATTTCACACAATATCTATGTGTTATAAATTGTAGCCTATGTGTTATTCTGTTGTATAACCTTGTATAGTTTCATTACAATCTATTCAGTTTTTACGTGAAAGAGTAACAAACCATCCATCCAAACTTACAACTTTCGCGTTTGTAATATTAGTAGGATTTTTTAATATAGGAATAACTAGGACATAATTATTCTTCAAAAGAGTTCATTGTTACCTAAAGAATATATTTTGTTTTTTTTTTATAGAACCAGGGGAAAACGGGCAGAAGGCTCACCTGATGTGAAGTGATTACCGCCCATGGACACTCACAATGAAGAAAAATTTAAGAAAAAAAAACCAATATTTGATTCTTACCCCGTCTTAACAACGTTGCAAGCAGACGATTTGCCGTTGCGTGGATTAGTCAACATAACGAACTCGACCGAATCGCCTGGTTGCAAATCCGCGTGGTTGCCGCGCACCTCCGACATGTGGAAGAACAGACGCCGGTTATCTTCACCGTCGACAGACAGGAAACCGAAACCACCTGCAAACCAATTTATAACTTAACGATAAATATACCACAATAAATTGAAGTAGGTCCTGAAATTAGTTAGGCCTAACGCTAATAAAGTTTTATATTAGAGTTTATAAAAAAAAGTGTGTGTGTACAAAGTACACATGTCAGAAGTGAAACTTCTGTGGCAAACCAATCTTTAAGTGTTGTTCATATTTATACAAATCTAAAAGTTTAGATTTCCGATACTTAGAGAGACGGAAAAAGGAAGATATGTTAGGAATTTAATGAATGTATAATATATAATAATAATAATAATGAATGAATAAATAATAAAAAATGTGACGGTAAATTTTATTCCAACGCCGATAAAGAAGTTTGACTTCAAAAAGCAACATGTCGCGTAACCGAAAAACGTGACGATTTGCTTCGATAAAGAAGTTTCACTTCAAACATCAATTAAATTAACAATTAAAAAATATTTTATGTTTTTAATATTAATATATATAAAATAAAGGAAGGAAAAATTGCATGGAACTTGGCATACGGATTAATATTAAATTGAAACTTTTTATCTAAACGAGTTAAGAAATGTTTTCAATTTATGTTTGTGATATTATTGAAGTTGGAAAATATTTAAGAATAATTACAGATCATCAATTTAGGCCTGGAACCGCGTATACTAAATTTCCAAAGTATGTTTTTCTACAATGAAACCCTTGGAAACTGAAACCTCGTTTTTTTTGAAGTGAAACTTCTTTATCGAGGTTGGAAAAAAATTTAGTGTAACATATTTTCGTTACGCGTCACATTTTTCGGTTACGCGCCATTTATCGGCGTTGGAATGAAACTTCTTTATCGACGTATGGGAGAAATTTTGTAGCAAATCGTCACGTTTTTCAATGATAGTAATAATTCTATTACAATTAATGAAATTCTATAATAATCTTCGTAGTAATAAGGTAAAATGAAATATTTGTATTCATGTCTATGATAATAAAAGCCTTTCGTTAAACTTTATCTAATTTTACGAATTTCTGTAAAGTTGCATATAGTAGATCATTTTTCGAAAAATAAGATCATAAAGAAGTTTCACTTCTTACGTGAGTACACCTAGTACACGCACAATTTATTTTGTTATGTATATGTTTTTGATTAAGGTAATAAAGTAGAAATAAATAAAATAAATAAATAAATCCTCAGAGAACAGAATGAAAGTAGGTTTTATCAAATTCCGTTCAGCAGTTTGTATGTAATTGTGTATATGATAATATTCTTTTTAATTGACAGTTATTTGATGTTTTTTTAGATATACACATACCCTTGATAGCGTCTACAACGGCCCGTCGTTTCTTTCTAACGGGCACAATGTTAGTCGCACGTCCCTCGACGTCAGCTTGGAATGTCACCGGGTCGCTGATTTGAAGAATCTCGCGTTTGCACGCTAGACCCATAATTCCAAACTCGTATGACGTCCCATTCTCAGCTTGGATCATACCTGAAAAGGATAAAAATTATTATTTGATTTCACAAGTTTTGAAACCTTTGAAAATTATCTGTCACAATCACGAAAGTGAATAAAAATTAGATTTTTAAACTTTCACACTAAACGAAGTAGATTCTTCTTTACAATTTCCATATTTTTCTTCAAATAGTAGACCATTTACAAAATTTAATATTTCTCATATGTAATTAATCCAAAGTAGATTAAACTATCTCCATCACAATTCAATAAATAAAATATAGACGGTGTGCAACTAGCCACCACTAAACTACATATAAATAACACCAAGTATAGGTAGAGAACCTCACCGGAATATTGTAGTTGATCCGGGTTTAATGCGCGCATTGTACGCGTAACTGTACCATTCAGGGTCGCCTCCAATGGCTTGGCAATAGGGATAGTACCTCGGGGCAAGGTACGAACAAACTCAGCACTGGCACATCCACCACCAGAACTGCTGATCCTTCCCAACGAGTATTCAACTTCCATGCCGAGCTCAAGACCGTCTGGATTGCGCTCGAGGTTGCTGAAATATTTATTTTAACTATAAACGCGTGGAAATTTTCATTGTAATTAATAAAATTACTATATGAAAGATTTTAATATTTCCTTTAATTACTATTACAACGCTTCAGGAAACTTAAACAGTTAATGCTTATATAATTCAGAATAGGTTAAAATAGTTCTTGAAAGATGTCGATTATACTTCCGATGTATTCTATAATTATTTATAGCATGTCTGAAAATAATTGTATCAAGGTAAAACTAAAATTTAACTATGACCCAGACCACATATATCACAATCATAAATAGAACATTCGCTTCTCCACTCCAAGTAATGCCTGATTTTTAAAAATTGTGTTAAAGTTAATGCAAAGGGTAAATAATTTTATTTTTAATTTCACTATTATAAAGACAGTATATAATTTTATTATAAATATAAATTATTTTCAACAAACGCACAGCCTAAATTCCTATAATGGGTAATCTTCAATTAGACACATTTATGTGTCTGTGTGTAATCTTTATTTAAAACAAACTAATCTGGGAATCGAACCCAGAACCCGGGTTTAATAAATTGCGCAAACAATGTGCGACCCGCATTAAGTATAGTAAAAGTAATAGAAAATTATATAGCTCAAAAATAAAAGTTGCCTTGCTAAATAAATAAAAAATTGCATTGCATTACTTTTCATACATTTCTTAACTTTTGACTAAATACAAAAAGATATTATTGTGATAATAAATAAGCAAAAGCATTTCATAGAGAAAATTTTCATAATTTTTGTTTAAATAAAAATTCTTTAGTTACCTAAATCTAATATCATGAATTCGTATTAATATTCGTTAAAGAAGTTTTCTTTATACCAAAGACATCATATTTATTTGACACACGCAAGCTAATAAACCTACCTGAAGTGGAAAAAGATTTCCTTAGTATGGTCAGCTGTTTCTATAAACCCAAAGCCATCCTTCAAAGCTGCGATGAACCCTTGCATGATGGGACGAGAGTTTCCGTTAGCAGAACTTCCATTGGCCGTGCCCAAAGTTTGTATTTGTACAGACATTGCCACTAAGTCTTTGGTTCTCTTAGACTGTAATTTAACAATAGCTTAAGTTAAAATACAATCACATGGATCTAAATAATGCAATCACAATTTTTTTTTGTCATTAAAATGAAAAAAAGATAACATTTTAATTAGTTATAATGATGATAATTTTTCTAAATTTCATATAATCAGTATTAATATTGTTTTATTATGTGTATGGTTAACCAAATTAAAATCCTTGCGTGTTTTGTGAGTAAGGCAAGTGTTAAATCATAAAAATGTAAAACAGATTTTTACTGTTTTATTATTTTGAAGAACTATTTGTTTATACATTTATATGAACTTACGCTTCACAATTTTCAAAAATATTTTTAAAAAACAACCTGTTTTCATACTTGAATAATAATTTTGTGAAATAATCATGTTACCTGGTATATATCAAACAGAACTTTGTCGCCCACACGTGGAATTACTTTTACTTCGCATTTATTAGCGGCAAAGGGTATGTTTTTCTTTACGTTATTGATGTGGCAAGTAATGATTCCATTTTCCTGCAAAAAAATCATAAAATGAAGTTTTTTACCGTTACAGCTTTAATCTATGTAATTATTATCAAAATACTACCAGGAATTAAATTGTTATTAAATAATAGACAGAAAAAATAAACAGAAAAAAAAAATGGGAACAAAGAAATGATTTTTTTTTTTAAAATTTAAAAGGGTTGTTTTTAAAAAAAAATTTTTTTTTTTTTAAAAATTAAAAAAAAATTTTGGGGATAAAAATTTTATTAAATTTTTTTGAGGGAAAAAAATAGATTAAAATATTTATTATATATTATATATTATATATATAGGGGTGATTAATTGAGGGAAAGAGGGGGTGGTAAAAAAAATATTTTAATTAAAATTTTTTTTTTATAAAAAAAAAAGGAGGGGAAAAAAAAATAATTTTTTTTTAGGGTGGATATATTTTTTTTTTTTTTTTTTTTTTTTTTTTTTTTTTAAAAAAAAAAAAAAAAAAATATATTAACAAATAAAAATAAAGGAAAGAATAAAAAAAAAGAAATATAATAAAAAAAAGAAAGGAAATAATGGGATGGTTTGGGGGGGGGTGTAATAATTTATTAGTGTGGGTTTTTTTTTAAAAAAAGAGGGGGGGGGGGGAATAATTAGGAAAAAAAAAAAAAAAAAAAAAAAAAAAAAAAAAAAAAAAAAATAAAAGAAAAAAATAAAAAAAAAAAAAAAAAAAAAAAAAAAAAAAAAAAAAAAAAAAAAAAAAAAGAAAAAAAAAAAAAAAAAAAAAAAAAAAAAAAAGAAAAAAAAAAAAAAAAAAAAAAAAAAAAAAAAAAAAAAAAAAAAAAGGGGAGGGTTTAAAATAAAAAAAATAAATATATATAATTTTTTAATATAAAAAATTAATTATATAAAAAAAAAAAAAAAAAAAAAAAAAAAAAAAAATGAGGGAGGAGAATAAAAAAAAAAAAAAAAAAAAAAAAAAAAAAAAAAAAAAAAAAAAAAAAAAAAAAAAAAAAAAAAAGTTGCGCCGGATTGTTATTTTTATAATAATTTTGATTTTAAATAATGGTTGCTCAATACATATACCCATCCTAATAGCTCCTAGACGCATGTCTCATCACCCACCTATTTTATGTCCCAATCCTATGACGGTACTAGTTCCGGAACGGGCTATAGGTGGCGCGCACGACGATGAGTCTCTAATAAGAATTAATTAGTGACAATTTTTGATGACCCGCGATATGGTTGATTATTCGCCGCACGCTCGCAACGCTTCCTTTTTCTTTTAAACATTTAATTTTTTATTATAAACTTTAACTATACTTAAATTCAATTAACTTTAACTTGATTAAGTATAATTTGTGAAAGTGATTGTTCATTGGTGTACAACAAAGGAAAGAAGCCACTAGAAGAAGCCACGAGGTTCAAGGTACTGTGCCGACATCCTTTCTTTCTTTTTCCCATTGTCCATTATTGAGCAATCATATTAGGTATCAATAAGAAAAAAAATACAGTCCACTATATAACCACTTCAAAAATATAGCTTATAGGTATAAAGTTTTTATAAAAATTAACCACCCGCGCCGCCAAAAAAGTTGGTCCAAACGAGCCGAGATATATTTCTTAGCTTATAGTTTTTACCTACGCTCCGCTTATTTTCGCTTAGTATAAGAATTTAGCTAAGCAATTGTAATGTTATGCTTATAACATTTCGATCATTACTTGCATCGCTTTGTTAAACGTACGCGTGACCTTGGCATAGTTTGTCGGTCACTGCAACATATTTGCACTTCAGTAAACTTTATACCTAATTATTCTTAATTGCTTTTCTATTCTATTATATTGAATAACTATAATTTTACCGCTATTTTAAATTAAAAATGCCGAAGAGTGATAAGCTTTCGGAATCTACAGATCTAGCTGTAGATATACAACTCGTATTATTAGAACAAAAACGGAATACAATATTCATTTGTTTACAAGAGGTATTTGACCTATCTAAAGATGCGGATTGTGACCCTTTGATGAGGGAAAACTTTCTCGACGCGAGTAGTAATATTGAAACGTTACGCTCAGACTTTATTAAAATCTTAGATGATTATAATAATCGCTTGTTATCTTTAAATCCTAAGGCGACTCCGGAATTTAAAAGTTTAATTGCATTCGAGCGGCTTTACGGCCGCGTCAAGCGCTTAGTTTCACTGTACAGCTGTAGTGCTAATAAAACTGATAAGGATACGCCGCGGAGACTTAAGCCCTATTTGCCTCCTATCGAGTTGGTATCTTTTGACGGGGATATTAGGTCTTGGCCTTTATTCTATAATAACTTTAAGACTACCATACATGAAAATGAATCACTTACGGACGGTGAAAAGATATATTACCTATTAGGAAAACTAACAGGCAAAGCAAAATCGGCTTGCGCCGGGTTTACACCTTGCGCCGAAAATTATGAAATAATTTATAAAACACTTATTGATAAATTTGAAGACAAGCGTTATCTCGCAACCTCGTATTTAGATCAAATTTACGATATTAAGGCGATGTCTATCGCAAACGCAAATAACCTTGAGCAATTTTTAGAAACATTTTCTTCTTCAGTTGCCGCTCTTGAGCATTTAAAGCTAAATAACCTAGCCGATTTCATATTTATGTATATGGCTTTAAAAAAAATAGATACTGAAACAGTTCGTTTATTCGAACTGTATAAACGCAGTTCCGATATACCAACATGTAAAGAGTTTATAAGTTTTATTCGCGAACACCTAAAAATATTACAACGCACTTCAGGTAAATATGATGCTAAGAAAACTTTGGAACGTAAATATGATACGACAAGCAAAATTTCAAAACCAACGCATACATACCTAAATACGGCGACTGCACCTACGCAGCCGGTGTGTTCCCTATGTAATACGCGACACGAACATTTGTATACATGCTCAACTTTTCATAACATGACCGCTAACGATCGTTTTAAATTTGTTAAGGCGAATAATCTGTGCGTGAACTGCTTAGGGAAGCACCGATTAACTGCCTGTAACTCTTCTTCACGCTGCCGCCGGTGTAATAATTTACATCACACCATGCTACACTTTGATAACAATAACAGCGCCGCAGCCACGGGCACCACGTCTGGTGACAGTACTTCACGCACTTTACCTGCTGCCACGCTGCGCAATGCCGCTTCCACTGTGCGCCTTGCCACTGCCAGCACTTCGGTTGACAGTAGTACCGCTAATAAAGGGCGAACTTCGGTGATACCCACGCAACCCCATGACGTCACATTGTGTTCCTTATCTAATTGTAATGCTTCCCGCACACCTACTACGGTGTTACTCGCTACCGCACGCGTTGTTGTTTTCGATACGCAAGGTAGGGAACATAATGTTCGCGCTTTATTGGACAGTGCCTCGCAAAGTAATTTCGCCAGTCGCAGCTTATGCCAGCGGTTGGGTTTAGAGACAAACCAGAAACCCTCATGTTCAGTGGTTAAAGGGATTGGAGGCACTACTAAGCCAATTCTAAGTTCGGTTTCGGTGAAATTCTTTTCCCGCTTTGATCTCAGTGTGTGTTTTAGCATGGACTCGCTCGTAGTCGACAAGGTCACGGAGCGCTTGCCCACTGTGTCTGTGGACATTTCGTCGTTGATCAATTTTAATAATTTACCTTTAGCTGACGATACCTACGCTGCCCCTGGAGATATTGATTTATTGATTGGAGCATCAATCTTTCCTCACCTTCTCTTATCTCGTAAAGTTCAAGGTCAGTCTGATTGTCTCTCACCGCTCGCTTTAGAGACCGTGTTAGGTTATGTTATTGTTGGCTCTGCTCCTGCTCTAGTTGATGATCACGCGTCTGTCTCATATTGTTGTGCTACAGACCCGCTTGACGCTGCTGTACGTAAATTCTGGCAGATAGAAGAAGTAAGCGTCCCGCAACTATTGAGTCCAGATGATAAGGCGTGTGAAGATATCTATAGCAGCACGACTACCCGTAATACGGATGGTCGATACATGGTCGCGCTTCCATTTAAAGGGGATGTATTTTCATTAGGTGATTCGTTTAAGAAATCTAAAAATCGCTTTCTTTGTTTAGAACGTAAAATGCAGGCATCACCTAAATTAAAGGAGGCGTATGATAACGTGATTAGTGAATATTTAAATAAGGGTTATATTTCTCCCGCTCCTCTAGACACTGAAGAAACTCGGAATTTACCCTCATATACAATACCTCACCATGGTATAATAAGAGAAGATAAACTTACTTCTAAATTACGCATCGTCCTGGACGGTAGTTCAAAGTCCAGTTCCCAAATCTCGCTTAATGACATTTTATATAATGGGCAAAATCTGCAAGGAAACTTATTTCATATTATTGTTAATTTTCGCTTATTTCGTATCGCTCTCTCCGCTGACATTCGTCAAATGTTTCTTTGCATTGGAGTTCGGCCATGTGACCGAAGGTTCCAACGCATTCTGTATCGCTTTTCGCCGCAAGAACCCTTGAAGGTTTATGAATTTAACCGCGTTTGTTTCGGACTGAAGTCTAGCCCGTTTCACGCTCTTCGTACCATAAAGCAACTAGTTTTGGATGAAGGTGCTTCTTATCCGCGAGCACAGCAAACAGTCAACACTGGTTTGTATATGGATGATTTTGTCTACAGCATTGACAACGAAGATGAGGCTATTTCCACCGCTGCGGAAGTAATCGCTTTGATGAAAGCCGGACAATTTGATCTTGTTAAATGGACAAGCAATTCACAAAGAGTCTTGGATTCTATTACGCCGTCGCATCGTCTCTCTGCTGTAAAGGAGTTTGATGACTCTGATTCGCATAAGGTACTAGGACTATGCTGGTCACCCGCAACAGATAATTTTAGTCTTAAAATCTGTACAACCGCTGAATCATGTACAAAGCGTACTATTCTGTCGTGTGTCGCTAGGATATGGGACGTCATGGGATTTGTTGCACCAGTGGTCTTATACGCAAAACTTCTCATAAAACAACTTTGGTTGTGTGAATGTGATTGGGATGATATACCACCCGACCACATCATTCAACAGTGGTCCCGTTTTAAGGAGGAACTTCCTCTTCTTGGAAAAATTAAAATTCCACGACATGTTGGCATCGCGACCGGTGATGTTGTAACCGTTGTGGGCTTCGCGGACGCAAGTGAAAGGGCCTACGGAGGAGTTGTGTACTTTCATGTAAGAGACAGTCAAGGTCTTCGCAAAAACTCATTTAGTCTGATAAGCGCTAAATCTAAAGTGTCACCTCGTAAGGTGGTTTCGCTAGCACGTCTCGAGCTTTGTGCAATATTAGTCCTAAGCAACTTAATTGCTAATGTAATTAATGCTTGTAACAATCGCATTAATATAGATCGTGTTTTCGCATTCTCAGACTCGACTGTAGCTCTTTGTTGGGTGCATTCTTCGCCCCATCGTTGGGATACTTTCGTTGCTAATAGAGTCTCTAAGATTCAGAATGAATTTCCACCGCAAACATTTTATCACATCGCTGGCCATGAAAACCCCGCTGATTGTTTATCTCGTGGCCTTAGTCCCGCACAAATCATTGATCATCCGCTTTGGTTCTGCGGTCCTCAATGGATTCTATCAGATCCAAGTTTTTGGCCTGTTACGGATTTTAATCCATCTACTGTGTCTCAGCCTCCAGAAGTAAAGAAGCATGTAACTCTTTTCACTGCTGAAGATTGTGAAAAGGTTGAGAAAAGTTTTTTAATTACGCTTGCAAATCGTTTTTCATCTTGGTCAAAGCTTTTACGCATTGTCGTTTATATCTGTCGTTTTGTTAAATTATTGCCTCGGCGTAGTACTATAATCGCAGCGGATTTAGATTACGCTGAGAATTTAATACTGAGTGACCTTCAACGGTCCCACTTCTTCAACGAAATCGCTAGCTTACGTACAGGCAAGCGATGTACCCCTGCTTTTCAGCGCCTCAAGCCATTCTGTCAGAACAAACTTCTTAGAGTCGGAGGACGGTTGAGTAACGCCGATATAAAATTTGATAGTAAGCACCCACTCATACTTCCTCGGAAAGGTCATATTTTGAACCTTATAGTGGATTACTATCACAAATTGAATTGCCATGCAGGTCCGGAGCTATTGATGTCCATACTGCGACAAAAATATTGGATTTTGTCCGCTCGAAATTTAATTCGAAGCCGGGTTCACAAATGTTTACCCTGTTTTCGACTCCGCGCTAAACCAAATTTTCCTGAAATGGCCGATCATCGCTCCTGCCGAGTTACACCAGTCGCTAAACCCTTCGTACATACTGGCACTGATTACGCGGGTCCCTTTAAAGTGAGTAGTTCGCGTGGACGCGGAATTCGATCGTTCAAGGCATACGTATGTCTTTTTGTGTGCTTAACCACCCGCGCTGTTCACATAGAAGTTGCAGGTGATTTAAGCACAGCTAGCTTCCTTGGAGCTTTTAAGCGTTTTCTATCACGCCGTGGTCCCGTGGCTCGCGTGTACTCAGATAACGGCACTAATTACGTAGGCGCAAAGCGCACGCTTTCAGAGTTACACGACTTCTTAGTTTCAAAACACTTTAACTCTGAGTTTGGTCACGTATTAGCTGAAACTCGCATTGATTGGTCATTAAATACTCCAGCTGCTAGTCATTTTGGTGGCAATTGGGAGACCAATATTAAGAGCCTTAAAACTCATTTATACCGGGTGATAGGTGATCAAATTCTAACTTTCGAGGAGTTCAGCACTGTACTTGCACAGATCGAGGCAGTGATGAACTCGCGGCCACTGTGTCGCACGCTATCCAATGATCCATCGGAACCTCTCGCGTTAACACCCGCTCACTTTTTAAACTTAACACCGCTAAAGTATCTACCAGCTAGAGAAATCGAAGAAGATAGATTACATTTGCTTTCGCGTCATGAGTTAGTTGACAAGCTAGTGCAGTCCTTTTGGAAGCGCTGGAAGTCTGATTACCTTCATACATTGCAAATGCGGAACAAGTGGAACACGCCAGCTAAGCCAATTTCTAACGGCGATGTTGTAATAGTTATTGTTGACAATGCACCGCCGCTCCACTGGCCGTTAGGAATAGTGGAGGAAGTTTTCCCTGGTTCAAACGGTGTTATACGTGTGGTCCGCGTTCGCACGGCGTCAGGTACCTATCTACGTCCTGTAGTACGTCTCTGTCCCCTACCTAGCGAATAGTTACATTTGTATAGGTCATTGGTTAGGTTAGTTAGTTTACATTTGTATAAGTCGTTAGTTAAGTTAGTTACTTTAATAAACTTTTCTTTAGATCGCTTTTCATATCGCTATTCATTTACTTTCTAGTTTTTCTTGAAGGCAACCCTTCAAACCCGGGGGAATGGTTGCGCCGGATTGTTATTTTTATAATAATTTTGATTTTAAATAATGGTTGCTCAATACATATACCCATCCTAATAGCTCCTAGACGCATGTCTCATCACCCACCTATTTTATGTCCCAATCCTATGACGGTACTAGTTCCGGAACGGGCTATAGGTGGCGCGCACGACGATGAGTCTCTAATAAGAATTAATTAGTGACAATTTTTGATGACCCGCGATATGGTTGATTATTCGCCGCACGCTCGCAACGCTTCCTTTTTCTTTTAAACATTTAATTTTTTTATTATAAACTTTAACTATACTTAAATTCAATTAACTTTAACTTGATTAAGTATAATTTGTGAAAGTGATTGTTCATTGGTGTACAACAAAGGAAAGAAGCCACTAGAAGAAGCCACGAGGTTCAAGGTACTGTGCCGACATCCTTTCTTTCTTTTTCCCATTGTCCATTATTGAGCAATCATATTAGGTATCAATAAGAAAAAAAATACAGTCCACTATATAACCACTTCAAAAATATAGCTTATAGGTATAAAGTTTTTATATATTAACCACCCGCGCCGCCACAATCGATTAATAAAAAATCGATTTTTTAAGCAGAATGTCACATACCTACCAACATTGAAACTAAAACAGAAATTTCTAAATAAAATATTGTACAAGTAAAATAGAATTCGCACCGACAGCTAGCGATATAATAGCACTATACAATCGAACATCCGTTTCTACGGTACACTTCATTTATATTCGCAATTGTTATCATCCGACAGGTGGTTATTGTAGTAACTGAACTGGGAATTTCCTATGTTATTCAAATATAAAACCTAACCCTAGACAAGTGTATGAACTATAGCCTGAACTGCGTAGTTAGTGATCCCATTAATTTACAAAACAACAACTTAACTACTTCGACTATGGAAATAAATGTTTAAGAAAATATAACAGATCTCTGCTATGATTGCTTCAAAACATTAACTAATCTAACAGTGAAAAGGCTCATCCGTTTGAGATGTGATCATACTACCTTGTTCTTCGATTCATACTTAATACGAGAAACGCTAATTAATTAACACTAGAATGCATTGTATGGAAATAAAAAAAATTTAAGCACCTATTAACATTAAAAAAATTACATTGACAAACTAACAGGTACTATATATAACGAGAATAATAAGACGATATTTGTAGATATCTGCTAATAAAATAGCATCGCGATTTTTGTTGGGAACATTTAGCACAAATTGAAGAGAAACTACAAAATTTCAAACTTTTGTGACTCTTTCAGTCCGATTGTCAATTAGTTAAAACTATTTCATAACTTCTGAAAACGTTGCCGTTTGTTCATTTCAACGTTAGTTTATTTTTATAACATTTAAATGAAATAATCACGACAAGACCGTCTTGGAAAAAGATGTATCACCTTCATTTTCTATTTGAGATTTGATTTTCTACCGACTAGAAGTAGTAATTCTAGTTAAATAATTGTATTATTGGGACATTTTGGGATATTTTTAAATTAATGTTGTAATATAATAAATGCATTGACTAAAATAAGGTACACTTATGAACATAAAATTAAATGACCAAAATATAAAAATTATTTCTTAAAAATATAGATAAATATAAGTGCTGAAAGTATCACAACTCACCGAACTTCCATTTCGAGTTGGGCTGGATGAGGAGGAAAATGATTGCGCCTCTTTACTGATAACACCACGGATGCCTTTCTCAACCAATGTCTCAAACTTTACAGTGCCAGCTGGCAAGTGTTTGATACGGATAGCAGATTGACGGGTGTTCATGTTAGAGAACGATGTAACTGGGTCCACAGTAAATTCTACCTGTTCACATTGGAAATTATGTTTTAAGTGTAGTTTTAAAATTTATTGCTTAAACAATATAGAATTAAATTATGTCACCAAACAGTTAGAAGTATACATTCTAACTTCTGACTTCAGCATAAGTTAATTTTTGCACTGGATTATAACAAGTCAGAATTTTTTTATGAACCTAGCATTATATTATATCACAGGAATGGGTCAATTTTAAAAACAAACTCCATTCCTGGTATGATAAATTATGGCCATGTGTGTTTATAAATGTGTGTGTATATAACAACAACAAATAGTATATAGTTGGTAGACTGAATAGCTTTTGAAATTGGGCTCAAACTGCCTTTCATACATACCTCATCACCAACGCTCAGTTCTTGACCCAAACGCAGTACTTCAGCAAAATGGAAGGACATGGTTTGATCTCTTTCAACACAGCGAATGAATCCAAAGCCTTCTCGCAACGAACATACAAGCCCTTGCTCCCTTCTGTTGATTATTATAATTTAATTAATTAAATAATAAATAATGTACAGTATTATATATAGTATAGGCATAGATATAGAATTGGAAGGAAGAATACAAATTAATTTACCGTTCTCCAGAAACATTAAAAGACTCATCTAGAAGGGAGATATTTGTTGCGCGCTTCAATTGATCTCGCCTGTCTGTTGCCACTTGGAATTGGACCCAATCACCATGCCGAAGTGTGAATTCACCACATTGATCCTTGTCACCAAACGGTACCTAGTAATGGTTTCAATAGTGTATTATGTAATTTCTTTAAATATATGCATTGGTATAATTAAAACTTAAGAAGACCTAGGTACAACCATTAAAAATACAGTTTTTGCTAAGCAAATTAATTTACCTCAGTTTCAGAGTGATCCGCTGCACGGTACTTTATCCTACCCGGGAGTGGATCATTTTGAGGTACACGCATGTTACCTCTTTCAAGGGGTTTCAGTACTTGTCCCCGCATAATCTCAGGATTTATATCTTCAAATACAACAGACCCACTTGGTAGTTTTGTTATGTTACAAGCAACTTCCTTACCCTAAAAAACAAGACAATGTTATTGATATTAGAAATTGGAATTATCTTTATTAAATACATTGCATAATGCATACAATGTAGTATTACTAAACTTACATTTCTTGTTTGTATAATGAATTCAACATCATCTCCTAAGGATAATTCCTCTTTTAATTTTGCTTCTGAATAATGAAAGAATATTTCTTTAACAACATCAGCACGTTCAATAAATCCAAAATTTTCTTTTTTTGAACAGACAACCCCATGATATTTCACGGGATGTACGGGATTCTCAAATCGGACATGGCAAGCACCCAGAGTGCCTCTGAAATATTAGTTGTGCCATATAGAATACATTATAAAATAAGTATGTCATACTCATAAATGTACTTGAATGTTGGTACCAAGTGCTGATTCTCATAATTCTAGAGGATTTTTTTTTACCCAAATAAGATTTCAACACTTTAATTTACAAAAAAAAATAATATGCACTAACTAACCTTTGGTTTGTTGCAATTTGAAAACTCACAGCATCACCACTTTTTAATGTCACATTTCCTTCAACATCATCCTTGGTATAAGGCAAAAAGAAACACTCGCCACGGTTTTCATAGGATATTCTTCCAGTATTATCACCAGAACCTTCCCCCTTAACTTCTGTAGTGACTATGCCTGTGACACGCGCCTCACTCAGGACTACTTCAGGTGCAATTTTGGTAACAAAAGAAGCAATTGGTTTTCCAGTACGACGATCGTAAGTCATTTCAAATTCTACAGGATCACCAATCTTTAAATGATCAATGTTGCCACTGAACTGGCTAAAGTGGAAGAACAAACGAGCTTGCCTTTCACAACACTGTATGAATCCATAAGAGTGCTGAAAACAAATTATCCCATTGATTATATAATTAATGTAATTACAATAATGTATAAATATTAATTTTAAAACAATACAATTGGAATTGCAGACAAATTAATGTTAAGTAACCTATAAACAATTTTGTGTCAACTTACAAGTAATTTTTCAATTATCCCAGTTTCTCTAATGGGTGGGTTGTTAACAGAATCATACTGAGTAGGGTTGTTTGAGGAACTCGATGAAAATACACCAACAGAATCACCCATTGGACACGTATCTATATTGAAGCCCGTGCCAAATCTATTCCCACCACTTGGCTTGTTCATATTATTATAGTTATCTCTGGGAGAACTGGGAAAATCACTACTAAAAGAGCCTAAAAATAAAGGAGACATGAAAATAATAAAGAGCTACATTGAAAACACTTGATTTTACAATTGAATTATATTTAGATTAAATTATAAATACCCACCGTTTCGAAATACCTGCTTTGATTGCATGTTAGAATGCTGAAGATCTAAAATGTCCCGCAGCGGAGATACATGTGAATCTGGCGGCTGGAACAATTTCCACTGAGGATTGCCGGACATTCCAATATCTCCGAAGACAATATCAAAGTGTATATTTTATAAATAATATATATGAGTCCAAATCTCAGTTATAACCCAATATATCACAGAGAAAGTATGGTGTTATGGTTAAATAGTGCTAAACTATATTGTAAAACATAATCACATTTTCAAAATTTGTGTCCCTTAAAACACAAAGTCTTTAGAACAAAGATCACAAAATTTATGCACCAGAACACTATGAAAACAATAAAAACTGGAAATATACTATTGTTCCTCAGATGTCTTCAATGCTTGCTGGATCGGAGTTCTTATTTGCATCGCCTTATATTTTCAAATTTGTAATTCAATGCAGCGTTGCTTTTTGATTAACTTTTAATATTTACATATATATAATAATTACTTATTCTCTAAAGTTGAACTGTAAAGAAAATAAGGATAGATTAGAAAAAGCATGTAAACAGACTAGTCCTACTTTGATATCAAGTTCAATTTCATGAAAAATTCTTAAAAATTATATACATTTTAATCCAACCTCCCAATATTTGAAAAAAATTTTTTTAAGTATTGGGAGGGTGGATTAAAATTATATTAAATTTTTAAGCCTTGAATATACGTTACGTCAAGCAATGAAACGTCCGTTACTTCTTCATTAGAAAAAGGAAATTGAGACCAACGCACAAATCTTTTCTAATTTGAACATCATCACTAAGCACCACACAATTTGTACGATCGAACGAGAGAACCCGCCATCACGAACCTTAATAAAGCTTTTACATGTAACCGTTCGCGAATAAACTTAAAATATATATCTCTAATAAGATTCAGAATATGTAAGCGTCGCGTCGAAATATTGTACTACATTTTATTAGATAGATATCGACTGCTTGAGAAACGAGACGATCGTCCTGAAGCTGAAATTGTAATGCCGCTAACGCTATTACAGGAAGAACTCTTTGAAACCATCGCGAGTACAAAAAATAACTATACAGCTATGACTTAAACACAAAATTGCCAAGAAACATACATAAGAATACAAACAAAATCCATTAAATTAATAAATAATTCTCACCACGATACAGCACAGCACTGACGACATACCGCCATATTGAATGTCAACATAGTTGTACTTTTGACTTTATCATACAAAAACAATTATTTTAATTTTGTAACAACCAATTTAAAAGTCTTTCTTACTAAGTTTTCCTGAAATTTATTAAATATATAAATAGTATAGTTTTTTTAAATTTTGTACTTGTTTGTAAACTAATTATGAAGACCAATCTAGGGTTTATTTTTTCTCTTTTGTATAATTTCGGTTCAAAATCAATTTTAAATGTGGCCATTATTTTTTTAGACACTTTGTTTCCTAAACCAGTTAAAAAGATTTATTCATAATATGCTTATTATAAATTGCATAATTAATAATAATGATCAGTACCTTGGATTTTGTTTATTTATGATATTTTTAGCTCCTACCGAAAAAATAGTTTGTTTTCACCTATATCTGTTGGACAACGTTATTGATTTGTGCTATCTGTTACAGTAACGTCAAACAACGACGTTCTGTCGTCTGTGTATATTTGTGTAGGTCATGACAAAGCTGATAGCGAGTGAGCGGGAAATTTAAAGTAAACTTCAATCAATATAAATTTTATATTTCCATCCCCTTCGTTCTGAGTTCCAAGTGTACTGTTTTATATACTATTTGCTTTCCACAAGAATTAATACTCTACAGATACGCTAATCGAAGGTTATTCATTTGTCAAAAACAAATACCTTCTCTACCGTATACAGTCCACTATAAAAGGGCTACTCACTAAATATTTTATATTTAGTGAGTAGCACCTACGGGAAAACCAAAATAATTGTTATAATGTTCTAATGAGTGTTTGTTGCTATATTATATTATTGTGCCTTAACACGGTTAAACTGGTAATTTAATTTCCTACAAGAAAATCCACGTCAATTCACGAAAATCTATTCTATTCGAAATGTGATTTGCATGTTACATAATAAAAAGAAAATTGTATTAAAAGGTTAATTCACTTTATCTATTAATTTTATTAAGTAGTTTCATAGATAACGATTGTGTCAATCCAATCTGAATAAAATGTAACGTTGAGTATGACACAAGGCAGCCGATAAGTATTTCGTTCACCCCAGGAAAATATACCTACGACTTCCTTATTTAGTATAACTAACGCTCCATACACTGTAAGGAAAAAAACCTTTTATTTTACTTTAATTCCTATTATGAACCGAAAATATCAAACCAATGTTACCCAATGATGGTTTGTCCTTAGGTATAATGCAGTATTCATAGCTTCGTACATCTCCTATAACCGAAAGATCTTGAACACATGTGTCTCTGTTCATGTATGACGCATAGTGTATTAGTAATTTGTTTGAGCCTAAAACATAATTTAAAACATGAATAAAATCAACCAGACCGAAAGAATTTCTGAATATTGTCTTATTTAGAAAGACTTATCACTTTTAATGAGATTCGGTAACCCATAATACGGACGAGTTTTTCTTAAATGGCTTAAATTCGGTGGGCACTGGATGTGATAAATGAGCTTTTTATGTGACACGAGTATATGTTTAACCAGGAATTGAAACCATGGTTTCTAGTTAAAAGTACTTGTATATTCCTTAGGGAGATGTTCTCACTATGTACCTATAATGTAAGTGCGAGCTGCTATTTGGCCTGCTGATACTAAGCTGCTATCTTATTGTCATGACATTTGTTTCAATATAGATAAGATGGTGCTCAACAATAAGCATGATGTCAATAGGTCTATTGCCAAAACTTGGCGTTTAAAAAAAAGAGTGTCGGCGAGTATCTTGCCTGTTCCTCTCGCACGCCCTTCTAAACCGGTACTAAATGTTAATTTTGATCTTCCAACTTTTTTTTCAATATTGACGTGCATCCGTGTACATAGTTACTAATATTTAAAAAAAAATATCAATTGATTAGGCACATGAAATTGGTCTTTGGCGATAGAACTATAGATTTATTCCAGCAGCACCAGATTTGTACTGTATATTGTAATATGGACATTTTAATTATGTGGCCATACTTGCCGCATCACAGTACACTTTACTTATTTAATTTTAAATATTGTATGTTACAATATTGGTACAGAGGAGGCGCCAAAGACATTCTCAAGACTTTAAAACAATTGAAACATCTACCTACGTTATCTACGTTACTTGACACATTCCACAATGAGATTATAAGTAGCACCAGGTGTGGCGGATTTTTTTTGTAAAATAATATTTAACTACATTGTAATAATTAAAAATATATTTTTTATTAATATATATAGGTATTTTCTTTTTCATAAAAATGTATAACCTTAGCCTAATGTAAAATTATGTGTGTTTATTAATATTACGTTGCCGAGTTTGAACTATTCCCTCTGGCATTGTCTTTGCATAGGCCCACAAGTTTCTCCTTTCAGAATAAGATAAGTTTTATTGAAGTGAAACTTCTTTATCGGCGTTGGAATGAAACTTCTTTATCGACGTATGGGAGAAATTTTGTAGCAAATCGTCACGTTTTTCAATGATAGTAATAATTCTATTACAATTAATGAAATTCTATAATAATCTTCGTAGTAATAAGGTAAAATGAAATATTTGTATTCATGTCTATGATAATAAAAGCCTTTTGTTAAACTTTATCTAATTTAACGAATTTCTGTAAAGTTGCATAGAGTAGATCATTTTTCGAAAAATAAGATCATAAAGAAGTTTCACTTCTTACGTGTGTACACCTAGTATACGCACAATTTTTTTCAAATAATTTATTAAATACCTTCAATTTTTTCTCTCGTGATTATCCGTAGATTGAATCCGCTATGCTCCCAATTAACATAATTTAAATTTACTGAAAAAAATCCACATAGGTTAACAGTTGCATACATTAACAATAAATCGTAATTGGTAATCTTGGCAAAACTTACAAAATAACGTACCTCATTTTATTTATTAAAGAGTACGTAGTAGTAATTATAGATTTTCAATAGATATCATATAATATATATATAATATATATAGATATATATAACTAGCATAGAAACGAAACAGAAATAGGATATTATATTATATCTATCTCTAAATTATATAATTTGTTATACTATTAATTATGTTTACCAACCCAGAAACTGTTGTAATGGGATCGTGTCCACGTGTTCAAATAATCCGATATTATTGCTAAAAGTATCTTTATCGAAATGTGGGTGTGGCACGCTTCTTTTTATATTGGTAGTATCTTAAAATTTATAATATACTATACAACAAATTATATTTTATACATGTCCTTTTTATATTAAATTAAACTCATTAACTATAGTTTTTATTATCTATTTATTGTAATATAAAAGAGCAGATGTAATAAAACTTTTTTAAGTAATGAATGCGGTAAAAATATCCACGGTCTTTTTCAACTCAATTTAGAGTTTTTGTATACCTATACACAAAGTACATTCAAACTTCTAAACTGTTATGATGAATTCTGACAGATGGAAAGAGACTAAACATGGTGAAAATATGGGACAATCTTCAAGTAAGTTCTTTAAGTCTAAGTGTTGCAGATGACCGCACTCACAGTTAATAAGATTTAGAGTCGAGACTTAGTGTGATTTCGCGTTAGTTATTCTTTAAATAAAGCATGGCACATATCTTGCCATCATGCCACTTATATTATTCAAAATCAACAATTCCCCAAGCAATCCCTAAAGTTAAGCATATGACATCCCGCCAAACGGAATTCACTTATGGAAATCTTTCTATTGAGCGCAAGTCGCTTTAAATAGAAGTCTATCTACATCTCTTAACCAACCGAACCGCAAACCTAACCATAAACGTATATTACAAAATACAGACATATCGTATCCTGTCCATAATCAATCCTCCATCTCATAAGCATAAAAGCTAGCTCTGGATGGGTTCGTGTAACAACACAGTTGGCAGGAGAGATCGACCACTTGGTTCGAAGGAGCAAGGAGTTACATATTGTCACTATTGGAGTTATATCCAAATAAACTACACCAATTGATGGATAATCCTGAACGTTATCTGTAATATATTCCATCATTTTCAAACAAAGTACGCCGCTTTTCAAATTTCGAACTTTTAGACTATGTAACGCATTTAATCGAGAACAGTGTTGGCCTAGTGGCTTCAGCGTTCGACTCTCATCCCTAAGGTCGTAGGTTCGGCTGTGCACCAATGGACTTTCTTCCTATGTGCCCATTTAACATTCACTCAACCGTGAATGAGAACAGCGTAAGGAAACCAGAGCGTCTACACACAGCCAAAATAATAAAATCAGGGGCGATATCGGGACATTTATAGTGGGGATGAAATCGGCTCGTAGTTCGAATCGGCTGTAGCATACTCTACACACGTCAATTAGGGTACAATTTGCCTATACACGATGCGATCTAGGGAGCTCTCCACCACTTCCCCGATATTGTGGCTCTGATTTTGGGGCCGTGTGTAGACGCTTTTGAACCCAAAAAGGCGACGGCGTGTATCAGGCACAGGAGGCTGATTACCTACTTGCAATTAGATTGACAATTGTTCATGAAACGGATACAGAAATCTAAGGCCCAGACCTAAATAGGTTGTGGCGCCATTGATTTATTTGAACGGTTTGATCAATATATTTCTATCAAGCGCTTGATTGAAAGGTATAGTAGTATTTTTAATCACTCACAGTTAATAAATTCCGCAAGAATGTACTCGGGTTGAGTCATTAGAATAGTTAATTTTACGAACAATTGACAATGCCCAAAATGCTAATAATCAGGTGGAGAAACGTATAAGATCTTTATCTTTTACTGATGTGATACAAATTATATGAAGCAAAAATTTACCTTTGTTGCCGGAACGTCGTGTATTAACTGTACTCTTTTCAGTATGATTAACGACATATAAATGAATTATAAATATTATAAGCATAATTAAAAATGCAACGAACACGAGAACTATGTGAAAGAAAATACATTTCTCTCCCCTTGTAAATTTTGAATTAGGTGGATCGTTTACATTCATGTCAACGGTAAAGCATCAACCATCTGGATTACCCATTTTTTAGGATCAACGCTTTGCTAACTCCGAACGGACAGTCTTTTCATAGTCATAGTATTTTTAAGGTCACCAGTGTTTTATACAAATATATTATAATCTTCTATTAATATGTTTTACCTTTACACATAATCCATAATAAGCAATATTATATTCGTTTTAAGTTTCTTTATCAAATTGTTTGACCTTAACATACTGTACCTTTCAGCAACTATTATCATCATTTTTTGAATGTTTTTTTGTTTTTGATGTAAACCGCTACAGCCCGACGCCTTCATAAAAGTAAATATATGTAACTGTTTTAAATAAAGTACTCCGTCACTATGTAACACAACGTAAACACAATTTGACAGAAAGAGACTAACTAGTTTAATGAGAGCAATTAGACTGATTTTATGTATGAGAGAGAGAGATGTATTTCTGACATCTTTGTAAACTTTTAAACATTTAGTTTTATCTTCATTCAAATCGACGAAATGATCCTTAAGTTGAAAAACATCAATAAAATAAAATAACTTTTACTTCGATATGTATAATAACATTATATTAAAATTCAAAATCCCTAAGCACCTTAATTGGACGGAATTATCAGAGGTACATTATTCTTAATATATGCGCGATGTATTTATTATATAAACCAATCTTACGACGACAATACTTGTAAAACAAAAAATTTAACATAGATAATTCAGATCCTACCCGAAGCGCGGGATGTCCATAGACAATGTCTTTAATAATATATTAGGAACTAAGTACTTACATTAGGACATTGGACGGATTACTATAAAAATACATTTATAAAGAGCTTTAAAAAGGTAATTAAATTCCTATAAAGCAAACTTACAAATTCCAAATAAGTGATGTTAAAAATATGACGAATTTTAATACGTGTATATTTACAATTTTATTTATGTTACTAGCTCCAAGTTCAAGTCATTAACGCTAAAATAAATTCTCTTTATCAATAATAAAAATATTTTCTAAAACTTCACTAACCTATTTCATTTAATATATCTAGTAAAATAAGGTTTGCAACATTTATATTAATTCAAAGTGGCACAATAATAATTTTTTAATATAATAAAAATAATTATTTAAATTCAATTTATATTTAGATCATGTCTTATAAAACATGTATTTATAATCAGTTAAAATCTCACTTAGTTCGTCCGAAGCCACCTTGCATACCTTAATTTCTCGCCGATTAGATAACACATTATGTAAAAAAAATGATGTTTGTGAATCTCTCAATAAATGTTTACTATATTAGAAGTTGTACATGGTGATAACTATAGATCCATTACTGATTTACACTTTTAGCAATTATATAGTCAAAGAATAACAGCTCTGTACTATATAAATGGTATGTATGTATCTAAATCGGGATTGGAACAATCATTTGAATGAGAACTAATACTCGATAGGATTAAGTTGGCACATCACTGCCTGTGGCTACGAAGTATTTCCTGTGAAAGTTAGCTAGTCAATTGTATATGGGTATCAAACATAGACTTCGCCGCGTTTCGAACCGTTAAGGCTGCTTTTCATGTTCGTGGGCGCGCCATTTCCGCTGTGTTCGCTGTCACGGTCAGAAGGTAGTTCTACAACGGTGGCTCTAGACGCTAGTGGCGTGGAGGTTCGATCGACCTGGGGCGTCGATGGAGCAGTGGACATGACGACTGCACTCAACTGAGTGACGTTCATAGGTGTTAGAGTTACCGAGGATACAATATTATTAGCGTTCAACATAGCGGGTAGTCCTGAAAATAAAAACAATAATTATAAATAATATATAATAATAATTCTTCATATACTGTGTTCGAGGGTTTCAGCAAGATCTTTATTTTAAATTTAATTTTGATAAGTGTTTACTTCGGTTAAATTGAGTGGTTAAAAATTTAATTGTAACGGTCATTATAAAAAGGGTAATTAATCACTATTCAGGACTTTAAATCTGAAAAAAACGTGTGGACTGCAACGGTAAAGCTATTGCATAGCATTTTTTATCAACTCTTGCAATTATAATTATTTATTTATGTAGAGTTTTTTTTTCTTTGATATTAATTCAATCTACCACACTACCAAACTCAGACTAACACGCTCAGACACACACTATGTAGTCTGTCTTACTCTAACGCGTACCGGCTGCACCGGCCGCGCTTACGCTACGTCACCGATATCGTCGGAGAGATCTGAATACGCAGTATGCGTTCTGTCCCACTCTAACGCACCTGCGCTATGTTTATTCACGTCAGACCGATGTGAAACGTCAGACGTCATCGTGTGTTAGGTTTATTTCCGTTACGGAATTTCTTGATTTGGTCGCCGCGCTCAAAGCCCTCGATTAAATCTATGCAATAGCTTAAAGAAAAACTATGTCTTACCGAAACACTATGTTAATTACCAAAGAAACAGTTATCAGGTCCGTTGGTGGTATTTGTATGACATATCATACTATACTACTAAGTAGAATCGCTGATTACAATACCTTGAGTTAAATTCGGAGATAGTACTGCTTGCGCCAGCGCAGTGGTCCCAGGCTGGCCAGCGTGAAGCGTGTTGTTTACTGATCCGCTATCTAGTTCTTCTATAGGTGACAGTACTAAGGCACCCAGCACTGGCACCTCGTTTTGGTAGCCCTTATACAAAATAATGAGTTGATAGAATTGCAAAATGAAATTGTATATTTATTGATAACCTGGTTAATTTAAAAGTGATTAGAAAGAGTCTAGTTAGGCACTGGAGTAATAATAAAATCAAAATAAGCTACTTTTACAAAATAAATAACTTATTTAACCTGATGACAATTTGACGGTTAGGTTAGAATAAAATAATACACGAGTACGGGCGTCGCCAATCGTATAGTTATTTGAAAATATGTCGCGAGTATTCGGCATGGATGCAACCGGTGGGCGGTTGGGGCAGCGCATGTGTGGATCTTATTTAGATACTTTGCGCACAAAACACACAGATTTAAATTATATGTATGCAATAATTGAATGATATGTAACTGAAACACTTTTCTAATATAATTTCATTAAATAATTAAAACTTACCTGATGTGCCATTATAACACCCATATTCGGCATCCCCATCGTGAGATGATTCTCTCTGTCTATTACTTCCTTTGTAACTTCAGGAGTTGGAATACGGGGCCTATTTCTAAGTGTTATGGGAATAGCTGAACCATTGCTTCGTTGGCCTGAGAAAAAAACAACATTATTCATAAAAATCTGTCGGCTTTGCCATTTGGGATAATTATTCTGTCTTAATAACTAGAGTAATGTTAGTTAACGTGCGATTTTCTACCCTTGTCAGGCTATGCACAATGACTTTAAACAAATTACCATATTGAAAAGGCAAGGTATAAATAAAAATGTTTGTAAAACACAGCAAAATTGTGCCCATATCCCACTTATACTTACGTCTTTATACAAGCCAAATGTAAATTAATACTATTGTATTCTCATTGATCAACGAGAACGTTCGGAAGCAATCAGTCAATTACGTAACAATATAAAATGTTATTACAAACAATATTCCGTATAATGAATAATATATAATAACAATAGATGATATATATTTTTACAATGTTGGAATGTTTACGGCTAATTCACTTATGCCAGTGATTTGTATTACAGCATAAATAGTATGTTATTTTTAAAGAATGCGTTTATAATTTGTTTAAAAACGTATAAACGTTGTACGGAGTTGAATTAAAAGTTAATAAGGATTGATGTTAAATATAAACAGATTTACTTTTTCAAATTAATACGCTACAATATAATTTTGATAATTCGGACGTACCGATAAGAGAGATTTGAATTATTGTCTAAAAATTTATTAAGCTCAGACTAGTATTTCTTACAATAGAGGTCGCTCCAAAATCGATTTCCTGTTAGGCGTACTACGTATAGCCAAAAGACAAATAATTAACATTTTAGACGAAGATATCTTGCTGATTTAGCCAAGAAGTTATCTCGTCCAGTAATTTGACTTTTTATAACATCTTAATTTATCAATACTGACCATGTTTTGAGTTTTGTCTATGTTGCCCTCTCCCCGACTTGCGTCCAACCAGTCTCTCATACAAAGACATTTTATGGTGGGAAGTGGTAGGCGTAGATGTCTGCCCTGCTTCTGGACTTGAATATACAACTGAGTTAAGACGGTTTCGTCCAAATAATCCACCAGAAGAATATGCAGTTGATGCTGATCGGACAGAATCCACTCGAGATATTTGTCGTTGGAACCAGTTTTTTCTTCTCTCTACTATAGGTGTATCCACACTTTCCTATAAAAGAGAATTTTACGAGTCTTATTCGTCGACGAGATTATTATTATACTATACGAGCTGCCCCCGCGAACTTCGTTTCGCCTTAATGTGATTTTACCTAGCCTACCTTTTTAGTACAAACATGGAACATTTTGCTATGCTACCCCAGATACTGTTCGAATTTTCGGAATGAAAACTTTTTTGGTTTTTCTATGAATTTTTGACCTCTGAGTTATAAAAATAGGGGTTGATAGTAGAGGGGTGAAAAGTAGTAAATAAAAACAATTTTTTGTGGTGGACACCCCCTATCACTTAGGGGTTCAAAAGATAGATAGTAGCCTCAGACTTACTGAATATGCATAAAAAACTTCATAAGAATCGGTCGAGCCGTTTCGGAGGAATATGAGAACGAACATTGTGACACGAGAATTTTATATAGCTATATGTATATTATTAGTAAAAAATCATAAATGATTCATTTCAATATCAGATACTTACATAATCTGCATATGTTTCATCATGGCTCTTCCTTGGTATATTGACATTAGCGTAAACCGAATCCTCAGCCTTCACCTTGTAGTGGTCAGCAGAACAAGGGGGTTCGTGGCGTCTGTAGTGTTCCGATGCAACGGTATAAGGCAGATCTTTGGGCACCACCTCTTCCCAATATTGGTCTTTTAAAAGTTCCGGATGTTCTTCGTGCATTTCATCCACGATCATGTAGGCAGCCTGGAATTAGAAGGGTAAATATGTTTAAATAGTATTGGAAATGAATAAAGTTCTTTACCGGACTTGTTATTCGCGATTTTGTGAGGATAGTTTTTAATATTTATGTATTTAACTAAAATATCTCCAGAAGGATTTCGACGCGAGGGCTGTTCTATCGAGACTGGCAGGCTTATTGTAGAAACATAAAACTCTCAAATAATTAGATTTCACATGGTACCCATATTGTTACCTATACGGTTTAAATCAGGAAGTTAGACCAATATGAGTTACTATTATTCCAGTAACTATGATGCTCTTTACATTATCAAGATTAAAATTCTGTACTCTAATTTAACAAAATATTTTTTTAAATAATTTCATTAAACAACCAATAACTCGGACACAAGCAAAATATGTTTTAAGAATTTGTTTCGTCTTACTCCATGACTATAATTGAATATTGTTTTTCGTTTGCTTGTAATATAAGCAAAAAGTAAACAAATTACGCTACCTCAATTTTTTTGCTAAATTAAATACGTGAATCTTCATATAATAGCGTAGGTACTCATTACATAGTAGTTACTAGTTATTAATTATAGTTGATGCAAACTCTATAAAGATATTATCATACGAAGTACGATCTAATCGCAATAATTGTTTACTGTCTGTTTATTATGAAGCTGATTGCTGAATAATTATTTTTATATAATGAACATCTTTATTTATAGAAAATTTAAGCGGCCGATAGAAACTGTAAGCGATTTTAAAACTACAAATGTTCATGTTTTAACTAGGCCAATTGAATAATGGTCACGCGTATTCCAATTTTGATGTTTCATGCATTTTTAAGGCTGAGGAATCTATTCTAAGAAATAATAAGAAATTTCATTTGGGTTCCCTACAGACTTCCTAATTTAAAAGTCCAGTAATGTTTAGGTATAAGAGCAGAATTAAAGAAGTAGTCTAGTGGCTTCAGCGACTATCATGCGAGGTGGTAGGTTCAATCCCTCGCTGTGCACTTCTGTCTATGTGTGTATTTAACACACGCTCGTGCGAATACCGGCATGTTACCTTTCCCTCGCAATATATTTATGAAAATATACAAAAATAGTGACAGGTTTACTAGAATAGAACATACGCACAATGTTAATACTCGGAACAAACGCAGGCTGCAATTTCCCCGTACTAGACTATAAAGTTAACGATTATCTAGTTGATAAAAAGGCCTGGGTCTAGTGCTAGATGGGCTACTTCTAATTAATTTGCGATATTTGTTTTAAAATAAGTGTTGTTTGATGATTTGCTATTTTAAAAGAGTACCGATAGTTATTTACGCCGGCTTTTTCTCTCCAAAAAAAAAGTCAACGATGTGTGTCAGGAACAGAAGGCTGATCACCTATTGCGTGCCTATTAGGAAAAGCAAACGATCACGAAACAGATGATCAGAGGCCAAGAGCTAAAAGGTAGAAGCGACACTGGATTTTTTGTTCCGGTATATCACAATCTATTATGATCGTAATAAAACAGATGCCTGTCATAATAATATAATTTCTATTGGTTATTTTTTAAGTAGAAAAAGTCGTGGTCATTAGCTTTTTAATATAATAGTGTTTCATCGTACATTCATAGTATTCACTTTAGACATTTTTTAAATATATATGTGTTAATAGCTTTACATACTTTAATATGTCGGTCGATCAACCAATTGAGTTCAATGTCGTCGTCGTCTTCACCAAAAGGATTAATTAGAACTTCGGCTACTTTCAACCATCCCACGTAGAAACAGAACTGTAACACGAAAAATCGATTTATAACACCCAACGGGAGCACAAAATACTAGCTAGGGGCCGTTCAAGTATTACGTAAGCACTAATAGGGGGGAGGGGGTCTTTGATTTTCTTATTTGGTGATTACGTCAACAGTAATTATTTACTTTTTACACATATTACCCACACATTGTCTATGCTTGAAAACGAAATGCATTTTCGAGGATTCCTACAAAAAATTCCTATAAAAATACATTTATGGACTATTATTTTTGAGAGCTTTGCTTACTTTTGCTGACAATTATAAATTGCAGTAAATCTGCTTTCGTAATACTTGAACGGAAGTAGTAAAAGCTTAATTTAATATGTTGGTCTCCGTTATGGGAACGTCTAACTCTTTGAAACATCAAAAACAGCAAGCGATTCCAATTTTCTTTTAGTTGTATCCTTATTAAGGCACAAAAAATCTCTTCAGGTTCAGACTTACGTCCAAGGCTGGCAAACATCTAATAGAAATTTGGGTACATTTCTGAACTTGGCTTGCTACTAGCATGCTCTAGATCTTACCTGAAGAGCAGTAAATAACGGAAAGTAGACGTCAGGTTCGTATTTTGAAGTGCTTCCAGGGGCAGGTGGAATCAGCTGGCGGCCCATAAGTGCGGCTACAAAGTACGTGTATAGAGCCAAAGTAACGACCTGAAAATATTGGACGGAGGAATGTAGACTATACATTGTGGGACGGAGATACGTTAGGGCAGTAGAATTGTATAAAATTATAACATAAAGCATAAAATACACGCCCTGATAAGCAACTTGTATAATGCGAAATCTAATAACAATAATAATTCTTTGTTTCTCCCATATAATAAGGCTATAAAAATTGCATCGTTACAATCAGCTAATAGTATTGGACATAAATACCTTGCAATGTATGATTGACTTTATATACGATTTTAAGGTAGTTAATTCTGTATGTTTGTATTTATAAGTAGTAGTCATAGGTTAAAGTTAAACGATAACTCACCTCATAAATTCAATTCAATAGCTTGTGTGTTTTAATATTGTGAATAAGGGACCGTTCAAGTATTACGTAACGTATTTTGGGAGGGGGGGGGGTCCTTTTACTTATACACCACATAATAGTAACTAAAGAGTCACTAGGTGGTCACGAAACGTTTTACTATACTTGGGTACTGAATAACGTTACGGCGAGTTACATGGGGGGGTCAATAATCTCCAAAAATTGCGTTACGTAATACTTGAACGCTCCCTAAGCGAATAATATATATAGCTTACCTGCGTATAAACCAGTGGTACACATACAGTATCATAACCAATAAGGGCCCCCAGACGACGTCTTATATCCGAAAGCTCTACTAACAGCGTTTGAACGATGTGATCACTTGTTATAAGTCCCTCCTTTCTCGCCCTGTTGATGATATTCGTTGCCCAAACCAGTGGCATCCAATACTTTGACATGGGACTCTTCCCATCCATTTTCTCGAACACTTTACGCTCACTTTCGAGCATGAGTCCTATAACAAAACTGTATTATTATTAAAATAACAAAACATATAGATATCCGCGTTATATATATTAGATTCAGCCCAATTACTTTTCTACAATAGGTTATTATGTGGTTAGAAGTAGTTTACTACATCTAGTTATATTAAATAGATTGACGATTTAAATTTAAATCGTACCAGTTGATTTATAAGTAGGTAAGATATTTGTTTGCTAAGGTAAGTAAAAGCATCGAAGTCTAATTATAAGTCTAATTGGTAAGTGATGGAATAAGGTATCATATGTGATAAGGAAACTCACCAGAATCCACAACATGTTGCCAAGTTGGAAATCGTCTTTTTACTCGTAGGGATACCCTCTGAAGAGTTATCACATAAGCTAATATCGCGTATCTAACAATATTCCTCCTCATCAGCCTTCCAGTTTCATCCTGATGACAATAAGGTCACAGATAAGACAATACAAAAATATAAGCGACTTTTATTAAAGCCTTTAAACTTTTTTTTCCGGAGAACGCGTTTTGGCCTAAATTCACCGATGTCCAGATTGAGCATTCTGTTAAACGAGCTGGATCTGGATATCCATAGTTGCTCCCCACACACTTTAAGAGCAATTTTCGATTAATGTTTATTTTAATTATATTATTGTTTTGCTTAATTTCTTTATATTATTTCTTATATGCTATGTTTGCCTGTAAGTGCTTGACACATTAAAAATTGTATTTTATTTTTCTTTTATCAATGTATCAGTGTGCCGAGCGTTGGCAAGCTTTTATAAATAAATAAACTTTGGTACATTTGACCATTCAATTAACAAAATGACGAGAATAAATGAAATGGGTATTGAACAAAAGATTTTTTTATGGCAGTATGTTGATTCTTAGATTTGTATATCGCGAGACATAATTTAAGCTTAGACAAAGAGTAGTTAAAAAGATATAACCGAACGTACAGTAGTATGCAACTTTTAAGTAATACGCTTAAGGAGGAAGGGAGATTTCTAAACCTTCCTTAACAGGAATTTTTATCTCTATCAAGTCTCTCTATCTCTAGCCGTATTAAAATCCGTTGCCTAGTTAGTGTTTTAATGTACAGATAGAGGGAAGTGACTAGGTATTAGGCTATGGGGGGATAATATATATACATACACAGCTTTATAGCTTAAACATTTAATTATTCGATAATGCAACGAGTCATATATTTCCCATGCATATGTATTGACACGGAACATCAGCAATAAATAAGGATTCAACTCATTTATTATTAGAAAATCAATGGGTAACCGTTGGTTATATAACATTTACGATTGTAAATAAAATTAACAATTCATAAGTGATTATGGTTTTATGTAACGTCAGGTAAATTATCTTAGGTAAACAATATTTTTTATACGTTTTCCTATCTATCTACGCCTCCAATTTATTGTATCAAAATATTTTCATTTATATAATATCTAATACATGCAAGCAGTGTTGGCCTAGTGGCTTCAGCATGCGACGCTCATACCTGAGGTCGTAGGTTCGACCCCCGGCTGTGCACCAATGGACTTTATTTCTATGTGCGCATTTAACAATTGCTCGAACGGTGAAGGAAAACATCGTGAGGAAACCGACATGTCTTAGACCCAAAAAAGTCGACGGCGTGTGTCAGGCACTGGAGGCTTGTCTCTTAGATTTAAAAAATGATTCAGAAATCTGAGGCCAAGACCTAAAAGAGGTTGTATCGCCACTGATTCATTCATTCAATATCTTATACATACATATACACATATAAGACATTTGTTTAAAAAACAACAGGCGTAGGTTGTTGTGGAATTATTCTATTTTTTTTTTAATTTTAATAGTATTATTTTAATTGCGTATCTAGAATATTAAAATAATTAGTTTATTTATGCCACATCATTCAACTTTAATAGAACGAATTAACCTTGTTTTTAAAGCGTTATTTCTACACCTGTTATAACAGTAACGAATTCTTATTTATAAGTAATACTCGTGGTTTAATTTTTTTGTGAATTTTTTTTACACTTTTCATAATATCTAGGCTCGCGTGTATTTCGAAACCTAAGTAAGCTGGGCAAAATTTTTGACTCGATAGTAGGTTAGTGCTGAATTTGCTTTTATTTTTGATGAGATATACTAATTGCAATGTATATGTAACTTATTACATTCTATGACAACCTTATATGTTAAATATGGTTAAAATGGTCGTGAAACATCAGTAAATTTTCTTCAGAGGTATTTAAACATTATGACCTGTGTCTAATTCTAAACTAATGTAATAAAATACTTACAATTGAATATATATAATTGTTGGGTAGGAATACCAAACTGTTTAATTTCAAAAAAGATACGTAAAAATAGGAAATATGATGACATAGGTGACAAGATTTGATTAATTGATTGAATTAGATAATATTATTTTCATTGGTAACAATGTGTATAACATTAAGTGCCACCACCAGCTATTGTCATAGAATTGCCTCTATGAAAAATATACTTTTAGGAAAACCCGTATCTTCCTTGGGTTGCAGAAATAATATAATAAATCGTGGTAATATCATATCAAATATATATAATATTGTAAATTTAACATGATATCTGCCGTACGTGTTGATTGCGTAAACTGCTTGACATGAATACATATTTGTGTTTAAACACAGCTAGACAGATCTAGATACGAGATGAGAGGTGTCAATCCTGGATACTGTACAAGTACAGTAGGTGTTATACTGTGGCTTCATGATACTTATAGCATAAACTATAGAACTCAGTCCAATCACGGGGCCCCGTGATAGGCATAGGCAATGGCGAATCTATGCTAAACTTGAAACGTATAGGGGGTGACTAGGGGTGACTCTTGGTGAGGGCGTCATGGATTCATGGCCGAGAGAAATCTTTGCAAATCGGTACATATATCAAACACACACATTTCACTATCTGACCGTGAATTCTAGATCCGTCACTGAACAAACTTGACAATAAAATAAAACACAAAAAGCTGACGAACGATGACATGGCAATAATTTGGATTTGAATTCAGGAACAATTACAATTTGACGCGAAATTGGGCAGCGAAGTAGACCTGACCTGATGAAGACTTGACTTGACTTTATATCATTTGCATGACCACGGGTAATGAAGCTTTTCCCACTTATAAAAAGGAACTGTCAATGGATGCCAGGTCTGGCAATATTGAAGTCGGCAGTGAGTAGTGACGATTTATTGAATGCAGTGGTATTCTTCTGTGAGCAAGTAATGCTATAGAAGGAAGCTTCAGAACGAGATAGGGTGCGCTTTAGGACGAATCTTAGGGTTAGAAGATGCGGAGTAAATAGGAGAAGATATGCCCATCTCCTACCTCCTATGTAGTGTGTACCGCAGAGGTTTTAAGTGTAACAAGTATGCCGTTGAAGTCCCGGTAGAATGCAAGAGCGACTCGAGAGCCTCTCCCTTGTAGGAACTACCCGAGGTGGTTTTACTGTACCAAGCCTCTGAATAGCAGAGATTCTGGTGTAGGTCGAGTCCCAAATACCACAACTTTTGGGGGCAGGGGATGCGCAAATGCATTTCCATCTCGGATATAAAAAAAAAGGTTAGACAACATTTTAACTATAGTTAGCTTATACTTCTATAATAATGCATAACCTTCACCACAACTCTAAGCTTCCTTAATAAGACTGGAGGAAGTTACAAATTAAAAGAACAGCACGACACAGTTGGCGTCAGCAAAATAATTATCTCTTGAAGATTAGGGTTCTTCAATAATCTGCGTGTAAACAAAAATTTCCAGACATACACAGATATATATAGACAGATAATGACCTCTGATACCTTTGTAAGACGTAAGAAGTTTTTACGATAGTTAAACAGTAAAGTATTTTAACTGTGTTTTGTTGCAAATTTTAAGTACTTTTGGGATGATTGCATGACGTTTCAGCAGAATTACTTTTTTTTTAATAGGAAATGTTTTATTTACATTTTTAAATAAACGAACATACACAATCTGATATTTCCTACATGTAACTGTCCAATAGTAATGAGATTTTCACGTAGCCTTCTGTATTGAAGTATTTTTGAAGTTATACTTCTTTAGGCGCGTTATGAAAAATTTATGAGAGTGAAATTTTACGATGCGCGCGCACCGTGACACAAAATTATCAGTATGGGCGCCGAGCGTGCGCGAGCGAGATGGGAATAAGACAATCTATAAGTAAAAAGAAATAGAATATGCGTGACGTTAGCAGCTATGCCAAGAATTTTGAATGACCATAATGACATTTGTAGTACCTTTTAAACAAATAAAGGAGTTTTAATTAATTTTTCAAATAAATTTAGCAATGCTTTTTCACAAAGACCTATTGTTACTTAGTTAAAAGGTTATGAAACATACCTAGTTATTAAATTGAATTAATAATATAATAAATAATAATAATTATTAATATTAATTAATAATTGAATAATATACTAAATATTAAATATTGTTAAATTAGGAGGTAAATATTTATTATTAATTATTTAATATTAAAAAAAAATAAAGAAAACCAAAGAAGTATAACTGTTTACGCGCGTACATAAGTACACGCACCATTTTTTTTATTAAAGACGTATTATACTGTGCAAAGTAAACCCTCAAAGCGTTAACTATATTCATGATCTAAGGATGTATGAATGACATTTCATATCCTTTGAATCTTGAGTGTTATAATTAGCTTGCCGGTTACCGTAAAGAGCAGAAACTTTTTATAATATGTACTTAAAACGTCATAGTTTGTCGCATAAGGTTGTATAAACGTACTTTGTTGTTTCTTTCTTGTGGTTACTTTATGTTATTATTACAATACAAGTACGGACTGATTACTTGTTTATAATAACTGCTTTGAAATTTTATAAATAAACAATTTGCCTTGAAAGTGATGCCATTATGATGGATGAATAAAAAATATATAATCAAAGGAAATTTTATTATTTTCATGTCATATTCCTTGTTAAAATCATAAAGATAATCGTCACCGAGCGTTCTACACGATTGTCTTTTGTTTAGAAAATTTTCAAAGAATAGTTTCCTAATCTACTAACAGGTTTTAAAATAAAATATTTGTATTTATGAAATCAAATATTCCCATAAATCTTAAAGTAGGTTTATAATTGCGTTGAGGTAGCTTAATTAATTACATCGCTTGAATGATCAGAACATGCAAATATTTTTCTGTTGAACCAATGGAGGATTCGAATTTTATATGAATTATAAATTTTTTTTCAAATTGACTAATCAATGTGCTATTGTTTTTTTTTTTATAGAACACAGGGCATTTACCCAATGTTAAGTGATACAGCTCATGGAAAATTTGACCCATATATATGGATAGGTTGCACATAGTGGTAGGCAATAGTGTCGTGCCGACATCGAGGTGGAATTTCGTGATTATTTATTAATACAACTTTTGACATGCGCTTGTCTTTCATCGATAAAGATATAAGATTTTTTAACAAGTCTTTAAATCGTTACTTATGTTGTCCACATCTACTGATTAAGGAAGAAGGTTATCTTAAATTCACTAACGCTCTCGAATCGAAATAAAGAGCGTGCGACTAGAACGTACGCTCTTCACTTTAGATCTATTTTAAGTATCTTAAAAATACTGTGATAATTTCAAATCTCAAAATAACACCCGAAAATTACAAGGTAAGGTAAGTAAGGTAAATACCTTAAAAGTTGTTTTAAAACCACCTGGGGTGGGCTTCTGAAATTTAAGATAGATGTTATATGTATATGGTATAAAAACGTATATTTGACTGTATATTTTGTTTAAATAATGAAATATTAAAAAAACGTGTTAAATCAAGCTCACTCTGTACTTTAGAGATAGAAAGAGCAGCAAAGAAGACACCAGGCTATCTGGGATATGATGCTTTAGGATGCGACACATCGAAACGGCTTCAGTAGGTGCATTTTGTCTAGAAACAATTTTTGACCTAATATTTGACAACCATTATGGTACCACTGAACTACCCTGATGATAGAGGTCAAAGTTTATTTGTTGCTATAATGTATATAAAAATACGTAATGTCTATAACGGTATTTAAATCATCGAGTAATGGTAGTAATTATTTAGGTACAAACTGTACATTCCGAACCCGAACCAACCTTCTTCGTCTTTCGACGAACGCTATTTATCTTTATAAATACAATTTCTTTTACATATAAAATTTTATTAAACGTATTTAACATATCGACAGTAATTATTGTATTGCTGTACACAGTGACAGACTAAATTATAATTATCTTTATACCAACGATCATTATGTACTATTATACATTTTTAGGCTTCAGACTCCCTTAGATTCAGAGTCAAGAGATCTAATGCGAACCATAGACGGACCGCATGTTGCAGTCAAGACCGACTGCAATATGCGGTTTGCCCAGGAACTGGTCGTGCGGTTCGTGTATTGCGAATATGAATTTAGTATGGAAACTGCAGATCGCCGGGCGACCGCTTAGAGCAGTCGATATCGGCTGCAACATGCGGTCCGTCTATGGCCCGCTTTTGTCTCGACACTGCCCTCCACACCTACACCCTACATATATATATACTATATCGTAACGTAATACTTCGTATGTTTTGTTTTTTTTTTATAGAACAGGGGGCAAACGGGCAGGAGGCTCACCTGATGTTAAGTGATACCGCCGCCCATGGACAATTTCAATGCCAGAGGGCTCGCGAGTGCGATGCCGGCCTTTGAAGAATTGGTACGCTGTGTGTGCAGTGGGCAGCTGGTTCCACAAAGTGGTGGTGCGCGGCAAAAACTGCCTTGAAAAACGCTCAGTTGTGGAACGGCGGACGTCGAGGTGATACGGGTGGAATTTCGTACTCTGCCTCGACGTCCGATGACGAAACTCAGCTGCAGGTATTAATCCGAACAACTCCTCTGAACACTCTCCATGGTAAATGCGGTAGAAGATGCAGAGTGACCCCACATCTCTACGCAACAAAAATTGATTAATGTATTAACATCACACACATATCAAGAATAAATGTTTAATTTTATGTAAATTGCGTATCAAATAGACAAAAAGTAAATCGTCATAACAGAATTATTATACCTATTTACAATGTGAAGTAAATGTTCAATACAATACAACACTTTGCGTCTGTTATGATGTAACTTTTGTTGTGTTATTGTATTTATAAGATTACATAAATGAAGTTATATTATTTAATTTAAATTCTAATAAGGATAATAAATACAGGAAGTTTAACTTGAATTTAAGTAGCAAAACTTGATCATTAGATAATATAGGTAAGGTGACAAAATAAAAATAGATTTTATACAATCAAATTATTTGTCGTTCCTGTCAAATTAAAAACCCAGCTGTGGACCAATAGACTTTTCCATGTGCGCATATAACGCGAGTTATAAGCTTTACATTACGCTACGATCAATAATGGAGAATTAATTAAATATTTAGAGAGCTTCTTTCAGTGGGTTGAATGAGATTTAACTGTAAGAACTTTTCTAAGAAATTCGAACTCTAATTAAAACATTCCTTGTATGCTTGTAATAGTCCAATTATAGACCAACGACCGAATCAACGCGGGAGACATTACACGGCGCTCTGTCCTGCTGCTGCGTGCCTACTGCTGTAAACCAATGGAGGAGGAGGATATAACTTCTATAGACGAAGGTCACAGCTACTGCTGTATCAACAGCGTCCAAAGGGCCACCCCGAAAACAATATGTTTGCATCGACAGTAGAGAGTCTAGATATAGTAGAGTCGAGTTCTGAACAAATTCAAATAAGGGTCCTACGAGATAGAGCGTACAAAGTTTTATACCGGCAACGCACTCGCGAGTCTTCTGACAAGGATATGGAGGTATCACTTGACATCAGGTCCGATCAGGGATGAACCGTTGCTCCCTACTCTATGAAACCAATCAGCGTTTTCACACAGTAGTTTACAATTTGTACTTTGTTTGTTTACTGTGTGTATGTATAAAGCTTTCGGTTAAGTTTCAAGTAGACCACAGAGGAGTACTCTACTACAATTTATAATTACGAGTACTATTTGGTTACCGATTCCGGTTGTAATTAAATATGATTTATAATCAACTGTATCATTATATACTGCCATAAAACACATTCCTAAAACCCTTTTTCATCTACTATTATTTTGGAAATTGAAAGAATTGTAATAGTTAAAGTAACATCAGTTGGTCAAGGTCAGACCATTTCGACTGTACTCCGTTTAATCGACTCGGTGAAGTGAATCATGAGAGACTTTCTATATGTACATACAGTGTATAAATAAAAATACTAAAGTAACTCAATTTAGTCTCGTAAGGAAGTAATATTTGCCTAACACTATCAATAAATTTAGAAATATTTAAGCTTACTTTGTACCTGTAGTTAAAAGGGATAAATCGGGTCCTACCGAACTCCGTTTTTTAAGCTTTGTTTAAACCCGATAAGTTCCATACACTGCGGATTGAATGTACCATGAAGTGTTATGGACCTTCAATTTGCGGCGTTATGGTTTTTTTTTTAATTTTTATTTAATTACAATAATTCATTGCTTTAACATGTGATGAGGAGCATGATATAAAGGTTTAAATTTAAAAGAGTCACGGAGAGTTAACTTTTAGTCCTTCTCGTCCGTACGGCCTTGATTAGAGAACTGGCGGTAAATTTAAATTTAGAACCATTATTTTTATTTACATGGTATGTGAATATACTCGTACACAATGAGGTTTTGGTAGTTAGTGGTCACTTGACAGCTGACAGGATTAGATGTAATATTGGGCTGGTTTTAATTTGTTCATGGAACTAAATAAGATTTAATAACTTAAGATACCGTTCTTGATATTTATTTAAAATAGAACACTATGTCACTACATGCAGCTGCATTTTAGTACAATTAATGCGAACTCGCCACCAGCATCGCCATCACGAAACGATTAAGACGGTTGTACCGTAAAAATATAATTTGTAAGAAATAATAAATTCTTTTATGTAATTTAATTTCTGTATATTTTTTCTCGCTAGTAGCGCAGTCTTTATAAGATGTTCACAATTATGTAAGTTGAAAATTATAACTCTTATATTCATAACTACTCGAGGTTTAGCTATTTCATAAATTTTTTAAATTCTGTAATTTTATAATTAAGTCGAAATTTTTAAAAAAGCATTATTGACTGTATACGAAGTTGATGTAACTTAGATATTTCGGTCAAATTTGATTTTTAACCTTGAAAATGATGGTTTTACAAGCGAACGTAAGCATTGTTAAAAAAGGAAAAGCGAAAATCATTACAATATCATGGAATATATTTTCTCAATTCCTGTAATCATATTTTGTTTTAATATCAAAGTGTAAATTAGTTTATTCCATTTACAATCAAGTATACAGTTTTTACAATTTTCTTAACCTACAAATTAATAATAAAAATTATTAAAAATAAAATCAAAACAAATTTAAAAAGTTTGGTCCCTGTGACAGTGTACCTTTAACCATGGCAGCATTTCCTCGCTGTATTGCGATAATCATTCGTTAGTTTTAATTATAATAAGTAACAAAATTCACCAAAAACTAATGCGATACTAAATCACTAGTAAACTTTTATCTATGTATAAAAATGTCCTAAACAATGTATTGACGATAAGCATATTTTGTACATCTCCAAAGCGATGATTAAGTCTCAAATGTTTTTATGATAGAATTTGCAAGTCAGTAGCTCGTTATATTGTCTCAACAACTAGCATACAACTCTTAATAATGTGAAAATATCAAACGTTCCTTATATAATCCCGAGTATAGTCTTTACAGTTTAAAGTATCAAACGGCTATTGATACTTTGAACTGTAAAGACATAGAATTTAGACTAATGATAAGATTTGAACACAAAATGTCGCCGCCTTCATTGAGACTTTCAAAAGTGTGCTGGATATTATATTTATTACGTTTTTAGCAGTTATATGTGAATTATTCTTGCTTTATCGTCTCAATCAAGACAATTTATTTTATTCTGCTATAGGACATGTAGCAGACACTAATATTCACTATTATATACAATTTTTTATCTCCACAGGTACTGATGACTCGATAACATTGACTGCAATTCTTCATTTGACTTCCATTGTTTATTTTTTTGCACGTTTATATAACACTAATTATATTTAACACCGAGTCGAATTTTATTTAAAAACACGTTTTATAATTATTTTGTTGGTAGTGAGGGAAACCTTGAGTATACTTTTATTGGTTTCGTAGAAGTATTACTTGAAATTTAGTCCTTTAAATTTGAGGTTAATAGAGAAAAATCGGTGTTGGAATTCCAACATAACTATTGTTTTCCCTCAATTACCTTAGCTGAGCCTTATACGCGTTGCAGACCAAGAGCTAAGCTACGTTAGTTTAGCTTAGCTCGCATAGCTGACCCAATTTTCCATACGTCTGCGCAGACCGCAAACTATGCGAACTAAGCTATGTGAGCTAACTAAAATATGCGAAGCTAAGTTAGTTGTGTATGCCGATGCGCAGCTACACGAGCTAAGCTAAGCCCCTCCCGCTACCCCGCACACCCTTTGCACATAGTATGCAACACTGACTGAGCTTTGGGTTAGCCGTTGGTGTGCACGCTATTTATTTCTAGCTTAGCTTAGCCTAGCTTGCTTGGCATAGCTTAGTTTAGCCTTGGCATAGCTTAGTTTTCGGTCTGCAACCGGCTTCAGATACATATGACTATATATTAATCCTTTTATATATACATTTATATAATGTTAACAGTTACATTTCATTCGTTGAATGGAGCGCTAATATCAGTTTCGAATTTAAACAAAACGTGTTAATAGTCCTTTTGTATATACATAAAAAGATGAATGTCCAAAATTCAAATTATAGAAGTTAATAGATACTTACTACACTACGAACAAACAAAAAACTCTATGAAAATTTAAAATCAATAAGTAAGTTTGGACTAGCCAATTATAATTTAATTAACCTTTGATGATTTCATTTATTCATACGTACGTTTAATTTTTGTAAATGACGTGATATTGTATTGACCTTATATTTTACGTTTTGTATGGCAGTAGGCTGTAACGAGCCAGTAATTAAAGCTCGCATAAAGATTTATTAGGAAGGCTGACCAGATCTTTTCATCTTTATGGGCGTATATATACAATTAACAATAATAATATGGCAAAATCACATAGCACATATGGTGCAAGTGATTAGGTTCAAAGTACAAAGTAAAATGTTTATAACGAAAAGCTACGGTATTTGTCTACAGCCACACAAATCTGTTAATTCCAATTTTTAAAATTCACTTGCGAGTCCGACGTCCACAGCCTAAAGTGATTTCACGTCGGGAGCCGTTGTATTCGTATTCATGCGGATTTTTTTGTGTGAGTAACATGGTTTAGGTAGTTATATCAGACAGGAAAAGGAAATCTCTTTAAAATTCTCTAAATTTGAAGCCTAGTTAATAGTAACTATTCTTCTAAGAGCAACTGAAATATTTAAAAACGAACTATGACTATAACTTATTCATGAAACATATTTTTCATAAATTTTAAGAGCACTGGCAATAATATAAGTATGGTTTAGAAAAACAACAATAGCTCCCGCGTCAGACGTGAACAATCATAGACCATAAAATATTCTCGCACAAAAAAAATTTGCCCAATTAATATTATAACTTGTGAAATCCTTGGTATTTTACCTTGTCTGTGATTCTCTCTATTGATTGCAAAACATTTTAAACTGTTAAAGAGACATTTATTTGTTCTACTCTTAACACGTAATTATGATTTATGTTTTATCTTCCCGACAGCCTAACAGAAGGACTTCATCTTTAATTTCATTATGGACGTTTTGTTACACATGGTAACGTCGAATCGAATCCGAACTATTGAAATCTAACTATCGCTATCCATGAAAACTGGAAGTCTATAAGAGAACAATTTAAACATACGAAACTAAATAATAGAAAGTATAGTTGATTAAAACTTAAAATAAAAATCAAAAGACCTCTTGTAAAATGTAAACCGTTTAGAAAACTAGTTCCATCAAATCTGGACGATGCTTGGTGAATATTTATGAGCTTCTGTTCGTAAAAATGTAAGTCATAGTTAAAGTGAAACCGATTTCATGCATACTTTATCACCCGCGTAATACTATTATGAGATAAGAATTGCTTAGAAGGACGAACTTTTGTGCAACAGCAAGAACAAAATAGCCAGCGTTTCTACAAATGAATGTGGTATTGTTCGGTAACAAAAAGTCTAGCGTCTTTTCGTCTAAAATGTCTCGTCTTTTCCTTGGGCCTTTTTTCTTGGATATCTATTGCTAGTCAATAGAATCGTCTTCTATTAAGATATGTTTAGTAACTAAAAGAATATTCAACAAGTTCGAGACCACCATATTTGGTTGGATTCTACAAGATGTGTTGGAGATGTACTAGACAGTTGCTCTCCTTGTAAACGATTACATTTATCATTGCGTATATTCGGGTATTGTCTTTTGCTTAACACGATGCATTCGGACGTCATCAGCTAACAACTAAATAATTCGGCGACCGACGTACATTTGGTCATTTATTACTTCATTGTTTACACGGCTACAGTGTGTCGTTTGATGTTCGAAATTCGTCACTCAATTTCATTAATTTCACGCTTACTAGTATCAAAACCTTTAATCGTGATAATATTTACGAATTTTCAAGTATCACACACTAAAAACTATTCTGTTATAACAGTGTCGAATGTGCGCTGTGCCAAGGAATAACATCTTTACATATTCTGTTGGATGGCGTAGTCTTGCTCTTTCGCGAATTTTGTAAACGTTTTTGACCTTCATAAGCATGCCCTAAGACGCATCTAAACTGAATAAACGTATTTTGATTTTTGTTGTCGTTTTAAGTAGCTGTCCGTTTACAGCCTGCTAAACTATAATCAAACCCAGGACCTCGTTAAACCCATTGAACAAAGCAAGTGCGTGACCCGCTGAGCAACGGCGGCTCGTATAAGGTATGCTGTATGTAATAAACTCTTGGCAAGGACAGGCCATGACATCTGTACGGCTCAGAATGTAAATCGTTATTGCCAATCCATCGATGTATGTATGAGACCCGAATCGCACCCGCAATGTGTACAAAGTCTATATCAAGGCCTTCATACGAATTAGCAATACAATAAACAAAACATACCAATGATTTGTACATAGAGATTTTTTACCAAAAAGTGAATTTAATTTTTAGGAATTAAAGTTATTTCTATATTAATTTTGATATATTTTTCAGAAACCAAGATTTCCTGACTTTAAATACGGGATTCATTAAGGGCTTCAGACAGGACGTTAGAAAATTAACGTTATTGAAGTTACAGTTAAATTGAAATATATTGTATGTATCATATTATACACGTTTACGTGATAGTATAAGGTTTAATTCTATAATACGTGAGTATTTACGTGCTTTTCAAGAAAATAAATATATGAGTCATTACACATACCACAAATATTATAGTTGAAATATGCAACTATGGATTAAATAAAAATAAATTATACTTTAAATACAAATCGCAAAGCCACGTTTCGCAATAAATGCAACAAGGAAAAAATATTTCGCTGTAATCTTAAACTTTAAATTATACATCGCCATAACGTAATATTTGTGAGCAGAGCTTTAAACAGGTAATAAATCAGGTTTTAGAATACATGTGAAATTAGTATGGAGATTAGTTAATTGTCCCAATATATGACATCGCTTTGCAACTTTCACTTTTAATTAAAAATCTTCTGGGGTTGTATAATCACCTTTATCCATCCACTAAAACAAAAACCAAACAGGCAAAGTAAACGATTTCAAGCCAATTAAGAATATTTTGAAATCGGAAAACGAAGATTGCTCTGTTTTCAATCGATTTTGACATAATTTAAGAATTTCCGTTTTATAAGGAAAATCGTAATCTGTACGCATTATAAATGATTAAAAACAAAACAAAACTCATATCGTTATCAGGTTTATGAAAAAAACATTAAAAAGGATTTATTGAAATTTAGGAATCATAAAAAAAAGCTGAATATTGCATGAAGAATATTGAATGGTTCTTTCCAGTATTTGTGTACAAATAAGGGTCACTTTTTTAATTTTATTAACACAGCTCAATTTTATTAGTAAGAACTTAAACACTAAAAAGAAAATATATTAAAAAAAGCTTTTATAATAAATAAAAATGCCAGGAATACTCACCGCACCAGGTATTCCAGCGGAGATAAACAGTGCCAGTGTGTCTGGCCATGGAAGCAGCTTGTACTGCTCCCACCACCGCTTCACTACCAGGCTGACGTAGAAGCCAAGGACAAACGACATTGGAATCGTCTCACTCTGCGCGCCGAAGTATTGACGCACTTTCTCGAATATTCTGGAAGGAGATATTATTTGTAATAGGCGGAACGCATATATGGTACTGGTCGCATATCTGTCCTGTGAGGTGGCCAAGGCAAAACAAAGTAAACAATACGATTTTTTTACAATAATAAGCTTAGACATGGAATAAAATCATCGGACGGCATTATGGTATTTGCTTTCGAGAAGTATAGGTAGACCAAATTTACTTAAGCATATAACGAGTGATTTTTTTAGCCAATCGTGTCTCTGCAGCCCACCCGGCGGACTGAGCAAACTATATTTATGAGTCACAAAAGATAATGTTGGCCATTGAATAAACTGATAATACAAACATACATTGTCTTTCCGAGTATACAAAGTGTACTCAAGTTATCAATAGCATTCAATGGAATAAATAAGCACTGCAAGGCAACACGTCTACCGCCGAGGTCCTTGGTCCGGGAGCAAATAAAAAAGTAGATCGCTGCGCATACACTTGTAAACTCAGCCAAAAATATGATTATTATAACGTCCGCAAGTTACGTAGATTTTGCGTGGTTGGCGGACAATTTCCCCGTATACTTTTAGCAGGAAAATGTTATAATATATCCGAGGAATTAAAATATATCAACGAGTTTATCATTCGTGTCTGGGTTTTTAATAATTAGAATTTTAGCGTATGGTATTATAATTGTGTTTATATATTATAATCAAAATTGAAAAGTTTAAGGTAAGACTTTTATAAACATACTAGCTGCCCTCGCAACGAACTTCGTTTCTCCTTAATGTGATTTCACTTAGCCTAACTTTTTAGTATATACCCACTTTTCCGGTTTTCCGGAATGAAAACTTTTTAGGTTTTTCTGTGTTTTTTCGCTATATACACCTCAGAGTTCAAGTTATAACTTCTTAACTAACACATAAAAAATAGGGGTTGCTCGTAGAGGGTAGATGAAAATGTTTATATGCTGTATCATAAAAAAAAAACAAAAAAAATTACATTCAAAAACTACTTGTCAGAGTCAAAAATCATTTATTCATATAGGTAACACAATGTACACTAAAGAAATATACATTAAATGCTTCTATTTTACATTCTGCCAGTTCTCAAATCAACGGCGTAGAACGGAAGAGGAGAACTGGCAATAAACTCTCCGCCACTCTTTTTACTCGCCAATTTTTTTTTACACAACGTTTGTAATGAGCTGCAACCATAACACCATGTGCCACATAACTTAATCTGTGTCTGAATCTGAATCTTAAGTAATAAATATAATAAAATAAATTGAAAGCAAAGATTTGTCCTCTTGCCTATTAGAAAAAAAAAACAAAACAATAAAAATCACGAAACAGGTACAGACATCTGAGGCCCAGACCTATTTTAGAGCGCCAGGGCTTTTTATTATTTTGAAGATCAAATAGTAACGATATACATGATTAACTGCCTTTAAAGTTAATTAAAGTACCAAACATTACGGAAATTATTAAAACAAAAGTAAGTCTATGGATAGGATTTTAATGGAATAAATCAGTAGCAGGAATTCGCATTGAAGACGACTTAGAAGAAGTATGGGTTATTATTACCAACTGGTAGAAAACACAGACCCAGCAAAACAGGTCTAAATATTTAATTTAAATATCTTCTTGTTACTAACAATTCATGTAATTTAAAGCTGGCGCTGGAGTGTATGTGGAAAAAAATAAAACAATTATATCGCATTCAAGGTCAAACTAGTTATTTTTTAATGAAAAAACTTGATTCGACTAGAATAGATTTAAATTTAAATATAAAGGTCTTAGTAATTTGTAAACGTACAGAGCCTTAAATTATTAATAATATTTCAATTCCTAAACATTTTATCGATATGTAGAGAGCACTTTTATGAAAAAAAATAACATTTCTCATACTATACTGATAAACTGTAACACTTAATTGAAATTAAGGTACAAAGATTTCGTGCACTAAATAATAAAGAAGAAATGTAATGTTTATTTCGCCAAACTCAGCAAAGATTCGGAAGCCTTATATCCAAAATCCGAATTTCGTTAGGCCATGAGTAAATCCGCGGCTAGAAGCTAATTTTATGTATGCAGTTATTATGTTGTCTGTCGCAATATCTTACGCATAATTATGTAGGTGACATTGTGATCGCATTTTTTCGATCCACGCAATTTAACCTTTGCTTTTAACGAACATAACATTTTATGGGATAAAATATAGTATATAACAATGGAGTTTTATAACTCAGTTCATGTTCAACCTAGCATGGTTAAACTAGCTAGCTAGCTAGCTTTATTAGAGCAGTGTTGGCGACTCTCATCCCTGAGGTCGTATGTTCGATCCCCGGCTGTGCATCAATGGACTTTCTTTCTATGTGCGCATTTAACATTCGCTCGAACGGTGAAGGAAAATTTTGTGAGGAAACCGGCTTGCCTTAGACCCAAAAAGTCGACGGCGTGCGTCAGGCACAGGAGGCTGATCACCTACTTCCCTATTAGATTAACAAATGATCATGAAACAGATACAGAAATCTGAGGCCCATACCTAAAAAGGTTGTAGCGCCACTGATTATTATTATTATTAATTAAACGAGCTCTTCTAAGTAGGTATACCTACTGTTTAAATAGACATAAACTAACTTTCTTGGATAACATCTTAAAATTTTGGATTTGTTAGTATTAACGGAATCCTCAGTTTTCATATTCTTAGGTTATTCAATAATAATCAGGAGGTTTCATCTTCTACTCCCGACATGTATAACTTCGAGTTCCGATAAACCGGCAAACCGGTTCTCGGATAGGACGTATGGGAAATAGGTAGGTAGACTATGGTGGTTATTTTTATGTTTTTGAAGGTTTTCAGTATTTTTTTACATGTATTTAATGTCTACTTTTGGCACTAATCGACACATGTACACTGGCCATTTCTACTAGCCAAGGTGTACGCTGCTTACACGGAGTATTTATTGACATACTATTTGTATATCTTATTTTTAGTTATTGAAAACATGTATTATTTTGGTACAAACGAAATTTCTTCATACTCAAACTGAAGTATCGACTTCGTGAAGGTTAGCACTTGGTACTCTCTTTCTTCATATTCTTTATAACAATCAATGTTAGAAGAAATGAAGTGTCATGTTCATCATCCGGCGAGTCCACACCTCAGTTAGCCTACATCCGGGGAAAGCTACTCGTCTAGATAATATAGATTCGAATCACTTATTCCTTTTTTGACTCTATTAATTGGGCAGACGTTACCATGTTTTATATCCGTATTTTCTACACTTTCCACACGAAAGCGGGAGGGAAACACAACGCACAAAAAATTATGTGTCGTGAGTTAAGAAGAAGATACATATATGTCAAGATTATGTTATGATTTATATACGTCGTCGTACGGGGTCGTCTTCAATCGACTCCCGACCATGTTTAAAAAGACCATGCCATTTGTAAATCATTGATTTACTAGGGCACTGTTCCCCGTAAACAGTTTCCATTTCATTCAAAATGGTCTGAGCGTTCTTTCCTTGCTTGGTAAGGAATTTAATGACAGCACGGTGTTCAATTTTCTCCATAGTTTCAGTTTTCTTCCGGATTGACGTGTTTAGCAGGCGAGTGTTCGTAAACGAATGACGCAATAGGGCTGAAACTCCATTTATATACTAATTATGAGTCCCCAATTAGTATGACACTAAGCGAGCGCCCCTATCCCCACTCCATCCCCTCCATTCCACGAACTTTTGGACCTCCCCTCGTATTATATCGTTTAGAATAACATACCGGTTATATTGACCAAAATCAAAGGTCCTGGCTGAATTCTATTGTATTAGGTACTTAATAACCACGTCATCGGCTGTTACGACTATCGGTTTTAACGAACAAATATGAGTAGTCCCTTCGATGTCGTTATAACAGATATTGACTGTATATATCGCTTTTCACAGTCTTACAGACCAAAACAGGAATTACTGTCCATATTGCCTGGTGAAGAACCAAGGAAAATTAGGGCTTGAATATACAAATAACCCCTTACTAAGAAACCTATGTTTTAAATAGTTAAAAAATGTTTAATCAGATTTATTAATTTTCAATGTCATGCGAGTGATAAGAACAAAATAATATACAGCGATTTGAAGGTACATTATGTACTTTAACTATATGAGCCTCAACATAAAGTTAAGTGGGCCCCAGCTCCAACTAAAATATTTCTTAGGTCTATGTGCGCAATTAAGACTCTCATAGAAAAAGCCTATTTGCCTGTAAATAATTAATGAAACGGATACTGTGTGAGGCAAACTAATAAATTGTTGTAGGGAGATTATCATAAAACACGTTTATGAATAAAATATTGACGAAATAGCTTTTCCCTTTAAAATTAAAATGGTGCACGTTTAATGAGTTTTTAATAAAATAAAATAAAATAAAAATAAAATATTGTTATTATGGAACATAAGATACATGTATCACTTATTCCACGTCATTCAATTTGAAGGCATCCCTACTCATCGGCAAAGAAGACAGAGGGTGTAGGCCGAGAGAAAAAGCCGGCGTAAAAAACTCTCGGTACTCTCTTCTACTCTAATCTAATCAATGAATCAGTAATCGGAATCCTTTGAATGCGTTGGTAATGGAGCATAAAATTATTGACCCTACCGATGGATAACTAGTGTAACTGATATTGTAATACTATATATGTATTGAAACTATACTCAGACCATTTAACTTCAGGGCAACTTCCTTTATAATGTACATGCTTGTATATTTTCATTACAATATTTTTATACAATTAATCATTAAAGATAAATTTTACATTTCGTTAAAATTAATTAAAACTGTTCACATTCGTACAACGGAAATTTAACCTTCAAATGCAACACGTATGTATAAGGATATGATTTTAAGATATTCAGAAAACAGACGTAGAGTTAAGTGTCACTCCAGTACGTCCATAATATATAGAGTTATAGAGAGGTTCGTTATATGGAGTGCAGAGAAAAAAACTAATTATTTATAATTTCTAATTTTATAGCTATCAAGGTAATACACATATTCTGTTAACTATGCCTGACGTGTTTTGCTATGCCAATATTTGTATTTTTTTTTGTTTACGAATAATGAACGGCTGTTTATGACCTAAGGTGTCGTAGAAATTTCGGCACCTCAAAAGGTTAGTTTTGTAAGCTGATTATCTAAATAAATGTATCTAGCTGAATGTCTAAATATGAAAATATTTCTTCGTAATAGTGAGTGGCTGTTGCGGTATAAAGAGTGTATTAATGTATGGGTTTTGTGTTAAACCAAACAAACATAACTCATTTTACGTTATAGAAAGTTACACTGTTTAAAGAAAAGGAAAAACTTTTTTATACATAATAAAAAACAGTTCGCAAAAAGTCTTGTTTCATAATGTTCCCCTCACAGTCGAGACATAGCGCTAAGCATACCCTCTCGTATCTTAGCTTTAGTCAAAAAAAATATCAGATGCAAAACAAAAGTCATACAAAAGTTGGTCATGTCTGGTAGTTAAAGGCAAGTTAGCGTTCCCCAAAAGGCACAGATAAGACAAAAATGTGTCAATTGTGAGGCAAATATAAAAAAAAATACCTACTTGTTATTCGTCAGCATATTCAAATGAATTTCCGAGAATAGTGGATTTTCTTTATCAGTAAGTACTGAATAATGTTAAAATAAACACGCGTATTGCTCATTCGCCACGTTCAGAGAGTGATTATTGTAAATCTGAAGTCGCTACCACATTTTGACACTTATTGTAATGAATACAGTAACAGTAGGTACCAACAGATAAGGAAAATAATATGCTTATTAATTGTGATTTATTAAACCTGAGTTCAGATAATATAAGATTTTTTTGGCACTACTGGGCATTTCGATTTAAATTCAAATAAGTTTACTTAAAGATCAATTCGGAAGCAGGTTGCCGTATAATTTTATTAGCTAGTTTCACTGATTCTTTTACGTGGAAACATAGCTTTGGGCGAGTTTATATATTTTTCTGTGCCTTTTGTCTATGAAAAACTGTTTAGCAGAATCGACGAAATCGTATTTATTAAATGGCAAAGACGGGATAATACAATAACTTGTTATTAAAGGCCAAAGATCGTGAAGGTTATTAAACATATCACCCGATATTCAATATTATTCTAATTTGCCAAAACAGCGACCATTTACATCGAACATATTAAATGCACATTGAAGTACAATACAATTTTTGTCATCGCTATTCCATATAATATTTTGTTGCATTGATTTTAAAATATTAATTAACATAGGAAGGAAAAATAGTGCATCACAAATTATTATATTATTCACGTTCTATGCAAGAATCCAACCTTGATGCGATTGTTTCCGTTGATTAAAACAAAATGACAGTAAAATTAAGCCCCGTGAGATAATAATTTTAAATTGGATATTATTACATAACTGCTAATTAAAATATCTTATTTAACAATAAAAAAAAAACATTACTTCACGTATCACAGCTATATCGCTGTAACTTTGTTAACCGCAAAATAAGTATGTATGTATTACCAATAATTAGAAGTATATGTATCATTTTTTTTTAAATATTACCCAGGATTGTTATGAAGAATGTTTGAGTTTAAATTGTCTCTTCGGGATTTTTTTGTTGGACGCAGTGTTGACTTAGAGCTTCAGCGTGCGGTTCGAATCCTGGCTGCACCAACCTGTCTATGTACGCATTTAACACTCGCTTGTTCTATGAAAAACATCGTGAGGAAACCAGTCGACAGCGTGTCAGTCACAGAACGCTAGACCAAGAATAGCAAAGTATACACAGATCTTAGATTTCAGATTAAAAGGTTGTAGCGCCACTGTTTTATACTACGAATATATTACGGTGTTAGAAAAAATTAAGTGAAACTCATACCACAAATATCATTCCTAATGAAAGAGTAACATCAAGGTTATTTGTGTATTAATTGTCTAATAACTAAACAATAGATGAGTCATAATTATGCAGAGAATCACGAAAATAGAAGGTTTTATGAATAGCTCGTTAAAAATTAATGAACCAACGTTTTATACTTAATGTTTTTAACTCTAAGGCCTATACAGTCCTAGTAAAGCCTTTTTAAAAGCTTTTTCCACAAATAGAACATGTCTCCGATCTTAATTAGAGAAGACCAACTCTTAACTGTAGTATGTATCTTTTAACGCCCGAACCCAATAACCTATCTCAATTCATAATCCATCTGAGATAGTAATCTTTATGTTGTCTCAAATGTTGTAACAAGTGTGGCAATAACCAATCGACGGATTGTAATAGCCATCTGTCGATACAAGCTATCCATGGGAGGTCGTATCGGTGTCTGTGGATAGACCTTTGTATGAAAATGACAGTTGACGAAAGCTCGATTTCAACAGTTAATTATTTTAACAGATTTTAACTTACACCAGTTTTTAAATAATAAAAAAACTGTTTGTTATGTTTTAAACATACACATGTATATTTTAATGTTATTTGTAAAATGGAACAACAAAGAGCATTTTATCCGTCATCAAAAATGGATTGTCTTCGTAGGGAATGGTTATTGGGATGCAGATAGGAGATCGATCGACTGTCACGGTCTGTTCTCAGATTGAAAACAATTAATTGTGGATTAATTATTGAGTTCGGGCGTAAAACATCATCCTCAGTCTCTCGTGTCCAATAAAACCATAATCCAATTAAGTTCTGCCCCTTTTGTCCTTTAATAGCTTAGTATAGCTTAGTATAGCTTAGCGCTAAACAACGCACTAAACAAGTCACTCTAAATGCCCTTAAGTTGCAGGCAACTTGGCTTATGGGCTGCCTTTAGTAGAAGTTAACTAACAATATTCTCCAGGTCGAGTCAGCGACTAATCTATATTGAGCTTATGCATGTACGTGCTTATCTGAAGCCCCACCCGAGACCCTTACTATGAAACTTACCTCTGTTGCTCTTCCGTCATAGCAAAACGGTATAATAAGTTAATAGTATAGTAGAGTGTTAGGTATGCTAGCAGCTCGCGCCAAACCAACTTATATACACTTCCTCGCCATCTGAAAACAAATTGGTGGTATAATAAACGTAATTAGGTGAGCATATGAAAATGGACAAGACGAGACAAAAATCTATACATTATTTATACTTATTAATAACCTATTTCAAACTATTTACTCGTAACTTTTAGAATGCGACATTATCCCTGAGTAACAAAGCTTTCTTCTAAACTTTACAATTTTATTGAACTAAATTTTTTATAACAATTAAATATTTTTTTAATTGTTGTTATTAAAGACTTGAGGCGTATTTTGGTGACATTTGGTGACTTTGTAACGGGGTTTCTTCGTTGGATACGAATTGCAAGTAAGCATAGTGCTTACTTAGAAGGATAGAGGTGAAAGGCAAAAAGGAAGAGAAAACTGCGGTTGGCCATAATGCCTTCTAAGGTGTAGTAATTTGTTGTGTTTAGGTAACTTGAATGTATTGTACATAGAATGAAAATATAGCATACTAGCTGTTCCCTGCCACGCTTCGCTGTGGCACATTGTGATTGAATGGTTGAGAAATGAGAAACAAAACAAAGAATACATTTCATATAAGTATAATTTTGCAATACTTGTGGTAAGAAAAATGAAAATATAAATATATAAAAACGATCCTCGATGCAGATTATATTTTATGCTAAAATTTCAGCTCGATCGGTGCAGAACTTTTTGAGTTTTTGAAGCGTACACAAACCAACATAACATTTTTCTATCTTAATATATATACATTACGTGTCACGTTGTTTGTCCGCTATGGACTCCTAAACTACTGAACCAATTTCAATCAAATTTGCACACCATGTGCAGTTTTGATCTAACTTAAAAGATAGCTTACATCTCAATTTTATTCACAATATTATTTTATTGCAAAATATTTGTTTATTATTTGATAGTCACAATCCTAACAGATGGCACTGTGTTGAAAGTACCAACGTTTGAAATAAGCTACAATTTAATGGCATTACCACCAAAAAAGCATGGTGGTCCCCATGACTGGTGTTATCCTACCGTTTCCCTTGAATAGGTTTCTAGTATGTAATATAACTAAAACCTTAGCCACAGCAACGCTTGGGCGGTCTGCTAGTATATATATAGATTTATGCGAAACTTGAGATGAAAAGGTTATAATTTTTCAAATTACATAGAGGCTTTTGGTTAATATATACCAGAGGCTCTTGTATATCATATTATCTTGAAAATGACTAATACTTATTTTTCATTCAGTAATAATTGGAAATAGCATTAATATAGAATAATTTATTGGAGTTCCTGGAGTAAATGTAGTCTGTTATAGAATTATTTTTGTTGCAAACATCTGTTTCTGGTATAGGTAAATTATGATCGAATTGTTTCAAAAGTTCGTGGAAATAGTGTTTGTCCGTTGTCATCCATTATTTCAATTGTGATGAAACTTTAGGTAAGCAGATACAGTGATTATCAAGCGAAGGGAGCAGAGGCGACGGCCGGACAAAAAAATATAAAGGAAAACTAAATAATTTATGTATAAATTTGTGCATGTATTGTATTAATCACTTGCGAAATACGGCTATCTGGTTCGACATTAAAAATATTTGTCTTTGTTAAAAAGTTGCAGAATCGAATTTTTTCTAAACTATAATTTGTCATTAATTCGTAAACTACACTGTCAGAAATAACATAGGTACGTGTAGAAAGTATATATAGATGGATGTCAATCAAAATAAAAAGAGAAGTTGGTGCGGTGCATCAATGCCGAATAGGTACTAAAGTATTTTCAAAGTCGTGGAAAAGTCAAAGTCGAAGGATGATCGCTTACGCGCTGTTGGGAACATTAGCGAAAAAGATAATGGGAAAAATAGCCCTAGTTACCAAAAAATCAGCCAGGGTCACACGATATTGCACGTAAATTATTCCCTTTTCTGAGAATGAACGCGACGTCAATCTCGTCAAAACTTCGTGTTTTAAAGAAACTCAGTCGCGGTTAATTTATTCAGTGGAAGCTTAGCAACGGATCACGAACCACGATTATTTCGTAACAATTATCATTTCTCCAAAACACTTTTACTTTAAACGGCGTACTACGTAACGAACATTAAAATTTGGTATTTTATTACTGAATTTCGTTCTTAAATAAAGCATTGAGAATATTATAAAGAGTTTTTAAGATTGTTCCTAAAAAGTAAACTGTGTATTTACCGAAACGATTTTAAAAATTCTGTCACCAGTATAATACTACATTTATTTTGAAGTGCCTATTGATATGAATACATCACAACACAAAGATTATTTACAGTCGAATGATTGTGATACGTCGCAGAGGTTTCTATGGTTATGGTTATATAAATTGTAAATTAAAAATATCGTATGCATTACATTTTACCGTTGCTATTCATTGGTGAAAAGCAAAACAAATAAGCAGGTAGTCAAACAACTAAAAAGTAGCGGTATTTAGTTTGAATTTCACGATAGGTAATTCAAACGCAAGAAGACCAATGTTAATACCTTAGCTTCAAATGTATTTACTGTTATCATTCAGTATTGATTTAACTTTTAAATTGACTTTAAAATTTCTTGTCAAAAGAATTTGCTCTTTATTTATCTTTATACAATTGGATCTCACTACAGTTATAGAACATTTATGTACAATACAAAACGAAATGAATACATGCATTTTTTGCTGAGATAAAAACAGGTCTAGTTGAATTTTGAACTCGGATCGTGCAAGACCTGCCTTGTAAATTATTTTACATCTTATTAACAATTATGCATTTGCAATGAAGAAACATTCTCTCAGTAAAAAAGCCACGTAGTAATAAAGCATGTATATCGTTGCGATTTTATTACGGCGATTCTAAAAGCACCAAGTAATCATAAAATACGTATTTATCAGCTGTAGCCGATTGATTTGAAAAGGTTAGTAGGTATTTTATAGTGCGTCACAGTTAACTTTCGCCACTTTTCGTTGTCAGGGCCAAATGAGCCAACATTGAATACCAGTTCACTTTGGACTAATCGTATCCATCACCTTTAAAACAACAACGCGAAGGCCAAACGATTCTTCTAAATTGAACTTTCTTAAATATTTAAAACTTTTAAAATGTTAAGAGTTGGGTGGTGTTTAACGAACAAAACAAGTCCTACGTCACAATAACTGGAGGAGTCATTGTAATAACAATTGTAACTACGGGCAAACGGCCCGCAATTTCATCACGTACAAGGTACCTATGCTATGTAAGGTGGTCGCTGCTTGGAACAGCTGTTTAAGCTCTAGCGAGCCTGCGGCCCTGGACCAGGGTCGATATGGTAAACATACTGTAGAACTAGCCACTCACTCATCGCAATAAACTGAACTTACTTGCATAGTATCCGCCAGAAACATCCAAAACTGCTACCATTGGGAACTTCACCGGCATATGATATAGTCATTTTGAATGTTTAACAACTATAAAATTAATATTTATACATACAAACACACGTTTGTTGGCGCGAGCATGAAACGAGACACACGCGGAAAATTAAATACGTTTTAGAAAGTATTTTGTTTAACGTTAGTAATAAGGGAGTTGAGGAGATTTTTTTATTAAAAATTCACTTTTGTTTTGTTACATTCTGGTTTCTATTATTCGTTTCTTCCCTCGTAATTTAAAACAAAATAACACCACGCAGGAATACACCAGCTCCACATCAATATGCGAATGTAACTGAATTGCCAGTTGTAACTTGTAACTTGCTTGATGATTTGTGTACCGTGTCAACTTCAAGTTGTTTCGTGCGGATGCGACTACGCCAGTATAACCCTGCGGGCTGCGCTCGCACAGGCTGTTTGAGGTAGAACAAGCTTGCTGCATCAAAGAATAATATGATATTATCAATTGTAGTTGTATTCAGACTTATGATTAAATTGTACAACGTATACTTACTATTTAACAGTTAATTTACTATTAATATTAAGAAAGTCTTATAAAATTATAATATTAAAAAAAAAAACTTTTTTAAATAAATAATCATTAAAAATTGACAATTTCAAATATTCTACAATAGTGTTAAAAATCTTTTTCAAAATGAATTAATGTTACCTAACAATATATCAGACCAACAAGGGGTCTTTTTTTGGGAAGGAAGAAATTTCCATTCGAAAATACCCAGTATGGAACTAGGAGAACAAGTCTTCACATGAATCTCTTGTTTCTCTGAGTGTAGTTCATTATGAGTACACACTCTAAAACACCTTTCATATCTATATTGACTCATCTATGACTGACACACGTGTGCCGAAAAGAGATAGCAATACTAGACACAACTTAGGTTCCGTAAGCGAGACAAAGACAGCTACAACCAAGGTAAAACCCGTGAGTTAATATGTTGCAGTAAGCTTGCTTAAACAGTCATTCAACTAATGATCCATTTTGTATAAATTTTTTTAATTTTTGCCAGCTTATATTAAAACTTGTAATCTAGAAGATCAATAGGTACTTACTTTTTTTAAATATATTGACTTGAATAGACGAAAGAACAGACAAGAAAAGCGGAAGTAAGAAATCCTACTGTTAATTTTATTAAGTAATACTTATTAACTAGGAACGCCGATTGGACCATACTTAGTTGTTTAGGGAATAATATTGATGAAAAAAAATACCTCATTCCAAGTTCTAAGAAATAGCAAGGGTCGATATTTGCATACGTGAACCAAATCCAGTCGTATAATCATACCAAGAAAATAAACTTTATAAGGACTTTTCACCAAAAATAGAAGTAAGAATTGTTTAAAAAAAAGTTATACTAGCTTTATTCAAATGTATTCATTTTTCAGCATCTTGGTTCAGGGTAAGATTAACAGCTGCCCAAATAATTTTCAGTTAGAAAGTTGCATTATCAGGACATTAAGATTTTGAAAAAACTGAACTAAAGTAAAAGTACATTAACAAATTATTTTTTTGGTATCAAAAGTTTCTGTTTCTGACATGATATCCAGACTCAACTTCCCCTTTTTATTTTTTAAATAATTTACCTATAAATTATATAGCCTATGTACACATGATGTGTCGAACGGTGATATAGTTTCAGAAATATGTCCATTATTATTTGAGTTCTTAGATTACTAAAACCTTTTCTCTTTATAATATTACTTTTGATTCACTGCATATTATAACATCCAAATAAGATAACATGTCTTATAGGTGTTCAGTCACAAATTATTACACTCCTCTAATAATCAATCTAATGTCACGATGGATTAGTTTGTTAATTATAATAATTTAATTATTTTCAAGAAACACCCCTATTGCCAGTTTTAAAGAAAAACTTCATCATGGTTCAAACATTTTGTAAATATATTTGTATACCTTTACAATTAAAAGCATTTGAATTACAATTAAAAGGATTGTATTGAAATAAAACAAACAATAGCTTGTTACTCCTCTAACACAAAGAATGCAATTTATTTTTAGAATTGCAATTACAATGTTGCTTCTCCTAATGTATATACACAAACTATGAAACAAGTTTGACCATTAAAATTATTATTATATATATATATAGAATAATGGCGGTAGGTACAACAAAGAAAAACCAATATACAATATACTGACTAAAAAGACACACATGAACACCACTGATCTAGATTCCATTTCATTTTCAAATTTTAATAATTAAATTAATTCATAACTCTAATCGTATAGTTTTCTTTGCTTAGGTACGCTATGGTGATTGATGATGTCAAATGTAAAGGTAAATAAATTGTTCAACTTATTTTGGTAGAAACATTATTGTAGTCAATAGTCAATGTAATCAAGAATACAAAATTCATGAGAAACAGTTGTTTCTTAAATTTACAACTAGGCGTTAGTTAAGTCATACTTATAAAAATTATCTCGCTGTTTGTCCACACCTAACTTGAGCTCATACATAGCTTATTTTTTATTACAGATATATCTATTAGTACAAAATTAGATTCAACTTCTTTTTAAATTTAACATGGATTTCACTGTATAGTAAGCGTAACATGATTCAAATTAAGGCTTCATGAACTGTCAAATATTTAATGTATAAATTTTAATATTGTAATGTGCCAAAAAGCATTCACAATTTTTGTCATCAAATCATAATATATATATATTCATAATAAAGAACTAGAATTTAGACATCAGATACTTAATTATAATAATTAATAATTATATTCTTAATTATTTCGTCAGACACCTACGTAGTAGACGCCTAGTCACTAATAAGGCTATATTAAGACCCGCTGTTTTATAGCAAATGGAAATATTATAGTTTATTTTTATGCTATCTATAAATTGTGTGTATGTCATAAAGTTGATCGGTTTACTGTTGTAGTATGTTATTATAATAATATATTATATTAGACACATTCTCGTGGACGTGTGTCTAATATATTATATGAGACACATTCTCATGGACGTGTGTGGTGAAATGGCAATTTTACTGATAATTTATTGTGTGTGTCTTTATACTAACTAAATAATTGCTCAGTTGCGTCTTCAACGTCCCAATTGTATGTTGAAAGAGCTACGCGCGCTTTGTGCTCATCAACACCCATTTCTAACAATAACTGTACTTTTTGATTAAATTCCCAGACCCCAGAAGGGCCTTCTGCATAGATATTAGTCCAGTGTCGCGCTGTAAGTGTGAACATTTGTTGGTTTTCTATGTATTGCTTCGCTACAACCGCGTCTTGAGGATCATTTGGTTCAGCTGCAGCAAGTAATGCCTGTATAGATAGCATTACTGTCCTAAGGGTGAGTGCTGCGGCCCATTGGTCCTTCAAGATATCTAAGCAGATAGCACCAGTTACTGACGATACATTCGGGTGCCAGATTTTTGTTATGAAACGTACCTGTAATCAAGAAAAGAAGCTTCAAAATCTCTTATATTTATAGGACAGTGTGAATCTTAAAAAGGAAAACAGAAAGTAAATGGGTGTCACATAATGTGACATTTATCCCTTATTATCCAAAAGATTGTTTTGCAAGAACATGAAAAATATAGTTACATTATACATAATATATATAACACATAAAAACACATTAGAGCCGGCATTTATTTTCCTTAGTTAAATGATGTGACAGTTTATAAATAGATCTGGCGTCCATTAAGATCACAATACCTTTATCGACAGATGAACAGTATTGACGTTGTGACATAGAACTTGGCTCCAGTTTCACATTTATATTTTTCTTGGAACTTAATATTGTAGGATAATACATATAAGAGTGACTAAGTAATAAAAATCAATAAATAAACGGACAAAAGCTCATTAGAGGATATGTTAGTAGCTGACAACTACTGGCACAATGCATTCAATCTTTTCAGCTATGATTCTATATTGTCTTAGCAAAGATGTAATAAATTAATTTTAACACGAGGCCTACGAGAAACTAATAAGATTGTGTAAACTTATAAAATACATGTAATATGTTAAGAGATGTATTTAACACGTTAAACATACCTTTGGTGGAGTAAATGGATATGTTTCTGGGATTTTGATCTCTAGTTTGAAAATACCACCTTCATATGGTGTATCAGGTGGACCAGTGATTTCTCCAAGTAAATCTGTCCAACTATTACTTACAACTTCTAATTTCAATGATCCCTGAAAATTGTAGAGGGACAAATGTACAATAGCCATTCTATGATATAAATACAAAAGGAAAACAGTTACTTTTTTAGGTGCCATTATTTGGCAATTTAATGAACTGTAAGTCTTATTCTTAAACATACTTTAAGCCTAAATTATTTTAAGAATTCTTTATCACATTTATTATTTTCATAGTGCAACTAGGTACCTTTTACTACCACAGTGATGAAAATATATACATGCATAGCTTCTACACCTCAATTCAAAAGTTATCAATATAAATGCAGTATCTTAAGCTTAAAGAGGAAAGTAGACAGGGCTCCAACTTTACCGCATCCTATCTAAAGTGAGCTTTTGTTGGTATGAACAATAGCAAGTCCAATGTATGTGTTTTGTTGCAAGCCTTCGGCATCAAGCAATCATATTATAAGTGTCCATGAAGAAGTATCTTAAGCTTCTGGACCAATAAAATCCAAATCATTGCTTTTTTTTTATTTTTTTCTCATTAATAAAGGTTTTAATTTTAATATTGCTTGAGACACAACTAATTATGCAGTATGAGTGATTTGATGACTTGTTTTTATGACTTATGCCAATATAAGGTTGAGATGTTCATTAGCAATACAAAGTTCACATATGGAGAACACAATTCAAATGTTAACATTTACATTTACTAAAAATTCAAACATATTAACATAACAATATCATTAAGTCAATCAAAGTCCTGTTTACCTTGTCTATTTTTAAAATTACTGGTAAATTAATTATTGCAAAAAGAACCACTACAGTTTAAGATCTGAATCTCTGAATCTGAATTAATTCCTACAACTTGTTTATAAAAATGTAAAGCAAAACCAATACAAACCTTCCACATTAAACTAATTGAACTCTAACATTAATTTATTGCAGCTACCATGTTGCATATTAATTGGTATATAAAATGTTTATTAAGTATTACAGAGACAAATTTATGTAAGAAGTTCCAAGTATAACTGTGAACATCACATATTAAGGTTTACTTTTAAATTTGAACATATTGATACATTATATTAATTATTAGTAATAACTATATCTAATTAATATACTTAACTCTAATAACTTATTAGTTACTACAGTACAATTAATATGTACAAATAATTACCCTTAAAATTGAGATAATTTAACCCTAGTATCCTAAATTTATTTAGTATTTATTTTTAAAAAGATTTACTTGTTAAACTTAACAATTAAATGATTATTATGCTTTGTTAGGCTTCTCTTTTATGTGCTAAGAATTGTTGTAAGTTAGGCTTTGTTTTATGTATGACCATATTAATAACATTCAATTGAATGATCAACATGAGGGTATATAATATTGTAGTAGTGTCATGAAAAGAATAAAGAATATGCTGAATCATGAAGTTTTTTTTATTACATTTCTTTGTTTATATTCTTATTTCGCGAGCACACTATATCCAAATTAAGCGGTTTTTATTAAAAGTAATGACCCGTCTTTAGCTAAATCCACAATGCAAAATGGTTAAAACGATTGACACAAAATAAACTTAAAACAAACATACCTCTCCACCTTTCACTACTTCTTTAATTTCTCTTTTCACACGTTTAGCTGCTATGTTTGCCATATTTGTGATATTATAATTTCTTGAGCGTAGGTCACTTCTTTGTAGAGAAATTAATAATAATTTAGGAATAGGTACGTGCTCCGTACTATGGCAGTAAAATTTGTTAACTATATTTTGCACTTGTAGCCAGTAAAATGTAGATACTAGATATATCTAAGTTTAGGGATGTGACGACTGACGATATTTTTGAAGAGAAGATCGGATCGGATCATAGCATCCCTTGGACATAAGATACGACCGTATTTAATATTTTGCAAAATATAATGTAGGAACTACCTAAGCATAAAAATGAAACATTAAGGCCAACTCTTATTTGAAATAAATGAAAAATATTAATATTTAAATGTAATCTAATTAGCTTTTAACACTTTGGAACGGTATTTTTTAAGATCTCACCCTCACCATCTTCGGATCGGATGAAGTTGTTTTGATATTGTTGACGATTCACCAAATCGGATCAAAGAAACTCTATCCATAAAGATAATAATATTGTACGTCATATATATACAGTGTGTACAGATTAGGTTAACTATGTAACAGATAAAACTCCCTTGATTCAGGCCTATGCAATTTTTTTTCAGAGTTACCATACTGACAATTTTCCTTCCTATTTTAGGAAAAACGTAGCAGATACTGAGTTGGGCTTTTAAGAAGAAAATGTTCCGTCTTTTTCAAAAGTACGAAATTGGGTATATTAAAGCAGTAGCGTGCACAGTTTCACTTAATGGTTCAAATGATTTTATAATAACGTAAGTATTTTGTTAATTTCAACATACAAGCTACGTATAGGTACGTGTAAAATATTGTAGTTAAAACAGTTTTTCTGAAAAAGTGTAAACTTACAAAAGTTTAACTGCATGTGCCTAGTCATAGATGTGTCTATACAGATATTATAAAACTGAAAAGGTTCTTTGTTTGGTTGAATAAATCTTAGGAACTGTTGGCTCGAATTAAAAAACAAACAGTGTGTTGGGTCGTCCTTTAATCGATGACAGCAATAAGCTATATAACATACTACTGATAGGATCGAAGCATCCATAAGAAATGTTACAAAAAAGGTAGAAAAAGTTACCTTATTGACAGCTTCCGTTGCGAATGCTGCGTACACGCTGCGTTCTAAAAAAGGCTGACTCACTTATTTTTGAAGTAATACTTCTTTAGGCGCGTTATGAAAAATTTATGAGAGTGAAATTTTACGATTCACGCGCACCGTGACACAAAATTAACAGAATGAAGTTGCCCACGGAAGATGCTACGGCATTGGACATAATTTAAAAACAACATTCGAAAAATAAAAGAATTTATGTTACACTTAATGTAAGAGAATAATCATAAATATTTCTTTATTTAATTTTTGAAATGTAAACTGAAATTTATTGACTATAATGACTCCTTTTCCAGTCTTTGATTATTTTATTGTAATTAATTATTTGCATGCAATCAAAAACTATTTTTAATAATACCAAAGAAGTATAACATCTTACGCGCGTACTTAAGCACACGCACCCTTTTTTTTTTCTAAAATAACACATTATTTGCGACGAATTGTTTTCATTTTTTACCATGAAAATATACTATTTAAAAGTTGATATATTTATAATTTATATCACAATAGCAAATATAAAACTAATTATGTTTATTTAATAAGTCGGGTAGTCTATGCTTTTGTAATAGCAACCACAAATAATAATTGCGAGGAACGTGATGGGTGTACGCTCTGTCATATATTATATAATAGTTTTTACCATAGAGTAACAGAGTTATGAACGTATATATGATATATCTATACTCGCTTCTATCCGCTACAGTATTTGTAAGTTTACTCTATGGAATTGCCTTCAGCAATTCAGCATTCTGCATAGTACCGATTGCTGAGTGAGCGAGTTACTTAGTGCTGAGGTCGATTGGTAAAATCTGTTTAATGTTTGCGTATTTTTCATTTTTGTATTAAAAATATCTGCATGGTAAATAAACATGCATTCAAAATGTTAAAATACGTACAATCAACAGTGGCAGTAAGACGATAAGTGTTATACAAGTATGGTTTGGGATTGTTATTCTGACAGTGTAAGGACAAAGTTATGCTAATTTACTCCCCATGTTACCGGGTTTCACCTATGTACCTGGCGTAAGGTGAGTCTAACGTTATATTACTGTCTTGCTAGATATAGTTTCAGTATGTACACTACTTGAGGGAATTATCACTATCCCTAATATTAATATTTGAGAAGCCCTTTGTTACAAAACGTACTTGGATAAACGTAAATAAATTAGTATTGAAAGATAGCGCTGAATGGCCCCTCTGTTGCTTTGCCTCACTCGTTGATAGATATGTACCATTTACATCTTATACTTTGAGTACATAATATCTATTACTTCTTTTTTGTTTACGAAGCTATTGTAATAAACGAACTATTGTAACGAACGGGATACGTAAAAATCATATACATAATATTATTGTTTACAAATTGATAAATATCTAATATAGTCCACTTTTTTTTTTATTTATTAAAGTTATACCTATTATATTATATTGAATTAAAATATACAATTGACATACATTAAAAGTAATTTTTATTTATATATATATAAAAGTTATATTGTTCAGCAGAAATATTATATTAAATTTCATGTTTTGTAGATGCAAAAAAACAAACATATGTACTTATAATTTTTTTATTAAACTCACAAATAAAATTAGTTTAATCCTTAAATTTCATTAATGTAAGTTACTTCTTGACATGACAATGTTGTTACATTTAACAATTATTTGTAAGTATTATTTTATGTACTTATTGTTCAAATGCACCATAAATATTATGAAAAGTGAAGAAAGCCAGAATAAAATAAATCCATCCATTGTTTATGAAATAATACAAATGGGTCAAATACCAATTAATTTATAATTTCAGGATGAAATTATCTAATAAATATTTTTATGTAATTGCCATTGTAACTTATATTTTTGTTATTTAAATTAAATAAAAATTTTAAATGTGAATCAATAAAGAGAGGCCATATATCTAATTAATATAACTATCAAATTATAATTAGTATGAAATTCTTTATAGAAGTTAATAATGTTTGACCTGGTAGCCACGCATGTTGACATAACCACTGAGAGTTAGGTACAGGGATAGAAAGCATAATGAAGAAACGCCTTAGATCCAAAAGTTGTGTTGCCAGAGTGTATCAGGTACAGAATGCTTATCAGAACAAGAAATACAGGCAACAAAGATGAAAGTGATGCTAATTCACTGGCTTTTTATAAAAGTTTGATAAATATCTGATGATCATTAGAAAACTATCTTAATGGCAATGCAAATTGTGTATAAAACATTTGTTCCCATAATATATTTATTTATAATGGCTTTTGTAATTTAACATTTGGTGATATATAACTTTCTCGACAAAGCCAAAACAAAAAGTACCACAATTGTTCAGTCTCAGTCTCAAAAAAGAGTCTCAATTAAATTATAATTGATTCTGCTGGGCCTTGTTAATGAAAATATAATTTTTTGCCATTTTTCTTTGACAATAATCCATATTTTTTTTAGAAATATATAATTATACTAGCTGACCTGGCAAACGTCGTTTTGCCATGTATATCATTTATAATAAAAAAATAGGGGTGAAAAAACATTTTGTCTAAAAATAAAAAATAAAATAATTTAGGGGTGGACTACCTAACGTTTAGGGGGATGAAAAATAGATGTTGTCCGATTCTTAGACATACCCAATATGCACACAAAATTTCATGAGAATCGGTGAAGCCGTTTCGGAGGAGTTTAACTACAACCACCGCGACACGAGAATTTTATATATTAGATTAAGTATCAACTGTGTTGTAAATGAAAATTATATTACTATAATGTTTCATTGATTACTAGGGCTTCTTTAATTTCAGACTTCATAAAGAAATATAGAAATCATCTCAGATTTAATTTAACTGTTCACAAAAGTGTATGCCATACAACTGATAACATTTTTGTAGCTAATTACAAATTATTATTATCTCTTACTTGTCTATGATAAGATTAAATTATGATTGAGGAATACTTAATAGTGTTTCATATTTTTATTATTCACAGCATTATTAAATATTCTTCAAAACTACATTTAAAGTTAGTTTTTCATAAATATGAGATAAATATACATATATATATATTTTCTTTTAGATCCTTCTATCTGAATAGTGTCTAGTTATTCACGTGACCTGTACGTGACAGTAGTCTTAGTAAAAAGACTGACAACCCAAATATATGTATTACTAAAGTCTGTTCTGTCTGTTCAACTATTCCAATTAGATCCCTCTGGGCAACATATTTTTAAAAACATCTTTACTTTTGTTACGAGGTAGCCATTGTCATTCGGTCTTTGTTTTCATTTCTAGCGTTAGTATTATTTTGTGTTCATATATGTAATCATATTATGCTTATATAAGTGAATACCCTAGTTTAGTATCCGGGTTGGATGTAAAAAATATAGTTAAGTGATCAAATAGTATGCGTTGTATATCGTGCCACGATTATGAGTTCGTGGTGTTTAGTTGTAGTACAAGTCAGTAGATGCTAAGATGTAATAAATCAAACACTCATTGTTATTCACAAAAATAATGAGGAATCCCGTCAGAACTGCCGCGTGGTTCAAACACACGTTTGTTTTTCGTGGGGTATTATTTCAAATATCATTCAGAGTTTTTCTTATGCAAGTAGATTATCAATATTCCTTCTTTACTGTCACACTAAAATGTGTCAATAGAAATCATCGAAGGTTTATTTAAAGCCTTTAATTTGTTCCAGTCAATGATTCTTGTGTACATTTCGTTGTTACCTAGAACCTGTATCCCTAGCGTACAGCAAACACATAATTTTGGCAGCTATGCCTCGCTTGCAACGTTAGCCCAATACTTGTACAAGGCTTATCTTGTAAGCACTTGTGCTTTAATAAATAATAATTTATGTTTGTATAGCAATATCGAGTTAAAATTAATGTATTATTTAATATAATGTAATTTTGGGAGTAATATCGGAAAAAAATTAAAATATGTTTTCTGAAAGACAAATGTATAGCATAAGTTATTGGTTAGCTGGCAATTAATTTACACAAATAAATTTAAATCGAATATATTATATAAAATTGGGTCCTGAATCCTGAGTTACATTTTTTTTTGTTTCAGAATCAAAATGTCAGAAGAGATGGTAAAGTAAGCGGTCGAGATGGTTCCATGGGTAGCATTGTTGCTCCTCGCTCGTGCTTGCTGCCTGCCTGCTCTTGACATTTGTAAGTACTACTTCGAGAATAATATTATGTTCTAGCGAATCATACTGACTCTAACCAGCACAATACTGGATGATCCTTCGGTGAATCGTATTACCAACAAATTGGCATCGGAATTTTTAATAATTCAAATTCAAAAATCATCGAAATTTGAATTAAAACGAAAAAACATTTTGGACCAGTTCGAATAATTTCGATTTTAAATCTTTCAGAAAAGTGTGACGTCTATGAAAGTGTAGTAGGTAATCATACGAGCATATAAATCTTCATAAAATCAATTAAAATCTTATCTAATCTAAAAATTACATAAGAAAAAAAATGTGTGCGTGTACTAGGTGTACACACGTAAGAAGTGAAACTTATATAAAACCTTTGTTGTACGCAGAGCCATAATTGGTTTGTTTTAAGTTTAGAGGTCCGAAACTATTTATTTAAACACAGTAAATTTTGATACACTGCCTAGCATACAATTTACAAATTAATTGCTGCAAATTGCGATTAGCAAATTTCAAGTCGAAAATGTAATCCGTTGTCAAACTTCAAAGTCAAAAACATACTATATGTCATATTTTAACGCCGATAAAGAAATTTGACTTCGAAAATGTAATACGTTGTCAAACTTCAAAGTCAAAAACATACTATATGTCATATTTTAACGCCGATAAAGAAGTTTGACTTCAAAAAGCAACATGGCGCGTAACGGAAAAATGTGACGCGTAACGCAAAAATGTTACACTAAATTTTTTTCCAACCCCGATAAAGAAGTTTCACTTCAAAAATAAAAACTATACACACTTAAAATTCTTTCTTACGTTGTATTTTTTCTTTAGAAACGAATCATCGCAGATGTTTAATTCATGATAACAAAAATAGGAATTATTTGTACATCGATTAAGGCCTTACAAGTTTTATATTTTAATCCTGTGACGCTCACCGTGCTCACGATCTGATAAAAAATATTTCAAAGCTGCGGTAGATTTATATTGAATTTTATATTAAATTATCAACCCACGGCTTTGGTTTGAAAAGATAAATGATTATTTAGAAAGAGCACTTTACTAGAACCCATACAAAAATATCTTTTGCGAAAATTCTATGTAGCAATCTACATTTTGTTCAATGGTTGATCCCATTGATCAATTTTTTAATATTAATTAAACATACTCTGGACTGAAATTTGCTAGGCAACCCATATGGATTATATTTATTGACATATTAAATTAAATATAAAATAAGTTTCATTAAATAAGCATCTCGGTGAAGGTCGTTGTATAGCGGGATCTTATACTAACTGTAAATATCGCGCTGAATGTAAGCCAATTCACATGTAACATTTAAATATGATTTTCGCTATAAGTTCGCGTGATTCTATCGGTTTGATATGCTTGAAATATTAACATGCGCACAAAATTAAACTTCATTTAGCGACATTGCAGCTTGATTGATGCTTCATTATATTATAGTACGGGAGGTAGCAACGTTTTCGAGAAAGAATTTCAGGTCAGCTGATTTTGTGATATATCTTCCTTCTTGCACTTTCGGTTAGAGTCTGGGCAATCTGGCTGGCGGTAGTGGTTGCGTTCTTTAGTGCGCATCCTATCTGTCCAGCCAATATCCTGGATTTTAAAAGCATTTTAAGAAGCGTAATTTTTAATTTTTCGTTTTTAAATAAGTCTACCTGACATACTTTTTTTATTGCCAGACATTTTTCACATTGCTAACTATGTGCCAGACGCGATTTTAAGTTTCTTTTTTTATAAAAATTTCAAAGTATTTTAGAATGTCTGTAATTTTAATATTATGTTATTTAAATATAAGAAAAACTAAAAATGAATTTGCCAGACATTAATTCGATTGTTAAGTCTTGAATTAAAACGAAAAAGTAAAAAATGTCTGGCAATAAAAAAAAGTATGTCAGGTAGACTTATTTAAAAACGAAAAATTAAAAATTACGCTTCTTAAAATGCTTTTAAAATCCAGGATATTACCTGGACAGATAGGATGCGCACTAAAGAACGCAACCGCTACCGCCAGCCAGATTGCCAAGACTGTAACCGAAAGTGCAAGAAGGAAGACATATCACAAAATCAGCTGACCTAAAATTCTTTCTTTTCAAACGTTGCTACCTCCCGTACTATTAGGAGAATTGCCCTCCTATCGATCGTATATTAATCAAAAATTTGGATACGTTAAAGCTTGCACACTATAATAGTTATAAGTACGCAGCCATACCACGTACCGAGCTCATCTCCGAGCTGATTGGTTGATGTAACTGAAATCGGTTCACAGCAAATTTACGGCGCGCAGCCGACGGTCTTGTTGAAATTGGTTTATCAACGCGAATTTTATTGCTATTTTCACTAACATAAATCTGAATATAATACATCATAAAGCTATACATTATTTTTCTAATTATACATATTGTGAACGTAGTTCTTATAAAATATACTCAACTCGTTCTTGGAACAAGAACAAATCTTGTTATTTCGTCAACTATTTGGACAAGATTTTCTAAAGATAGTAATGTTTGTGGAACTTTAACGGGTTTGAAAAACGTGTAAACGGTGTATGGTACGGACTTGTTAGACATTACAATGCATTAAAATGATAAACACCATGCATATTTTTAGGTAAACCTTCTCAGGTATGAAGGAAATTTATTTTAGTTGCACTCATAATTTTTGTTTATATTGTACCAACATCTGTGCTTATCCAATATTATTATGTTTTTGTTGAGAAATTAAGCATCCTAAACACGTGGCAAGTTCATACGGTTTCTTATCATAAACGTATCGTAAGCATCAAATAAGTTAATTTTTATAACCTTAAATAATAACATAAGCGTAAACAGGACACACACAATAGCAAATTGCGACTCGTTTATGAGTGTGTTTAAGTTTAAAACATGATTTTATTTTTAATAGAATTTCTTTCTCGCATTTTAAAGAAAACAGCTTACCTTAATCTAACATCTATTCGTACATCTATTCAAGAAAAGAGCGTACCAATTCTTAAAAGGCCGGCAACGCACTCGCGAGCCCTCTGGCATTGAGAGTGTCCATGGGCGGTGGTATCACTTAACATCATGTGAGCCTCCTGCCCGTTTGCCCCCCGTTCTATAAAAATAAAAATAAAATTTAATGTTCTGTGTGGGGATAATATTTCACAAACTATCTGTGGTTTAATATTCAAATCCGTTTCGCTTTAAATCAAATAATATATCAAGAGTGTTTTAAGGTTCGCTCGAGAGGAAATCTTGCTTCACCACCATTTATGTTTAAAGAATTTTACGGGGAACGGCTTTTTAGAGAAAAACGGGCGAATGAAAACGTTTCTTGAAAACGCTGCCTTAACGGTAAGAGATGAAAGACAAGAGCTAAAACAAGTCCTTCGTCGCTTCTATAATATTCGCGATAATCTCAAAAACTACTCCACAGAAATTGTTGCAATTTTCACTAATGTCTAGAATGAAGATGGTATAATATAGGGTCAAGTTTGCCCATGCGTAAGCCGGGGCGGGTAGCTAGTCTTTAATATGAAGTACTGCAACTCCAATTTGGGTAATGGGGCGCTCACATTTCTTCGTCTATTTTCTTTAAAGATAGTAGGGATTGCTCCTCTGTCTACGTCGTGAACTTTTTTATAATTTTTTAAAAAGAAAAGAGTTTCTCACATATATTTAATAATGTGAAGAGAAAATCGCTGCGGCCTGTGCTGTGATTTACATCGGAGCCTGTCAATTTATGTATAATCTTATGAAAACTCTTAAGATTATAATCATCAAAAATCTTTACCCACGTTAATATCGATTTAGTGAGAGATAAGATATCGGTGAATAATATAACCAACTAACTACGAGTAGTAAATAAGGTTAGCAACAGTGCTCTAACGCCTGGCTTTTAAGCACTGTCGGATAGCGGTTTTCTCGCAAAACGTCGGTCTGCCGAATGACATCACTTCGGAACAAACTAATGCGGTACCCACTTCCATCACTTGCATCACATGACTCCATCCGGGCTACCGTGAAACCCATTACAGGCCGTAATGAAGTTTCCGTATTTCAGGTATTGGTATGGGTCGACGATAATTGGCCACCTCTCTCATCAATATTGCCGAACACTATATTGAAGACGTATTTTTATGTACTAGACATATAATATGTTTGTGTATGTATATATCGCTTGTGTTATACGTCGGGATGTAAATTGTTTCGTATTATGACTAAATAAACAAAAGCCGTACGTATTTGTAAACTAATTATAAATTAGTTGAAAGCTGCATCTAACAAATTTAAATTACTAAATAGTATAGCTGTTATTTTTACGTATCCACGTTTTATATATTGGATTGAAATGTATTTGTAATAATTTCATTAATATCTAATTAACAAGACTGTTATAAGCGTTACATTAAAATTCTCACTTGTATTTCTATTAGACACAAAGAATTGCTTTGGAATACCCAACGTTACAGTTATTTTAAATTTGATGTAAACTTTATTTAATTCCACTTTTTTAGGGTAACCTAACCTCTATTAAGTTAAAAATAATTTATAAATGAGTTTATATGTTTTACGTTTACTAATTAATGCTTTAAAAGAACAACAGAAAACAAAGAATATACACACAGTATAGAAATACTTCACCTATCAACGTATACTAGTATCTATAGCTTTGAATACCGAACTTAGTTTTCTTTAACGGAAGCTGAACCAATTAGCTTCAGAGCTCTTTTGTTATTTAGTAGTTGTAATTCGAGACTATAAGTCTCAACATAAGGTTGGAAAACACAAAAGAATCTCCTTATTAAAATAACTCCCTTGGTGAGTTTTAATACAAATAAAAAGAAATAGCTTTTATTCTGTGAACTTTGTACTTCATAGCATGAATTATTACTTCAGCAACAAGTTTTGTATAGTTGCAAATGATCTCAAGCTTTTAGAGTTCATTTCTGTAATGGGCTAGCTGTCTCCATACTTTTGGGAGATCGTCCATCTTTTTATG